TTAAACCGGTCTGAGGTTCTTCTAATGTTAAGACCACATCGTCTGCAAATACTTTAAGCTTGTATTCATTTGTTCACAAATGAAAAAAATAAAAAATTGTCCGGTAGCACCTTATAGACCAACTAATTTGTATCTGAAGAAGCGTGCATGCACACGAAAGCTTATACCAGAACAAGCTTAGTTGGTTTATAAGGCGCTACTGGATAATTTTTTATTTTTTTATGCTTATATTTATAATATTTTTACTGCATTTCCAAGTTAAACCTAATTATTATTTATTTTATTTCATTCAATAATTGTTATGTCACTGCATGTCTTTACATCAATCCTAATGATTTAATCTGTTTACAAGGATTCTGAAAATATACCCTAAATGATTTCCACTATCTATTAAATACTTTGTCTTGATTTCTTATTCTTCCAGTAAGGTTTGCCATTTCTACATATTCCAATAGTTTTTGTTGCCATTCTTCTTTGGTCAGGACTGTTGTCTTCTTTCCATCTTTGGGCAAATATTGTATGAGCTGCCGTGGTCACATACATAAATAAACTTTTATACTGTTTAGGTATCTCTAATCCCATTATCCCCAAAAGGAAAGCTTCTGGTTTTCTTAAGAAAAGTTATCTTAAACTCCCCCCCACCCAACTCATTATATATAGTTTTAAATTTAATCCTTAATGTAACTTAATTTAACTCAAGATACAGCTGGAGCTAGGTTCAGTTCTGTGAATCATCTCTAAGGCCATGATCCCATGCATACTTACTTAGGATGCAGTGGGACACGCTAAAGAGGTGTAGGGTTGTGCTACAGATTAAAAAGGTAAAGGACCCCTGACAGTTAAGTCCAGTCGCAAACGACTCTGGGGTTGCAGCATCGCTTTACTGGCTGAGGGAGCTGGCGTTTGTCTGCAGACAGTTTTTCCGGGTCATGTGGACAGCATGACTAAGCCACTTCTGGCGAACCAGAGCAGCGCACGGAAATGCCGTTTACCTTCCCGCTGGAGCGGTTCCTATTTATCTACTTGCACTTTGACGTGCTTTCAAACTGCTAGGTTGGCAGGAGCAGGGACAGAGTAACGGGAGCTCATCCTGTCGCGGGGATTCGAACCGCAGACCTTCTGATCAGCAAATCCTAGGCTCTGTGGTTTAACCCACAGCGCCACCCGCGTCCCACTGTGCTACAGATTAGTTGAACTTTTAAACAAGGTTTTTTTTGGGTGGTGGGGAAATGGGGAGAAACTGCACACAGCTCAGTTGGTAGAGCACAATAAACTTAATCTGAGGGTCTTGGGTTCAAGTCCCACTTGGGCAAAAGATTCCTGCATTGCATGAGGTTGGCCTAAATGATCCTTGTGCGTCTCTTCCATAGCTGTCAACTTTTCCCTTTTCTTGCGAGGAATCCTATTCGGAATAATGGAATTTCCCTTAAAAAGGGAAAAGTTGACAGCTATGGTCTCTTCCAACTTTATGATTGTAGTCTATGATAAACCTGTGAGGAAAGAGATGAACTTGGGAAGGAAACAACTCCAAAACACTGCCCAGTTTGGATTTAATGGCACATCTTAGATACACATTGTGTTGCGGTCATGGGAACTAGGAATCACACACTCAGCACTAATGTCTCATATTGAATGTAGCTGATTTGTAGAAAAGACTTTACAACCTTAAAAAAGAGACAAGGCATGTTCTTTTGTAAACCAAGAAAATATTGAAGAAGAAGAACACAGTGCAATTGATACCCATTACTCGGGAGTAAGCACAAGAAGTAGAAGTAACAGATATGCCTAGGATTGCATACTATTGTTTGGAAACAAGACTCTAAGCTCCAATATTATGGGAGACAGAAAATTATTTCTGTCCAAATTCTTCACACTCATACATAATTTGATATACCTCTATGATGGCTGCACCCACCCCTGGTCACCTTTTTCTTAAATTTCCTCTCTGTTCACTGACAGGAACTCAGGCTGCAAACCTAACCACGACTACTCAAAGGTAAGCCCCACTGAATTCAATGGGACTTACTCCCAGGTAAGCAGGACTAGAACTGCAGCCTCAGTAAGTTTTACTTCTGAGTAAACACGCACAGGACTGGGCTTCACACCTGCAGCTGAAATGTTTGTACTGCGGGAATGTACTGATTTAACATTTATGCATTATATACTCATGTTTTTTAATTGTTGAATGGAATTCCCTCCCCCAATTAGGTAGCAAATTGAAATTTTATTGAGTCAGTTTCATTTTTGTTATATTCCCCCCACTCCCTGCTTAACTTGTCTTTGCAGTCTCAGATAGATATACTGAAGAGCAAGGCTCCAAATCCATTCACCTCTTTTAACTCAATTAGAAATTATGAGAACACATGTATAGGATTGTGCTGTTAGGCTGTAGTTGCTGCCATTACAGTTGTTTGCAAAGGCATGGAGAACAGCAAATTCGCCTACACAAACCATGAAAGAAATTGCTCTTGGGGTCCGTTTACCCTTTACCTTTTTAAGCTTACCCAGCTATTGAGATTCATGGGAAGGAAGACGCAGTTCAGAAGAGACCAACTGTTTTCATTCATCCAAATTGGGATCAATAGAGACCTAAAGAATTAGCAAAAAATAAACAGCCTGGCAATAATTCAGGAATGGATTTTGTTTACATCCTAGCTGCAGAATTTTATCTGTTTTCTCGGACAACCTGGCACATTATTTATTATTATTATTATTATTATTAAAATGGCAATTATTTTTTATCCTTTTATTTATTCCATGGTTGCAGAGGATGGGAAATGATTTTTCTTCTAATTGTCTATTTTATTCTGTACCAAATAAAATTAAAAGCGCTTAAATTTTATATACAATTCCAGCGGGCTCCCATCTGTGCAGTGGTTAAGAGCGCTGGCGTAGGACTTGAGGAGTCCTGGGTTCCAATCCCCACGTACACATGAAACTTGCTGGCTGACCCAGATCCAATCACTTTCCCAACTTCACAAGGTTGTTATAAGTATAACACAGGGAGACGCACACAAAATACCTTGTGTTCCTTAGAGAAAAAGGGAGATATGAATGCAATACATGCATGCCTTACTAAACAAGCTTGCTTTGCCCTGACACTCCCACCTTCGGCCACTAGGCAACACTTCCAACACTGCCCCAGACTGGAGGGGCAGCCAAATCAGGGATAGGCAACCTGTGGCCCTCCCGGTGGTGTCTGACTCCCAACTGCTGCTAGCCCTGGCCAGCAGGCCCAATAGTCACAGATGGATGGGGATTGTAGGCCAAAACCTTCTGGAGGGCCACAGATTCCCCTACACCTGAGTGAGATGGAAATCTTTACCTGTTGAACCTCTGCCTGCCAGCCTGCCATTGACAGAGCTCTGTTATAAAGAAAAAACGTCAACCACTGTTCCCCCTATAAACCAAGAAATGATGGTATTTCTGCTGGCCATTGTTCATAACCAATGCTTTTTTTCTGGGGTCTGCATAACCCTAAACATTTTGTGAATCTAGGTTTGGCCCAGGGCCGGGTTTGGGTTTCATGAGGCCCTAAGCTATTGAAGGTAACCGGGCCCTTTATACGTTCAGCTGTCCTTTGTCAACAACATGTTGCTGCTGTTTTTTTGTGTTGAATATATGCTATATGGTAATTTATGGACCTAATAGGTATCTAAAGCCATTTGCACATAACAAAATATGTATTTTTTTGGACATGTACATCCAGTTTTTTCCTTGTAAATTTTTTTGGAGCCCCCAAGAGAGCGGACCCCTAAGCTACAGCTTGTTTAGCTTATCCAGCACTGGTTTGGCCTCACTGAGGGGCAGTATTTCAATATGAGTCGGAAAATGAGAATATCCCTGTTCATAACCCATTAATTAATATTAACCCCTTCCTTCCTGAACCAGCCCTCCATGGCCCATGTTCCCTTCCAACCCTCCCAGGAACCCCCAAAGCGCCCACCCACCTCCTCCCCATCCAACAGGGCGCCCTCTTTTGAGCCTTCTCAACTCCTCCTCCCTTTGGCTTTGAAGCCCCCCAGATCCTTTGCCCCTCTCACAGGGCCATCTCTCCCCACACACACACCCCCTCCAGGGGTAGAGGCCCGAGCTCTATTGTCTAGGTCTGAATGGGCCATATGGGGCTGCAGAATGGCCGGGCCCTGCTGAGCTTTGTTGGGCCCATGGCATTGGCGGTGGTTGGGGGGCTGCTGGCCCTTTGAAGCTGGGGAGGGGGGAGGGGGAGGGCGGGGGTCTTCACTCCCGATCTACTCCCCTTTGACCAATACCTGGCAGCAAGGAGGGGTGGGGGCGCAGGGTCTCTTTAAGCCGGAGGGGCGGGGCAGCTTTCAGGATGGCCCCAAAGGCTTTCAAAACCGCCCCACCGGTGGAGGTCGGAGAAGCTCTGCAGCTTCTGCCTCGGCTGGGCGTCTGGGGACACTTCTCACCACTTCGGGGTTTTTGGGATCTTGCATCGTTGGCTGGTCTCTTCTTCAGCCAGCTGCACACCTTGACTTCAACTTATAGACAGAGCGGATCTATTCTGCATCCTTTCCTCACATCTCACTTTGCACCGGGATTCTTGGACCCAGACTTGGATGCACCAAGTCTGCTAACTTTTTAAAAAGAATTAGCTGCTGGTCAGCTGGTTGATCAGATCTTTTCAGCTATTTTTTGCTTCCAGCTTTCTCTATTTTTTCTCTCTTCACCCCTGGGCCTGACTGACCGAACTGTGAGTGCTACTAAAGTTGGCTTCCATTTAGGGGTCTCTCTGTGGTGGTGGCAACATCCTTTGAGTGGCTGCAAGAGCTGAAGAAAAGGGAGAAATCTGATTTGGGGAAGAAGACCTAGGAAGGTTTTTAGGGGCTGCGTTTCTTTGGACTGTCTGAACTTCTGCTAGCGTCAGTTTATCTACACCTGGGTTCCCACCTTTGGATTAAAAGCAACAACTCTGCTTCCTGGACACTTTTTGAGTTTAAGCACCAGCCTTTTGAAAAAAGAAAACAACCAAGTTCGCCATGGCTGGGCACTTGGGCAGAGAGTTAGATCGTCCCTATCCTTTCCCTGTCCAAGGGCTTCACCTTGGCAACATCCCTGCTGTTCCTCACCATGAAGCTAGTGGAGGCTTCTTGCCTGAAGCCTTCAGTGGGGCAGCCCCTGGGCAGGGATTTGGGTTCAGGCCCGACTACGGGCCTCCGGGAGGGATGCTCGAGTCCCACCCTGGCGGAGGAGAAGCTCCCCGGACTTGGTACCCCTTCTCTGCTGGAGATGCCTGGAGCCACCATCCCGGGGTGATGATGGGGGCTTACGGGGTCCCTCAGCCCGGGGAAGCTGCTTGCCAAGGCCCAAAGCCTGACATCAAAGTGGAGCCTGACTTTGAGCAGCCGGGGCCCTCCTATGTGCACACCTGGGCAGGTGGCTGCCTTGTGCCGAACCCCTCGGCCTGCATTGCGCCTGGAGATAGCGGTGGAGCTGCTTCACCCGGCGAGGAGCCCCAGCGCTCCAGCAGCCCCGCTAGCCAGGATGATGATCTGGGCAGCCTGACTGGCAGCGAGGAGACCAGTCCCCAGAGTAATGGTAGCAGCAGCCCCGGTGGGCAGGCAGCCTCTGCAGAAGTCAAGGAGGATGGTGGTGGCGGCGGCAGCGGAGATGAGGTAAGGATGCTGTTGTGAGTCTAAGAACCCCAGGGAGATGAGTGAGGGACATAAGAAACTGCCTTCTGCAGAGTCGAGCCCATCTAGTTCAGTATTACCTACACGGGCTGGCAGCCGCTTTCTACAGGATTTTGGATTCCCAGCCCTACAGATGGATGGTGAGAGAGGATAAGAATTACGGAAAGGGAAATATGGAGGGTGTTCAACAAGTAAATGGTGCAATGTTTCCACACTGCTAGCTAGGATTGTCCTGTCTTGTCAACTTAATTGGGTACCCCATAGTTATTGTATGAAATAGGAAGTGAATATCTATGTCCGTTTTCAGCATGCCGCAGGTCTTAAAGCAAAGGGTGGTCTGTCTGGGGGAGAGGAAAACCAGGACATGGTTAAAGCCACAGAGTCTGCGTTCGTATCAGTCTTAAGACGCAAAGGGATTGGTGGTAACTACCAGGAATAAACTTGGAAATGAGATTTCAGTGGCCCAGGGTTTGCGCAGGGATCTGAACTGTTAGGATTCAAGTCTAAAAAACCTCTAGCCTCTGGTTGACTGTTTTCTACTTCAAGCAATGTTATAGTTGGGCTATACTTAATTGCATGCATGAGGCACGATGGTGACATGTTCTGCATGTAACCCCCATAGGGTTGCAAGGTTAGATGATGGTGTTTTGGGGCAGGTTTGAACCCCAGTACTTTCTCTTCAGAATGTAAGCTCTGGGTTCTCCAACTACTACTTGATTTTATTACCTACTAGAGCCCTGCTGGATCAGGTCCATCTAGTTAGCATCTTTTGCCAGCAGCAGCCAGACAAGCGCTCTGGAAAGCTCATAAGTAGGGCATGAATCCAGCAGCCCTCCTTGTTAGTTGCCAATAACTGGTATCCACTGGTAGGCTTCCCCTGTATGTGGAGGTTCTGCCTAGCTCTCATGGCTAAAAGCTGTATCTGTTTATATCCCACCTTCATCTCCAAGAGGCTGATGGTGGTGTGTGTGGTTCTCTCCCTTCTCATTTAATCTTCACAACAACCCTGTGAGGTGGGTTAGGCAGTGACTTGAACTCTCCTTTTCCCCAGGTGTTCGCAGGCCAACACACTAAAACCGCTAGGAGAGATTAGAAGCATCTTGATAACAACACAGTGATTAGTGTGCCATGATTTATTCTTGACAAATCCATGCTGGCTCCTGCTAGGTTAATCACTTTTTTGATTGAGTTATTAACTTAGCAGATTGTGGCAATTGCTTGATGCAATTTATCTTGTTTTCAGCAAAACAGTTGACAAAAAGTTTTTGTTAAGCGTGAGCTAGAGGATATTACTGTTCAGTGGATTCACAAATGATTGGGAAACTGTCCTCAAAGATTGTTGAAGAACTTGGAAGAGCAAAATGGGAGGGGGAGGTTTCGTTTGGGGTGTTGAGTCCTGGACCTGATATACTTTTATGTTCTTATCAGTGGCTACAGTACTTAGAAGAAGGGATAGAGGGAATCTTTATCACAGTTTGCAGATGGCACAAAGCTGAGAAGGATAGCCGAAACCTCAGAAGACAGGCATGCAGGAAATTCTTCAAATGCAGAGTTCCAAACTTGGGGAGGACAGGACAAAGTGATTGAGCTGAGGACAGGGTGTGTACCTGGTTTGACAGTAGAAACAAAACTATCTCTGGGTGGGACATGCATCAGATATCTGAAGAGCAAAAACTTGTTCTCTGCTGCCCCAGAGGGAGAAGACAAGAACCTATAGGCTTTTATAGGAGGGAGATTTTCCTTGAGTGTTAATGGAGCAGTTCAGCAATTACCTAGAGGAGTAATGAGCTCTCCCTCAGTGGTGGTCTCCAAGCAGAGACAGCCCTTATTGTGACGTTATATTCTACTTCTCAATTTCCAGTATGTGGCAGGGTGTTAAACAAGATGACTTATGAGGCCCCCTTTAGTTCTAGGAACCTCCCCTCATTACGTGGCTTATAGAGATACTTACTGGTGGCCTCAGAGTTACCTGGAGGAATTCCTTAGGATATATTTTTTATTTATTCCAAGGACACGTCTGAAAACTTAGTGCCAGAGTCCACTGAAGATTTTGGATATCTAGATAGTTCATTCTATCCCGTCATCTCTGCAAGCCTCTCCTTAATATCAGCTTGTGCAAAAGCAATCAATGTTGCTTATTTCCGCTTGTGTTTAAAATGGAAAGTTGCTGTGGCCCCAGGGGCATTCATTGATCACTGATAAACTCTCCAAGCTCAAGATCTTGCCTATTGAAAACCTTACAGCCCACACCCAGATGGCAGATATCTTCTTCTTTTGCAGGTGACTGCATAGCCATTCCTATATATTCTCTGTGGAACGCATCCTGTTTCTATAAATGAGAAACTGTAGGTGGGAGGAACTGTGGGGTTTTTTTAGTGCAAGTGATTTTTCTTCTCCTCATCTCGTCTGCCCCATATCTCATATTTGTGGTGTTTCGGTGGCTTTTCTAAGTCTCCAAGCTAGGGACTAAGCAGAAGTGGATTGTAGAAGTTTATAATTCTGAGCATGGTGAAAGGCAGGGGCATTTCCCCCCCCCGTCCCCCCCCATACCATAATTCTAGTCACCCAGCACAACTGATTGGCAGTGGGGTTAAAACTTATAAAGAGCAATGCTGGATATGTGTCCTGCAAATGTTTTCCACTTTAAATGTCCTGTCAGATGGGATCAGGGCTCTCCCAGCATGTCCCCTTAACTTATCCTCTGCATGTGCGTGCAGTGCCATTTCTGACACCCATAAGGTTTACAGTTTCTGAAGTCGCTTTTGAGTTGAATCAAGGTCAAAGAATCATTTTTGAGGGTCTAGTACAAATGGTTGCACTCTCTCTATCCTCTGTCTCTCTTCCCCTCACATGACATCACAATCCCATATCATCTCGTGATTCGCAAAAGTAAATTTCTGTTTTGAGTTCTGAAATTGCGTTTTCTTCATAAATCGCACCATGGCTTACAATGACCATGGCTCAGTCATTCCCCTAAGTCTTTCCCTCCTTTTATCAGTTTTGTTGAACATAACATCCAGTCCAAAGAGGAGTCCTGCAAAATTTGATGTCTAGTTTGGTCATTAACTTTTGGTTGATCCCAATAAAGGTATTTGTCCTGCTTTTTGTTTTTAGAGAGAGAGGGGTTGTCGTTTTTTTAATTACAAGATCAGGAAACACTAGAGTAGCCCTGACTGTACTCATTCAATTCTATAAATTATACTGATGCAAGGACAAGTACATACGTTAAGAACCATACGTCATCAAAGTTCTCTGGCTGAAGGATTTTTGAAGTCGTTGCAATATAATGCATGCAAAAACGGAAAGTTTAAAAACCAATCTCATCAGAGAGTCATTTCCATTTGTAAAGTGAAATAAGGCATTAGAAGCCATTAGTTAGAAGTGTCCTCCTTAAGGCAGGCTATTAAATCCATCCTCTCCCCCTCCTTCTTAATGCCAGCAAATGTCATCTTCGTTCCTGGAATATACCATACTTCCTGGGGTTTTCCAAGTAAACCAGCAGTGTATTTTCTCCCCAGGTTATACCTTTGCTTTTGTTGGCTTCCGTGTAAGAGGAACCTTCGGCTTGACCGGTCTTTTGGCCAAAAAGACCAGGCAGATTAGGGCCAGTTTTGTGCTTGCCTCCCTTTCCAGCTGTGTGGCATTGTGAACACTGATTTTCTGAACACTGATTTTCTTGCCCTTCTCAACATCTCCCATGGCACGCAAAGTAGAGGAAGGGATGCAAAGTCGTTCTGTGCCCTGTGCTGTCAGGATTCTTCCCTGTTTTGATTCCTTAGTCATGTTGGCCACATGACCCGGAAAAACTGTCTGCGGGCAAACGCCAAAGCGAGATGAGCCACAACCCTAGAGTCCTTTGCGACTGGACTTAACTGTCAGGGGTCCTTTACCTTTATGCATTAATGGGGGGGGGGCCACACAATTTCTCTTCCTCCCCATTCTGTGCTTTGCATCTGCTTCTACGTTCCAGAAACATTAAGAGCAAAAACCAAGCAAAAAAAGGTTCTCAATCCTGATTTTTTTTTTAAAGGGCTCTAGGCACGTTCCATGTTGCATTTGAAATTCTCTTCATTCATTCAGCGGTGTTTTGAATTTAAAGGCAGTTTTCTCCTACCCTATTGCTTGGGAATAAACATCGTTCTACCTCGTAGAAAATGACAACGTTTTTAAAGTAAAAATTATAAAAATGACACCTATAATCATGTGCTTGCCTCCAGACTACAGTGGTACCTCTAGTTATGAACTTCATTCATTCCGGAGGTCCGTTCTTAACCTGAAACTGTTCTTAACTAGAGGCGTGCTTTCGCTAATGGGGCCTCTTGCTGTTGCTGCGCTGCCAGCACACTATTTCTGTTCTCATCCTGGGGCAAAGTTCTCAACTCGAGGTAACTCTTCCAGGTTAGCGGAGTTTGTAACCTGAAGCATTTGTAACCTGAGGTGTTTGTAACTCGAGGTAGCACTGTATAAGAAAGGATGCTATTGCCATGTGAGGCCACAGGCTTCCTGGGAGCCCAGATGTGTGTGGGAACTGGCAGTGGTTGCCTAGTGGTGAGAAAATGCACTCTGTATGTGCTCAGAGGTGTTTTACTGACGTTACTGGGTAGGCCTATACCTAAATTTTCCTATCTCGGGAGAGGTCCTGGCTGGCTGTGCAGGATATTTGGCTTTAAATCCTGAAACAAGTATGGAATAAAGGGAAACTTGGCTTTGAGTGAGGACCTTCCTGGTAGTGGCACCCCGTTTGTGGAAAACCCACCCCAAAAAGGCCTGCCAGCACCTTCTTTGAATTGTAACCCACTGTTTACATGTTATGTCATGCTGTGAAACTGAGTTTATCTCTCTGCTGACCATTTTTACTGCATTTTCATAAATGGATTATATATCCACATAGAGAACAAGGTTGTTTGGCAGCTGTATAAATGCCACCAATAGCTGTTTCTCGCCGAACTTTTTCACACTCCTGAAATTCAGAGAAGCTTTGAACGCCAACCGGCTTTCAAAAGAGGAATAGTCTTAAGGCCAGAAATAGTGGTGGCAACCTTATGTTGAGGCAGTTCAAATAACTGTATTGGAGGCACAATTGACTTGTTATGCTAAAATCGTCTCCTGTGATCTCCAGGAGATCTGAGGGCCTTTGCAGCTTTGGGGCTGTTGTTTGGCCAGCCTGCTCCAGAAGGGAGTTCATACCTGCACCAAATAAATATTTTAAAAATGCTAAAAGGGGCGATTCTAGAAGTTTTGCGTTTCTCGAAGTGTTGCTGAACAGGCATTCTTTATTGGGTGCAAAAGATCTTATCTGCAATGCGAGCCGAACCCTGCCCAGAGGTATCTGCACTTGGGTCCAGTCAGTATCTGTCCCCTTGCCCAAAGATCAATGGAAGTGGGATGGGCGGGGGAACACAAAAGACCCTTTTAATCCCCTTTTGCTCTTTCTGAAGGGGGAAGGACAACACCACCTTTTCTAGAAGAAGGCAAAATTGTCAGAAGGCAAAAGTTTTCACTGATGATGTTGCCAGGGTGGGGTATGGGGGGGGGGCACGAGAAGGGCCCCAGCTCATCTTTCAGGCTGTTTACCCTGCTGTGCTGATCAAGCTACAGCTTTTAAGCTGGTTTTTCACTCTTTCCCCCCTACCCTAGTTTTTGGGTGTGTGTGTTGAGGGGGGGAGCGCAGGGGATTGGCTCTGCTGCTACCTCTCAGGTTCCAAAATCCTGTCATGTTTTTTAAAAACGAGAAAATTGGGTGGGAGGGAAATGGTGCCTCCAACCACAATTACTATTACTTCTTGTTCTTAATACACATTCATTCCAAAGTTACACTTCATCTTTGTCCACTGCCATAATATCACAGAACGATCGCGCCAGTCCTCAGTCCCTCATCACTGTCCTGTTGGCTCGACAAATACCCTCAATAGGAACCCAATTACCGATCTGATTTACTGTTACTGTGCTGGACTTTTCCTGTATCTCTCCAGCCTTTCTTGATCCATCTTCGCGTAAAAAAATCTGGCTTTGGCCGCATTCGCCTCACACATTTAAAGCGCTACGACAGTGCTTTAATAAAGAGTAATGGTTTTCCCCAAAGGATCCTGGGAGCTGTCATTTGTTATGGGTGCTGAGAGTTGTGTCAGGAGACCCCCTATTCCCCCTCACAGAACTACATTTCCCAGCTTTCCCTGGAAAGAGGGACTGATTGTTAAACCACTCTGGGAATTGTAGCTCTGTGAGGGGAATTTGTGTGTGTGTGTGTGTGTGTGTGTGTGTGTCGCCTAACAACTCTCAGCATCCTTAACAACATCTTTATAGCTGCCATAATTCTTGGAGGGAAGCCATGTATCATAGCACTTCTGAATGTAGTGGTCTTTAGACCAGGCATAGGCAAAGTTGGCCCTCCAGATGTTTTGAGACTACAATTCCCATCATCCCTGACCACTGGTCCTGTTAGCTAGGGATCATGGGAGTTGTAGTCCCAAAACATCTGGAAGGCCGAGTTTGCCTATGCCTGTCTTAGACATTCCAGGTCTTTTGACAATGGAAGAACTCCCAGCCCTTAATTGTGTGGGAGATTGGCACCAAGAAAGAGGGCGCTTCCGGGTTTGCCGCAACCATAACCCAAAGGTTCCACTGTACTTGCTTTGTACATCCATTTGTGATTAAATTTGACAAGACGTCCGATCTTCCCTTTGTGTTCCCGAATTAAGTTCCTTAAATATGCATTTAAACTTTACTTTCTCTATGCTATTTGACTTACTATAAATTTAATTTTATAAAATTATCCTACATACACAATCAATCAAGACTACATACACAATCAATCAAGACTTGCCAACAGATTGATCTTTTGACAGTGTTCTTTTACATATGCTCTGTATATATCCCACTCTCTGATAAATTTTTCATCTGTAACGTCTCTTAACCTTGCTGATAATCTCGCCAGCTTGGCATACTCTTATTTTTTGCCATTCTAATTTAGATTGGATATCCTCTCCCTTCCAGCCTTTTAATATTAGAATTCTGGCAGCAACTGTTACATACATTGGCAGTGCATTGCAGTTGATAACAACAAGCAGACAAATCTTCACCCAGATCCTCAGCAGTTTTCAAGTGGTCTGTGAGGAAGAAAGTTTGGGACCCCCTGTCTTAACGGATGTTAGATTTCCCTGAATTTTCCAGTTCTTAGATAAGCATTGAAGCATCTCAGGTGGTTCTGTGGCTCCTAGGGCTGCTTCAAGACATTGGTTGCCTGAGGTGTTACAACAAATTTCACCTTGATGTGTGGGGAGAAGCAGACTAATAGCCAAAGTTGGCCAAATTATTTGAGCACCCAGTGGAGAAAATCTCTCACTCCGGGGTCTGTCTGATAGTTTTATATTTTCTTATTCTTCATCTTGGAATAGAACCTAGAAGTTTAACTTACTGCAGTCTAATTTTTGTACTTCACCCCCCCCAAAAAAAAAACCTTGTCCCTATTTTGTTCCACTTTTTAGTTGATCGAAGTAACAGAATCACTCAAATAATGTACTTTAGAAAACTTTAAAAAAAATAATAATATGAAGTTGGAAAATGGGGTTCCTCATTCTCTCCTACCCCCCTTTTTTCTGGGAAGGGATTCTGGTAAAGTTGTGATCAGCTCTGATGGGCCATCAGACAGGGACACATTCAGCTAACCGTTTGATTCTGGCCCAAGGCTAAGGCGATCAGCTCCTTTAGTTCAAAAACAAAACACCAATGTGTTTGGATTCCCCTGGTATTTGTGAAGGATATGAGTTTATCAGAGAAGCTATTTGCTTGACTAGACTGGGAGAAAGATCTAATCGGTGTCTGAAGAAAGATAACATATGCTAAAGACTAGTACTGCAAGTTTTAAGTGATTAGTCATCCTCTGCGGCAGCAGTATATACAAAGAAAAATTCTTCCCTGGGGGGACTTTTCCCCACATTGTCCCAGCACCTGCTCATTGGCAGACCAGTCTGGGAAGTATCCTCAGACACACACTCAGTTCAGTTACTTAATCTGTCCCTGTGGAAAAACTGGTCTGACTACCAAGGAACTGACTGCCATGTGGATTCCGGTATCATCACTGAGAAATAGGTTTATTCATACACGTAACCTTGTCCCAAGGCTTTTCAGGCTAATAGGGCCTGGTAGCTGATCAGTGTCATTCCCTCTGCACATGAGTAATATGTTTGTATCCAGATGCTCTAAAAAAAACAACAAGGCAGCAATATTCTGCCATTAAGAGCTAAATTAGCTTTCGACGAAGGTGATGGACTATATGGAACTGGCGGAAATGACTGGCAGAATCTGAGACCAGGGAGAAGAGTCGATGGAGGAAGATTGGAAAAAGTTTAAAGATTATTTACAGAAATATTGTAAAATTAATGAATGTTAAAATGATGCTGGATAGAAACTAAGTGGTCTCTAGCTGAAAGGTTATAAGGGAAGATGAAAAAAGGGTTTATTAGGTAATATGTAAAAATCTAAAATTACAACATTTTTATGATTAATGATTAGGATATTAAAAGAGGGGAGCGATTTGCTGAACAAAATAATTGAACTGGAATACAAAAAAGGAAGGTGTGAGGAGGTCCTGGAAATAAGTAAATGAAGGTTAAGTAATGGAAGGAAAGAATTGATTTTAAATATTTTTACTATGTATTTTTTATATATTTTTTTCTTTTTTTGTGTGTGTTTTGTAAAACATTGAAAATTTTAATAAATATCTTATTAAAAAAAAAAGAGCTAAATTAGCTTTGGGGTTGAGAGCCTCGGCTGTTTTGGTGATCAACTTCTGATAATGCAATGTACACTTCTAATTCACAAAAAGTCAGTCTCTCTCTCTCTCTCTCACACTCACACACACACACACACACACACAGGGGGAGAGAGATGCAATCAAAATTATTTGACCCCCATTGCGAATCAGGTTTATTACCAAAACTGCTGACTTTCAGCTGTTTGCAAGGGGCAAATTGAACAAAAGCAATTGAAATAGCTACCATGGATGCTTCTAGTGCTTTCCCCCCAAATTACAACTTAGGATCCTGGCTTCTCCACTCTATATGCAACTATATATGACCTGTCTGTTGAACGGAGTTGGTGAGAAACCTCTCATGAGCTGATGGCTTAGCCCAGTGGCAGGAAAGCTGTGGCGCTTGCTGCAGCTTTTGTTGTCCCTGACCACTGGCGACACTCAGTGGGCCTCATGAGAATTGTAGGTCAATAGCATGGCCACACGTTCTCTTTTTTTTAAATGATATTTATTAAAATTTCAGAGAATACAAGAATTACACAAAAACAAAAAGTAAAAATACAAGAAAATACAAAATACTGAAAAAAGAATAAAAGACACTTAAAAATAAAAAAATAAAAATAAAAATGGATCAATCTTTCCATAACTTACATTCATATCCTTGTTTCCCTGACCTCCTCATACCTCCCTTTTTTGTATTCCAGTTCAATTAGTTAAGTCAGCAATTTCTTTCCCTCTTTGTTTTCTCATGATTCTTTAACTTAATATACTATAACTTTAAATTTTCATCTGTTATCAATCCTTTTTTACTTCACACGTTCTCTACCCCTGGCTTAACGGGTCAGAATCTATAAGTCTTACTTGTTTCCTGGGGGAATATTGGTGGTTAACTGGTGACCAGTGGTTTAGGCTTTGAGGCCTGGGGGCCTGAGTGGGAAAGACAGCTACAACCCCTGGGTGTGAGATGGCTGTGGTGTTAATTTGGTGTGTTTTCCCATAAACAAGCCGTCCCTGTTCTGTTTACCAAAGTCCACCTTTTCTCCCTCCTTTCTCCCTAGGTTCCTGTTACTACCTCAGAGGATCTGGAAGAGTTTGCCAAGTTGCTCAAGCACAAAAGAATCTCGCTGGGCTTTACTCAGGCAGACGTGGGACTGGCCCTGGGTCTGCTGTATGGTGGGTATTTTTCAGTGTTAATTAATTAATAATAATAATTAATAATACCACAAAGGAGACCTTTAAGGTGTTCAGTGTGGGAATCCAGAAACAAGTCGAATGCAATGAACTTATTCCCCTCCTGCAGATATGGGGGTAATCGGGTGGAAATGCTTATTGGGCTGGACCAGGCACAGGCAAACTCTGCCCTCCAGCTGTTTTGGGACTACAATTCCCATCCTCCCTGACCACTAGTCCTCTTAGCTAGGGATGATGGGAGTTGTAGTCCCAAAAACATCTGAAGGGCTGAGTTTACCTATGCCTGGGCTGGACCAATACATTTTGCTGGCTGAGGCAAAGCAGCAAGTTGCATATTTCTTCTGCCTGAAGCCAAGGTGCATATATACTAGTGGTGGATGGGCTGTTAAAGGAGGGGTTGTGCCTCTGATGGGGGAAACATCGTGCTCCTTCTGGGGTAGTTTTTCTGCCGTTGGTCGTCCCCCCCCACCTCATCTCTCACCCGTGGCTCCCAGAAGCTGTCAGCATGCAACGGATCAGGCATAGGCAAACTCGGCTCTCCAGATGTTTTGGGACTACAATTCCCATGATCCCTAGCTAACAGGACCAGTGGTCAGGGAGCGATGGGAATTGTAGTCCCAAAACATCTGGAGGGCCAAGTTTGCCTATGTCTGCAACAGATGGTTGGATGGCTCCTTCCAAAAACTCCTGCAGTCAAGCTGGTGCCAAATGTATGACTCTGCTTTCCTTTGGACCACATCAGGGAGGCCAAGAGGGGTGTATCTGGGCAGCCCAGGACCTTTAGACACACTTCCCAGGCTTCCCCCTACCCCCGGGGAAGGCCTGGGTGGAAAAATAAGCCTGTGGCTAGTGGTGAAAACTCACAAGAGTTATCACAGATCCCTCCTTTGGAGGCAACTGAACCAAAAATGGCTGCCTCCAATCTTGGGCTGCCTCTGATCTGAGTCTAGGCTGTGCTTTTCATTCTTCTTCTTCTTCTTCTTCTTCTTCTTATATTTTATTTATACCCCGCCCTCCCCACCCAAGACCGGGCTCAGGGCAGCTAACACCGGTATAAAAACAATTGATTGAAATACAACTTAAAAACAAGATTAAAACACAACGCTAAAATGCCACCTCATTTCAGTAGGAACTCAAATCAAAAACTTTTTTTGGGATGAAAACGTCAAGTCTTCACCAAGGCCAACTATCCAGACTGGTCCTACGTGGACCAGAAAAAAGCCAGCGAAGTCCCCAATTATCATGCAGAGTTATAGTTCCTGTTGCATTGCCTACCTACCTCTGCTTCTAGCGCACTCCCTGCATTCCTGTCCCCAAATCTGGTTTTTGCCTGTCTTCTTCTTTTCTCCCTCCCGCAGGGAAGATGTTCAGCCAGACCACGATCTGCCGCTTCGAAGCCTTGCAGCTCAGCTTCAAGAACATGTGCAAACTGAAGCCCCTCCTCCAGCGCTGGCTGGAAGAGGCTGATTCCAACGAGAATTTGCAGGAGGTGAGCCTTCTGGAGAGAGGGAGATGAATGGCGTGTCCCTGGGGCTGGGGAGAAGTCTTCGTCCGGGTTGCTAAATTATTATTATCAAACCATTGCTTGCTACCCTAATTGGGGCTGCGCAGAGTTGCTTTGGCAATATTGATTGGCTTCTGCCCCAAAGAGCTTAGGCTGTATACCTGAAGGCTGTATACCCCCATTGTTCAGCCCGGACACTGAGATCCAGCGCCGAGGGCCTTCTGGCGGTTCCCTCATTGTGAGAAGCGAAGTTACAGGGAACCAGACACAGGGCCTTCTCGGTAGTGGCGCCCACCCTGTGGAACACCCTCCCTTCAGATGTGAAGGAAATAAGCAGCTATCTTCTCTTTAAAAGACATCTGAAGGCAGCCCTGTTTAGGGAAGTTTTTAATATTGAATGCTGTATTGTTTTTAACACTTGATTGGGAGCCACCCAGAGTGGCTGGGGAAACTCAGCCAGATGGGCGGGGTATAAATAATAATTTATTATTATTATATTATTATATCCAGCTAAATCAGGGGTCGGCAAGGTTTACCTTGCCTGGGCCGGTTCACTCCAGTGGAGATCCCGGATTGCATGCGTGTGAGTGTGCGCACGCCTGCAATTATCTGTGTCTGCGCAGTCGCGATTTCCGGCGCTGCGGTAGTGAGTCCCTGCACTGTGCTGCGCCAGTTTAGTACAGCGCACGGGGACTCGCCGAGAAGGTGGCTCGGTTTGGGGGCAGCTCGTGGGCTGGTTAAACGACCCCCATGGGCTGCTTGTAGCCCATGGGCCTTAGGTTGCCTACCCCTGAGCTAAGTCATTGCACACACCATTCTGCGAGTGCAGCAGAATTCATTTCCCTCTTATCTCCCTGCACTTCCCGAAAATTATACCAGAGTGTAGGGAGGGAAACCCTAGAGCAAATCTAAGGGGTGCAGCGGCGGCAGGAGGAAGGAAAAGGAGGGATAGTTGCTATGCGCTCACAGAAGTTGTTTTCCACATGCGATGATTTGGTCCGATGCAACTCATTCATTCTAAAATATGTTGCCCCAAAGAGATTACAGTCCAAAACAGTGATAAAAATGTATTAAATGTATAAGCCAGAAGTGTATTAAATTTATAAGCGAGAAGTGAGGTTACAGGGAACCAGGCAGAGGGCCTTCTCGGTGGCGGCGCCTGCCCTGTGGAACGCCCTCCCACCAGATGTCAAGGAAATAAGCAACTACCTGACTTTTAGAAGACATCTCAAGGCAGCCCTGTTTAGGGAAGTTTTTAAATATTTGATGTTTTATTGTGCTTTTAATTCTGTTGGGAGCCGCCCAGAGTGGCTGGGGAAACCCAGCCAGATAGGCGGGGTAATAATGAATTATTATTATGGAAATATAAAGGTGGTATGCAGAACCAATTGCAGATGCTGCTACAGCAATAAAAATACAGGGCCAGTAACTTCTAAGTGGAGGGAAAGATGAGGTTATCTAGGGGGCACTGTGGACAAGTACTATCTTAAGGCTTCATCATCACATTTGGGAGTGAGGCTGAAGAGAAAATGACAAAGCCGACGAAGGAAAAGTGGATTTGAAGGAGGTGAAGGGGATACCATTTGCACATCTCGAGGGGGGCAGTTTAATGTTCAGGGATAAGGAGACTGGGCAAAGTTGTTTAAGGGGCCTGGATACTTTTTTTGAGGGGGTGAAGGTCATGGGCAGAGATCAGGGCCTGATTTAGGTTTGATGAGGCCATAAGCTACTGAAGGTAACAGGGCCCTTTATATGTCCAGCCGTCCTTTGTCAACAACAAAGTGTCGCTGTTTTTTGTGTTGAATATATGCTATATGGTAATTTATGGACCTAATAGGTATCTAAAGCCATTTGCACATATCAAAATATGTATTTTATCAAAGTAATTGCTGAACTGAAATACAATTAAGAAGTATATTAATAGTGAAATGGGGGGGGGGGACCTAAGCTATAGCTTGTTTAGCTTATATCCGGCACTGGCAGAGATACAAGAAGCAAAGATAGGCTTTGGAAAGTAAGGCAAGGAGTCCATGCTAAAGAAGGGAAGCCAGTAACTGACTAGAAAAAGACTATCTGCTTATTATTATTTATTTCATGAAACTTATACGCCGCTTGATTTGAGGGTTTGATTTCTTATTTTTTTTTACAAAATATAAAAGAGCCAAAACAACAACAACCCAGTGTTGTGGGCAGAGTGATAGGAGAGCTAAATTATGTTGGCAGTGGAGTTAGAGACCGAGATGCGACTGTGCCAGGCCAGGGAGAAGGAGGATGAACAGACTATTAACCAGAACTTTAGCTTATAAGAATAGAGGAAGGATGTGTGTGTGGAGTTCGCAATACTGTGGGAGAAGAAGGGCTACAATTTGGCAAATGTGAGTTTGTGGTGTGTAAGGGGAGACGAAATGAATCCAAGGCTGGTCTTGATGATGATGATGATGATGATGATGATAGTAATAATAATAGTAATAATAAATATTTATACCTCGCCCATCTGGCTGGGCTTCCCCAGCCACTCTGGGTGGCTTCCAACACAATATTAAAATACAGTAATGCATCAAATGTTAAAAGCTTCCCTAAACGCCAAGAGAAAGCTCAGAGGCGATCACTTGGGGAGAAAATCATTCGAACTAGGAAATCTTAACTTCACATTGTGTATTGTACACCCCGTGCTGGTCCTTCCTAGCAGAAATGCCACCATCCGTCCCCAAAAGTGAAGCGTCATGGGCTTTGGGCAGCCTCAATATTTGCAGAAGTACAACCCTTATAAAGAAAGCAAAGAACACCTTAAGCCTGAGGAGGACGGCAACAACTAAAACAGCCCAGTGGGGGCTGAGGACATAAGTTGGGCCATACTGGGTTAGGCCAGGTATGTAGGAATATGAGAGGAAGAGAGGGGAAGCATTTCAGAATTTAAAGAGCAAGGAAAGCTGGGGGGGGGGGCATCTGGGGAAATGGTGGTATATGAAGGGCTTAGAACAGATTGAAGCACAGTGGACAATTCCGATATTGCGGAGGGGGAGAATGGACCAGAGTAGAACATCAAAGGTAAAAGAGGCTCTAAGGTAAAGGTAAAGGGACCCCTGACCATTAGGTCCAGTTGCGGATGATTCTGGGTTGCGACGCTCATCTCGCTTTACTGGCCGAGGGAGCTGGGGTACAGCTTCCGAGTCATGTGGCCAGCATGACTAAGCCGCATCTGGCGAACCAGAGCAGCGCACGGATACGCCGTTTACCTTCCCGCCAGAGCGGTGCCTATTTATCTATTTGCACTTTGACGTGCTTTCGAACTGCTAGGTTGGCAGGAGCTGGGATCAAGCAACAGGAGCTCACCCTGTCGCAGGGATTTGAACCGCCGACCTTCTGATCGGCAAGTCCTAGGCTCTGTGGTTTAATCCAAAGCACCACCCGCATCCTAAAAGAGGCTCTAGGATTTGCCAAAATGGCTATCGATCAGGGTGGCGTAGCAATGTTGGTTGGTTGGCCAGCCAGCCCAGAGGGTGAATATACTTGAGTCATTTGACCGTGGCTTACATTGGGAGGGAGTTATCGAGGCTCCCAGCGCCTCCCTGTGGCTATGTCAGTGAGCGCACACAGGAGGAGCGTGGAAGAGTCTGCTCAGTCACTGATGGGAAGGGTGGGTTGCTGTGGGTCTGGGTTGTGGGTTTGGCACCATCACCAAACATGGCTATCCCTTGTGCAGCAGCTGTGCTCCATGGAGTCTGCCATGATCCAAGCCCGGAAACGTAAACGTACCAGCATTGAGAACAGCGTGCGGGGCACCCTCGAGTCTTACTTCCTGCGCTGCCCCAAGCCCAACGTGGACGAGATCGAGCAGATTGCTGATAACCTCAGCCTGGAGAAGGATGTGAGTGACACCCATCTTTCTTCACCTTCCCAAGCACCTGCTACTTCACTACTCCTGGCAAATAAAAATAAAAAAATCTTTTGCCATCAAAATGAGCCCAGTCCAACATGACGGGCTCAAGCTCCTTACAGTGAGCTAGGAAGGGAAAGAGACACACCCTTCTGAGTCACAGTTCGATTTTAGGTGATGAAACTAGATACTTTAACCTAGTGCAGGGGTGCCCAAACTCAAAGAGGGCCAGATTTGATGAAGTGAACATGCGTGAGGGCCGACCAAAGTTGTTGACCTTTTTTAAGGATTGAGGTTGTTGAGCTTTTAAGATTGAAGTTTTTTTTTGAGATTTTACCCCAGGAAATAAACTGCCACAGGGGCCAGATTAAACTTGACCAGTGGGTCAGATTAGGCCCTCAAAACAGACTTTGGACATGCCTGTCCTAGTTCATCCCAAACCGCCTCTCCCTTGACCACTGGATATTTGCTGAGGGTCTTGGTAGGCTATTTAGCTATTGCACCCTCCGTTCTTCACGCATGCATACGACACCCATGTTCTTCGCAAACAGATGCACATAACTCCATCAAGTTGCCACTGCAGACCACTTAAGCGAATCTCACAGACCACTAGTGGCCTGCGGATTTCACTTTAGGAACTGCTGCAATAGAGAATTAGATTTATGTTGCAAGTCGCCGGCAGGTGGTTAACTATCGCTTCCAGTTCCAAGTGTTCAGCACTGAATTCATGCTCTGAAAATGTTGAGACCTACCTGCGTGAACTTAAGAGCTGCCTTTGCACAGGATAAGGCCAAGGGTCTAGAGTGGGCTTCCCTAACCTGTTGCCCTCCAGATATTTTGGGCTCCATCAGCCCCGACTGTTTGCTCTGCTGCCTCAGGCTGATGGGCACCACGGTGGTATATACTGGCTTAGTGTTTTGATTCCAACCTTCCCAATGCCTCTTACAAGGGAGATATGAAGGGAGCAGCCTACACACACACACACACACACACACACACACACACACACTCTCACTCTATGCTTGCCTTCACTATCTGGTATTCAGGAGTGTCTAAATACCCACTTAGCTATGATGGAGATTCAGAGGTAACTTAACTTCCCCTTTTAGCTGTGATGCCTAACCTAAGCTGTTCACCACCACCATTTTGACTGTATTCCACAAGATTGTGCGAAGTATTTCCACTTGTCAGTTCTTAACCTACTGCCAGTCAATCTAATAAATTAATCCCCTGCTCTGGTATTTTGTAGGGAGGGTATAATATTTATCTACTGATTTGTTGCCATTTATAATATATCCACCTCTATCCTGCCCCCATGAATGCTCATTCATTCATTGCAATTATTTCCCACCTTTCAGCTGTGAAAGCCCTCAGAGCAGCTTACAAATCAATTAAAAAAAAAAAAGCAGCCACTCCTCAGGCTTACAGTGTCCAAAAAGACATAACTCAAAAGAAAAAAGGACTGGATGATAAATGAGCAAAATTCACACCCAAATCGCTGCATTTGGGGTTGGACAGCAAATGGTTTCTGCAAATCTTGGGGTTCTGCCACCTGGGGCCAGATCTGAACATGCAGATTTAATTATTGTTTGTTAAAATAATGCCTTTTTTTAAAAAAGAAAAAATCGCTTCTGACGTTTATTATTCAACAAGCAAAACGTGCAAGCAACACAAGTCCCAGCACTCCCGACTTTAGAGTTGGGGACTGAGGCCAAGGAGTGTGGGAGGTCATTCCAAGAGACTTGTGTTCCTGTTCTGCAATGCCCAAGAGAGAAGGTCTTGCAGAACCCTCTGGGGAGACGAGAAATGGCAGGAAGGAGGTGTGGGTCAAGACGGAGGACGTTGCCTTGGCAGTAACCTATATATGTCATCTTCTTTTCTCCCCCTTTGCCCGCACCCTTGTAGGTTGTCCGCGTCTGGTTCTGCAACCGTCGCCAGAAGGGCAGGCGCAACTTAGGGGCTGGCTCGCGGGATGATTACGACGGGCCGGCCCTACCGCCTCCCTTCCCTCATGGCGCACGCCAGGCTCCGCCCCCCGGGCTCGGCCCTGCCCACCACCAGCTGGGCCCACCCCACCAGGGCTACAATGGCGCTGCCTTCGCTGCCCTGTACCTGCCCCCATTCCACGAAGGGGACGCCTTCGTTCCTTCCCCCTCTGGCTCTGCCGTCATGGGCCACCCAATGCATTCGAGCTGAAGAGACCCTCCCCCCCTTTAAACAAGCTTCTCCTTCCTAAGCCTTGGTCGGGAAGGAGGCTCTCTTGCTACTTCCCTGCTTTCTAACTAAGGAGCCTTTAAGAAAGGGCTTGTCTAATTTTCGTCTTTTATTTTTTGCTTTTTAAATCAGGCATGCAGGACTTCTTGGCGGCATTGCAATCTTGAGGGGAAACAGGCGAGGCATCTAGCTTTTTATCGTAACCGTGGCTTTAAATTGCCGCTCATCACATTCCCGAGGCGAGAAAATTGTGCCCCTAGAACAGGCATAGGCAACTTTCGGCCCTTGAGACTACAATTCCCATCATCCCTGACCACTGGTCCTGTTAGCTAGGGATCATGGGAGTTGTAGGCCAAAACATCTGGAGCGCCGAAGGTTGCCTATGCCTGCCCTAGAAGCATCAATGGGGACTTTTAACAAAAAGAGTTCTAGTTTGCTGGAGCCATCTTTTTAATCTCCATTGTATCACTACAATTGTAATCTGGACATCAGCTCTCTCTCTCCCCCCCCCCCCAAGACTGAAAGAATTGACAGCAGCCTTTGCCAACCTGCTGCTGTCCAGATGTTTGGACTACCATCAGTCCCAGTCAAGTCTTGGTCTGATGGGACTCGTAGTCCAAAACATCTGGACAGCACCGGGTTGGGAAAGCAGTCGGAGAAGAATCGTGCTTTTAAGTTCAGCATTTTAAAGAAGCATTCTCCTGTTGAGATCAGTGAGGCTTAGAAGTGCTTTAACAATGGCCTGGTATACAATTAGCAGTTGAGATGCAAAACTTAACACTTTGATTCTGCAGCTGACAACTGGGTAGTTCAGTTTTCCTCCATGCAACAAAAATCCCCTGGGGAGAAGGATAATACTTCCTTCGACGAAAGAACTGTACAGAAGTCTGCAGTCCAGAGAGTTTATAGAATGTGGTGTCCTCTTCTGCATTAACTAGGGCCAGTGATTAGGTTGTAGCAACCTTTCTAGAAAACCTAGGTTAGCAGGTCCCCAGGAATCCTTTTAATCTGGAATGTCTCCTGAAATGGATTCTCTTTTAGGCCTCCTGTCACACTGTCAAACCTCAAAGTAGATTTCGTTCTAGGCGCTGACTTCCTCTCTTGAGCAAAGAATGCAAAGTTAGTTTTGAAACCAAAGTTAGTTTAGAAATTTGTGTGTGCGGGAGACTGATTGGAAGAGATTGGGATTCATGAATGCATGTCTTTTCCTGAAAATTTAGGGTGGTCCTTTTGGTGCTCTAGCACAGTTTTCATTTGTCCCTTTTTTAGAAATACCTTGCCTCGTTCACAAATTGCGGCAAACGTCTGAAACAATTATTTTAAAAGAGAAAACAGTGAGAGGCATTTGATTTCCTCTTCACTCCCTTTCCCATTTATTTGCTACTCAGTATTTACTGTTGCCTCTAGTATGGAAAAAGCACGGTTGTTGTAGTGGTGTTCTTAAAAATAAAATGATCCGTAACAATTTGGTCTCTTATCTGAACTGTATGCATGCCATTTCTCATAACAGACCCCTATTAAAAAAAATAAAATGCCAATCATACTCGTGTGTGTCTCATTTTCAAAACCAGGAGCACACTGACTCCTACCAGGTTGGTACACAAACCAGTTTAGTCATCCTTGTACCCCCATTGCATTCTCTGACTTGTCATCCTACTCGACCTGCCATCTAATTTTCTCATCTGAACAGGCAGAGGAATAGGGTGGCCTTACAGAAATACATTTATTAGCTAGAAAGCCCCCAGTGTAAACATCAACTGTTATGAAATGGGAGACACCAACTTTTGCAGTTTGGGTTTATTTCAATTACTGTGATCACGCCTGGTGCAAAAAGGAGGGGTGCCCTAGCGGAGGAAAAGGACAAATCCTTCCATCTACAGTGAATAAAGCAAACTGGCAGAACACGCTTGCAGGAATAAACCCCCCTCCCTAAACTACAGGAGTCTTTGGTTATGTTGCAGAAAGTTCACTGCGTTAGCTTATTTTTGATTCAGCGTTTCAGAAGGCAGATTCCTTGGCGGGTACATTGCTAGCCTTTGGTCCCACTAGCAGTGGCAGAAGCAAGCGTGCGGTCTCTGTGGCTGACTAGCAACATGATGCAACAGAGCCTTTGCAACTTCCCTGAATCCCATTGCTCTGCTTCTGGCACAATGCTGTGCCCCATTCCATCCTTGGCTTGCTAAAGGAGGGGCCCTGCTTCTTGCTCAGAACGTGGAGTAATGGCTCTAAAGAGATGGAGTCCACACCTTCCCAGAGGGCACAAGCTGGGCTGTGGTTTCCTAGGCGTCGTCTCTTAGGGACTGGATGTTGGGCTTTCACCATTTTCAGTGGTGCTTGGGGCAACCTGGGGGAAACCAAGGGCTTGGCTACAGCTCTGGCTTTTTGCTGCCCGTTAAAGGGAAGTGCAGGCACATAACACTTCTGCGTGCATTGTGTGTGCCTATGAAAGTGTGCAAATGTTTGCGCCCCTGTTGCTGGCCGGTGAATCACCGGATTCTGTTCCTACCCTAGAAACTGGAATGACCGAATATTATTGAATTGTGTAAAAACATCTGCTCAGTCTCATCCCTTAGGAAAACCCACAATGCCTAACAAATTTATTGAGGCGTAAGCTGCTCCGGACTAGAGATGCTGTTAGAAAAATAATAGTTCAGGGACTGCAGTATGAGTCACACTGTTCTTGCTGTGACTATATGTGGGCTGCTTATCGGCGTGACACAGAGCCACTGCTCGCTCTTTGTGCCTCAAAGCTTTTGGTCCTGCTATTTGTCAAACATCATACATGCGCACCATGTTCGTGTGTATGCATACAGTGGCTGAGTTCTCACGTAACACTAAACTGTGGTTTGTTTAACAAACCATTGCTTGTTTCTCCAGTTTGTTTTGTCTCCCTGCTGCTATTACCTCATGCCTTTGTAATTTGGCAAGCATCTGCAGCGCTCAGGAAAGGTCCTACACTGTAGTTAAAGCAAGCCATGGTTTATAAGCCAGCAACAAACTGGGACTTTGGACCCAACCATAAACTGCTGGTTCACACATATAATACTAAAGCATGGTTTAATAACTATTGCTTGATAAACCACGGTTTAGTGTTATGTGCACGAACTGAGGATAGCACTTTGTGCAGCTGATGAAATGGGACCTGGCCTGTCAAAGCTGCCGCCGCCACCATAAATCTTGTCATTAGTCTTTAAGGTGCCATAAGACTCTTGCTTTCACTGCAAAACTACTTAAGTGCCAAGTTAGATGCATCAAGGATAGCTACAGTGATTGTGCATCTGTCATGTTTATGTCTAAAGGGGGAAAGGCTGGGGTTTGCTTGTTTTTCCCTTTACATGAAAAGAGCACATTTGCAAGAAGAGTTGTGACCTTCTAGCCCAGTGTTGGTGCAAAGGAGGAACAAAAAAGCAAAAGCAGATCTGAGGTAAAATGGCGGGAGGTGCAAGTCCCTCTCACCTGCACACTCCTTTGGGTGCCAAACTCGACACACACACTTCATAAGTGAACAGGGCAGATGGGCGACTGCCACTCTATGACTGCCCCATCACCTCCAGTTAAGGCCTACCTATAGCTGCTACTCTGGAATATAGCATCCTAAGATTCCCACCTAGTTCATCAAAACACTTGACCCCCTACTTGTCTCTTCGTAAAAAGCTTCAAGAGGGCGGGACTCTCTCCCAGCTAAGTTAACAGCAGGCATTGCTCTTCGGCAGCTGTTCCAATGTCTCATTACTGCAATAAATTGGCAGCTTCCCGGAGAACTGAGGTGAGGCAGCCGCTCGACTGCACCCTCAGAAACTCACTTCTTCTGGGGTCTCTGCATATTTTCCCAAGGTCGGCCCTGTAAAAGTTGGGCAGCTTCCCAGGCTGCAGGGCTATTGCTGCGAGGGCGGCCATTCTGCACACACCGCTGTGCAACGGGAAAACCTGCGTGCTAGGCATTCGTAAGCGGTTTCTTCCGAGTGCGGCAGGTTCTTCCCTGTAAGTTTAGAGGGTGAAGACCTCGGAAGGTAAACGGTGGCGTTGTACATCTGCCCCGATTGTCCCTCTCAAGCGATCGCTTGCCCCTTCCAGTTGAAGGCCTTGGGCCGCATAAATCAGGGGAGGAGAACCAGTGACGCTCCTGGTGTTTCCAGCTCCCATCAGACCCCAGCCAGAAGGGTCCGTGGCCGGGGAAGATGGAAGCCGAAGTCTCGCAACATCCAGAGGTCCCGTCCCTCCGCAGCTTCTAGCACTGGAGTTAGCCGGAAACTTCCCCATGTAATAATATCCATGTCTTCCCCAGTGCAATGTGGCCTCTTGGTTTTCAGAGATGGACTTGACTCCTTGACGCAAGAAAGCGAAAGTCTGGCATGTTTTCTCACAGCCTCCTCTGAGAGAGACTGCCAGGTTCTCTGTGAATGGTAAGTTTTGCTTGTCCCTGGAAGCACGCTGCTTGTGTGCAATTTTTTACCAGCCCACTTTAAAGATGGGGAAAAGTCCTTGCGTGTCCTGCTGGAGTCCACCGATATTACCCATTTGGGGGCAGGGGCGAGGGCGCTTCTCTGGCCACAGCCACCCGCGTTACGAGCGGCAGGCGGAGCAGCAGAACTCGGCCTCCTTCACGGCGCTGTAGCTGCAGCCCACGCAAGCCACGTGGAACCAGGCGTCGCAGCCATCGCACTGGACCCACTCCACCATCTCGTCCTGAGGAAGGTGGCACCTGGGGGCTGCACACGGCTCTGACGTGGACAGAGTCTGGGAGAAGACTTGGCAAGTGCTCCCCAGGGGGTTCTTCCGTGGCCGGCCGCGACGTTTCCTGCAAAGGAACAGGGAGGGATAAATAAAAAAATTGGCGCCTGCATTCCCCACCCCCATCAGCACTGCAGCAACATTTCCCGAGTGCGGATGGCGGACCATCTGCACTGTGCGCAGAAGTTACCAGGATCAATCCCTGGCCTCTCTGGGTACGGCTGCGAAAAGACTCCAGGCCAAAAATCTGGGAGGCCTGTGCCAGTCAGTGTAGAAGAATGAGTTGGGTGGGCTAATAATAGACTGACTTGGTCCAAGGGAGCTTCCTATGTTGTTAGGTAAAGGTAAAGGGACCCCTGACCATTAGGTCTAGTTGTGACCAACTCTGGGGTTCCGGTGCTCATCTCGCTTTATTGGCCAAGGGAGCCGGCGTACAGCTTCCGGATCATGTGGCCAGCATGACTAAGCCACTTCTGGCGAACCGGAGCAGCGCACGGAAACGCCATTTACCTTCCCACCGGAGCAGTACCTATTTATCTACTTGCACTTTGACGTGCTTTTGAACTGCTAGGTTGGCAGGAGCAGGGACCGAGCAACAGGAGTTCACCCCGTCGTGGAGATTCAAACCACCAACCTTCTGATCGGCAAGCCCTAGACTCTGTGGTTAACCCACAGCGCCACCCGCAGAAAAGCCAAAGGCCAACGCCTTTCCATTGGTGGCTTACAAGCAGATATTAAAATGAGAGTTTAGTGGATGAGAAGCAAAGTTAAGAGAAAATGATGAGAAGAGGAAAAGCCAAATGCTGACAGAACAAGCTGCAGATACATAAAAGGTTTATTAAAAATGACCTTTTTTTTGCTGTATGTTCCGCAGGACACCATGCCTGCTGCACAGATTCTGGATTAGTATGGGGGGAGGGGAGTTGGAAGGGACCACGAGGGTCATTTAGTCCAACCCCCTGCAACGCAGGAATCTCCCACTCAACATAGGGCTCGAACCCACAACCCTGAGATTAAGAGTCACATGCTCCACCACCTGAGTTATCCAAGTGGTGCCTTCCTTGTAAACCACTTCCAGCGTGGGGCAGAGGAGGGGACAGAAAGGCATTGATATGCCTTTGGGAACAAGTTTATAGTCATGTGGTTCATTTCTAAGCTGCCTTCTCCAGCAAGCCCAGAGAAAGCTGCCATTCCCAGCCTCTTCCTGCCCATCTAAAGCCCAGGAGCCCCATAATCTGGCTGTTCCAGAAAGCCCCAGGGCCTCTTTGGCAGATGAAAAAGTGAGTTGCCACATATGTCTGCACAAAGACTCGTTACACCGCCCTGACCGGATGTACAACTAGCAAGTTTTAACCTGTTACTTCACCCCGCTTTACATGCCTGTCCACAGCCGCTGAAGCAGGGCTAAGGAACTCCGAAATTTGTTGGACTCCAACTCCCATCAGCCCCAGTCAGGGATGATGGGAGTTTGGGTTTGCAACAACTGGAGGGCCACAGGTTCCCGACCCCATGTGTCAATTGTTGGGCTGCAGCGGGTGTGTGTGTGTGTGTGTGTCAGAATTTACCAGGTGTGCAGTTGGACTTCTACAGAATACAGTGGTACCTTGGGTTACAAACACTTCGGGTTACAGACTCTGCTAACCTAGAAGTAGTACCTCGGGTTAAGAACTTTACCTCAGGATGAGAACAGAAATCATGCTCTGGCGGCGCGACGGTGGCAGGAGGCCCCATTAGCTAAAGTGGTACCTCAGGTTAAGAAAGGTTTCAGGTTAAGAATGGACCTCCGGAATGAATTAAGTTCTTAACCCGAGGTACCTCTGTAGTACCTCGGGTTAAGAACTTTACCTCAGGATGAGAACAGTAATTGCGCAGCGGCAGCGGGAGGCTCCATTAGCTAAAGTGGTGCTTCAGGTTAAGAACAGTTTCAGGTTAAGAACAGACCTCTGGAACGAATTAAGTACGTAACCAGAGGTACCACTGTATGGCCTCCAGTTCACTATTCCAATCGCTGAGAATTTCTTTAACTGTTCAGCTGTCCAGTAAAGTATATTATAAGAAGCTGCTGAGTTAGAAACTGGCTGCAGTGGCTACAGCAGCAGTGGAACTGCATGGGCAAAGGAGAAAATGTTGCCTGATGTCATTATAACAGGTGATTGACAGACAGGTGGTTCTAACTAACTTTGAAACTTGGCACATGCTAGTGGGGAAGTAAGGAAGGATCCAGTTCGCCCCCTGGACTCGAGGAAGAGAAGGTACATTTCACTTTGATATATATACTTGATATGCTTCAAGGAAGAAAGGAAGGAAGGAAAAGAGAGACAGAGAGAAGGGAAGTCCTTAGCTCACTGTTTCTCAACCTTGGGTCCTCAAGCTGTTCATAGAATCATAGAGTTGGAAGTGACCACAAGGGCCATCGAGTCCAACCCCCTGCCAAGCAGGAAACACCATCAGAGCACTCCTGACATATGGTTGTCAAGCCTCTGCTTAAAGACCTCCAAAGAAGGAGACTCCACCACACTCCTTGGCAGCAAATTCCACTGTCGAACAGCTCTTACTGTCAGGAAGTTCTTCCTCATGTTTAGGTGGAATCTTCTTTCTTGTAGTTTGGATCCATTGCTCCGTGTCCGCTTCTCTGGAGCATCAGAAAACAACCTTTCTCCCTCCTCCATGTGACATCCATTTATATATTTGAACACGGCTATCATATCACCCCTTAACCTCCTCTTCTCCGGGCTAAACATGCCCAGCTCCCTTAGCCGTTTCTCATAAGGCATCGTTTCCAGGCCTTTGACCATTTTGGTTGCCCTCCTCTGGACACGTTCCAGTTTGTCAGTGTCCTTCTTGAACTGTGGTGCCCAGAACTGGACACAGTACTCCAGGTGAGGTCTGACCAGAGCAGAATACAGTGGCACTATTACTTCCCTTGATCTAGATGCTATACTCCTACTGATGCAGCCCAGAATTGCATTGGCTTTTTTAGCTGCCGCGTCACACTGTTGGCTTATGTCAAGTTTGTGGTCAACCAAGACTCCTAGATCCTTTTCACATGTACTGCTCTCAAGCCAGGTGTCACCCATCTTGTATTTGTGCCTCTCATTTTTTTTGCCCAAGTGCAATACTTTACATTTCTCCCTGTTAAAATTCATCTTGTTTGTTTTGGCCCAGTTCTCTGTCAAGGTCGTTTTGAAGTGTGATCCTGTCCTCTGGGGTGTTAGCCACCCCTCCCAGTTTGGTGTCATCTGCAAATTTGATCAGGATGCCCTTGAGTCCATCATCCAAGTCGTTGATAAAGATGTTGAATAAGACTGGGCCCAAGACAGAACCCTGTGGCACCCCACTAGTCACTCTTCTCCAGGATGAAGAGGATGTTGTTGGACTACAACTCCCAGCATCCCTGACCACTGGATGATGGGAGTTGTAGTCCCACAACAAACGGGGACCCAAGCTTGAGAAACACTCCAGCTTAGCTCATCAATGCTATGGAAATATTTCTGTTAAACCAGAAACATGAAAATCATGACGGCACCCCCTGGCGCGAACTGTACCGACCATAACACGGACTTGAAAAGGGACTCACCCGCTGGGTGTGACGTGGAGCTTCGGAGGACCCTCGTCTTCCTGCAAGTTCTGGCTCTCCTCCGGCACTCTCTGCTGGAGCCGCAAGGCGCTATGGCAATGAGCATAACCGCCCAGCCGCTGCTCCTTGCCCGGGGTCGGCTGCTCCTCCTCAAGCCGCGTGATCTCGTCCTCCAGCTCGGGCAGCAGCGTGTGAGCCGACTTGCGCCGGTTCCGGGAGGTTTTCGGCTGAGCGGGGGGTTCCGTGCACCGACCGCGGCCCAGGGAGAAGGTGAACGGCTGCGGCTTGAGCTTGCTGAGGCTGCCGATGGAGCTGAGGATGAGGGTGGCTTTGGAGCGGCAGGAGAGGGCGGTGGGCGAGTGGCGGGACAGAGGGCGGATGCGGTGGTTGCCGGAGGGCAGCACCGGCCGGAAGCCGCAGGAGGAGGCCCAGGGGGCTTTGGGCTCCGTGATAGCGGCGAAGTCCTGCGGCCGGACGTGGACTTTCTGGAAGAGGAAGTAGAACTCGGAGTTGCTGTGCGGGAGTGGCAGGGCACAGCCCTCAGGGACTGGGCTGGGGTGGCCAAAGGTCAGAAGGTCTCCGTCGTTCAGGTCCACTCGCTGGCCATGGGGCACTCGGACGGCGTTGATGTAAGTACCTGAAGGGATAATGGGGCAAGAGAAGAAGCTCACTTTCTATAGATCAACCAGTGCAATGCCTACAGGTGTGTTTGTGGAGGTTTTGAAGGCAGCCCAGGACTCCATGCTAAGCGCAGGACACGTCATAGCCTTCTGTGGGGCTCCTGTCAGTGAGGCCAGGAAGTGCAACACCACATCACCACCCCCAAATACAGTCATTAAATTTTCCCCATAGGCATGGATGGCACCCTCTCGCTTGTGCGGGACAAAACAAATTATGGGGGGGAAACCTTTGGCGTGGAGGCTGACTCTGCTACCTTGTCCCATGTGATCCCACCCATTAAGTCTGCAGGGTCCAATCTGTTTGTTGGCCGAACTGAACAAGCTCCAGGTGAAGGTAGCCTATGGATCTCAAACCCTCAGGAAGTTAGGGACTTCCCCTGCATGCAAAGACAGGTTCCAGCACATTAAGTGGACGAGACCAATAGTGGGTCCAACAGTCAAGGAGGCTGTAGAGGGAAGTGAGAGGCGGATGGGGCTCAGCAAGCTGGAAAGGGGGTTCATCTAGGAGAAGGAAAGCTCTGATCCTAAACCTCTGCTGCCTTGCAAAGAAGAAAAGGCCTTTAAGGAGTAAACCCTGCACAAAACCAGAAGGGAGGTCCTAAGGCAGTTGGACTGCGCTTTGTATGCCTCCTTCCGGCAACTCCTGCAGCCAAGCTGGGGCCAAAGGTATCGCTCTGCTTTCCATCAGTGAGGTGAGAGAGGGGTCTTGTAGTTTGGGCAGCCCAAGACCTCCATACACGCTGCCCAGGGAGGTCACTTTGGCGCTGCAAATGCAGCAGTTTGACTTCACCCCTGGGATGCATGCCATTGTCTCTCAAGACAATGTGCCAACCACACACACATGGGTGGAAACAGAACAATGTGGGGACAAAAGACCATTATACCGTATTTTTCGTCCTATAGGGCGCACCGGCCCATAGGACGCACCTCATTGGGGGGGGGGAATGAATTTTTTAAAAAATTATTCCACCCCCCCCCGCGGCTGCCGCCCCAAGCCTTGAGCACACCTGCCCGAAGCACGGGGCACCCTCCGGAGGGCTCCCCGTGCTTCGGGTGACAAGCTGCTGCCCCAAGCCTGCGCGCCGGCGGGACCTCCAGCCGGGCGCGCAAGGCTGCAGACACTCGCCCGAGCACGGAGACCTCCGAGGCTCCCGTGCTCGGGACAGCTGCCGCCCCACGCCTCACGCGCTCGGCGGGACCTCTAGCCGGGCGCGCAAGGCTTGCGGACACTCGCCGGGGCTGCAGGCTGCTGCCCGCAAGCCTTGTGAGCCCGCGGTAACTCCCACCGGGCTTGCAAGGCTTGTGGATAGCTTCCTGAAGCCTGGAGAGCGAGAGGGGTCGGTGCGCACCGATGCCTCTCGCTCTCCAGGCTTCAGCGAAAGCCTGCAGTCGCCCCATAGGACGCACACACATTTCCCCTTCATTTTTGGAGGGGAAAAAGTGCGTCCTATGGGGCGAAAAATACGGTAGTTCCGCACAGGAATGACAGACTACAATTCATGGCCATTTGTATCTGCTGTTATGTCTGTCTGTCTCTCTCTTACACACACACACCCCTCTTGTGGATAAATATATGCAAATTGGAGCTTTGGTCAACATGTCTAGTTCCACCTGTTTCACCACACTGAGGATTAGGAGCCGAGCATAAGGCAACGTCTTTGCAATGGTTCGGTCTGAATGCAACCCCACGCTTGGTGGCACAAACAGTTCCAAGGACTTACCATGGGTGCTGTAGTCCACCAGGCCAACTCGCCACTCCCCGGCGGTGCTGTCAGAATCCCTCTCAGCATGGATCTCTGCATGGATTCGCGAGACCAAGGCTGGGTTCTCCTCCGACACCAGGACGACATCGCAGACCTCGGCTCGGCGGCCCAGCCGGTAAGTGCAGCTGGGCCTAGCAGGCCGGAAGGTGTAGAGATCCCGGTTGGGTGAATCCCCAGGCGAAGCCGGGCCCATCCGGAGTAACTGGAAGCAGGGGAGGGCCTCAGAGAGCATGGCTTGCTCCCGGTGTCTCCCTCAAGCACAGAAGGGGTGGCGGACAGGGCTCTTGGCTTCACCCAGGAGGAAAAAGATGCTTCTGACGGTTGGGAACGCGAATCAGGCAGCGGCGGTGGCAGCAGGGCTTAGCGGTTGCATCCACTCCACACAATCCACCTTCAGCTAGGATGAGCAGGGAGCTTCTGAAAGGGCGGCAAGTTCTTCAGTGTGCAGACTGGAAACATAGCAGCATGGTGTGCAAAAAAAAAAAGTCAGAAGTGCAAAACGGGGGGGCAGCCAACGCAAAGGATGGACCGGGTACCACAGGACACAAGCTCTGCAGCGACAAGTTGAACTGTGGAGCACAGATTTGGGGGTGTTTTGCCAGGAAAACACACCTTAACTGCTACCTTGATGGGCCTTATTGCACAGGAAAGCAAAGCCTTCTCTCCGCCCCGTGACCAAACCACTCCTATGCCCGCTTCTTGGCCACGAGCGCCACTTCAGAGGTTCTCCGAGTGCAATTTGCTCAAGACAAAGGGGCCCAGAACCCTGAATGGGCGCAGATCTATTCCCCCCGCCCTGGAAGGTGCAAGTTGTCTTTGGGTGCCTGGAAACCCCGTTTCTGCTGGCACTAGTGCAAGGACGCTCCGGAAGGCCCCTGCAAGGAGACGACCGCCTGGTCCGCCCGCGATCCTCTCGCAGGCAGGTGTGGCGCTGGGACTCCGGAATGCCGGGCTCCTGACAGGGGGCGGGCTCAAGAACCCCCGTCTCCTTGACAACGCAAGCAGAGGCCTCCGTCCCCTTGGCAACGCGCTTCCTCGGGGCCCTCTCGCCTCTCTTCCCGCAGGAGCCGGCGGCGGCTTTCCCGGCAGCGGCAGCCACAGCTGGAGCCGGGAGTTTCTGCGGCGGCCGCTACCGAGGAGGCTTACCCGGGGCTCCGAGTGGCGCGCGCTGCCTCGCGATTGGTCCAGATTAGGGAGGGGAAAGGGGGGAGGGCAGCTGGGCCGGGTCCTATTGGCCGGCTGGAGGGAAAGTCTCTGTTCTCATTGGCCGAGAGCAGCGAGGGGGGCGGCGAGCGTGCATGAGCGCGCGAGGTAAGGAGTCCGGGCTCGGGCGGAGGAAGGTGCTGATTGGCCGGTGCCTCACAGAACCGGCGTCTGGGGTGGGCGACGCGCTCGTGGCGCGTTTCCAGCGGGGGAAGGAGATTGGCTGGGCCGGCGGGCGGCTGGGCCGGCGTTGGAACCGCGCATGTGCGAGAAGGCGAACGTCGGGAGGCGCGGCCCCAGCTGACTCGCTTGTCATTGCGCTGTCGCCCGCGCGGGAACGCAGGCGGCCCAGGGGTCTCCGCCCCGCCCTGCCAGGCTGTCTTCGTGGAAAAAGAGGCTGCGGAGGGGCGCCTTCCGCCTCCCACCGAGAACGCGAGCTGCTTCTGCGCTCCTCCTGGTAGACACGGAAGTAATTGCCCCATTCACACGTGCACAAAACAGGCCCACCCCAATCCCCGCTATTATTCCTTCTAGGAGCGCAGGTGAGCACAAGCATCAGCCAGGGTGAAGGAGCAGCCTGTGGGCTGCACAGTACTGAGGACTGGCATCGACGATGTCTGCTACTATAACCATGGAGTGGCACCATAGCAGGGACTGGGCTCAATTGTGCTTCATGTGCCCCCTCCAGGAGTGGTCCAGAGGGTGGCAACACGCCTTTGCTGTGGTACCTCCACGTTTGCGGAATGCTCTGGGGGGATGTTTTTAATGAATTTCTCTTTCCTCTTGGTTTAAAGGAATCTGCAGGGGTTTGTTGTCTACTTGTTTGGATTTATCTTGCTTTGGGTTGCCCTGGGCAAGATAAAGCAACTATAACAGTTTTAATAAATGAAATAATAATTAAATGAATCCCAGTTTATACGTTCCCCACTTGTGGCCAGGCCTGCCTTTGCATTGCATCTGCTAAACCTATGCCACAGGAGTCGTCTCTCGGGGGCATGGCATCACTGTGGGCCCATAGAGCAGATCTGGCTCAGGGAGTGTTTTTCAACAACATTCATACACAGCTTGAAAGAGGAGGTGGTCTTCTACCTCAGTTGCTGTTTTATAGCTAGACTTCACAAGAAGAATGAAGTGTCATTTTGCATTCACAGAATCAGAAAACAGCAGAGTTGCAAGGGACACCCAAAGGGTCATATTGAAAACAGACAAATGAAACTGCCAGTTGGTCAGCAGAGAGATGTGTCTTAAGCTCTATACTTAAGTGATTTTTGTACATGTCTCAGACTATCCAAGCCCTGCCCCTCCGTTTCACATCCTTTGTATATTATATACTCTTGCTGAGCAATTGTGTTCATCCAGCTTAGCTACCCAACCACCCATATTGTATTAATCGTACAGTGGTACCTCAGGTTAAGTACTTAATTCGTTCCGGAGGTCCGTACTTAACCTGAAACTGTTCTTAACCTGAAGCACCACTTTAGCTAATGGGGCCTCCCGCTGCTACCGCGCCGCCGGAGCACGATTTCTGTTCTCATCCTGAAGCAAAGTTCTTAACCTGAAGCACTATTTCTTGGTTAGCGGAGTCTGTAACCTGAAGCGTATGTAACCTGAAGCGTATGTAACCTGAGGTACCACTGTATAAGGCATTGTAAACTACCCTGAACATTTTTTAGGCTGAACACAAGAATATATTTATCTTGCGCATGTGCTACCAGTTAGTGGGTGGTTTGCATCAACAGTATATTTAAGAAGCCTTCAACCAAGATTGATAGGGAGGAAATGAGATGTGGGAGGTAATGACATATTTTAGAGACTAGGTTTTTTAAAAGAACACTTCCAATATAAATGCCTATGTGCCTATAAAAATAATTTTTATTTACAAACATCTTTCTATCAATTTCCACAGCCTGGTGTCTCCAAGTAGATTTTTATTCCCCTGGTGGGATTTATACTTAAGTGCCCTTGCTGGTGTCTCTCTCTTTGTCTGCTGCTTCTTCTTCTCCCAGTATAGCAGCACCCAGTACCTGTAGGTCATCCAGCACAGCAAACAGAGACTCTGTAGGAAGAGGGAGAAAAGCCCATAAGATCATGGAGTGATGGAGATCAGTGGAGAATGCCAATGATGTAGATGCTCTTAACCTGGTGACTACTGGGATGAGTGTTGAGAAGAATAGGGAAGAACAGAAACTAGAAGGCTTCTATATCTGGCAGTTATAAAAATTGCAAGGGATTGTGGGAAGGAAAATGGCACACCTGCCAAGTGTAGGATGTAGCAAGCCATACCAAGCTGCCTATTATCAGGGCCAGCCCTATCATTAGTCAGAGTGAAGCAGTTGCCTCAGACAGATGCTTGTGGGGAGGGCACAGAGAGCAGCAGCAACACATCGGGGAACAGAACTGCACATAGCCACTTCTGAAGCCTGCCTGCTGCTGTAAAGTGTGGTGGAATAGAATGTTGAATGTTCTGTCAGCACAAGCATTTCAGCTGTTCTGGGGTCAATTTTGGTGGGAGCCGGGGGAGCCCTGCTGTGCAAGCCAAAGTCCTTGCCCAGGGTTCTGCTGATGCAACTCACTGAATCCCATCCTATACCTTTAGATAGAGGCTTAGATCCGGTCTTCTCAGTTGATTCTGCTGGGCCCTGGACTGCTGCAAGCCGATTCTGTCGATGCTGGACCAACAGCCCTTCCTGTCTCAAGGTAGCCTGTGAATGGAAAGAGACAGACGTTGACGGATGCAACAGGCACCAATATGGGGCAGCCATGTGCCTTCACTCCTTGAACGTACCATCAGTAGATTCTTGTCCCTCTCAAGCTCCCGCAGACGTCCTTCAAGTTGTGCCATTTCCTGCTGCGTGGCAGACTCTTGCAGCTTGGCAAGTTCGTCGCTGCGAGCTTTGTCTCTGGCTGCCTGTCGCTCAGCCTGGCGTAGGGCAACCACTGCAGACACACAAAGCAGAAGGGAGGATCAAAAGAGGGATGACAAGCAGAGAGGGGAGTAAAGGTTTGGCTCCGCCTGCAGTGCAGCAGACTCAAAGCTACTTTATGCAGAGTCAAACCACTAATCCAGCTATCAGTGTCATCTACTGCAACTGCCCTAGGAACACAGGAAGCAGCTATACACTAAGGTAGTCCCCTTTGTTTATCTGCCTCAGTATTATCCACAAAGGCTGACAGCGGCTTTCCAGGGCTTCTGGTAGGGATCTTTCTCAGCCCTACTTAGAAATGTCAGGTATTCAACCTAGGACCAATTGCATGTAAAACAGATGCTCTGTTGGGAGATTCCATTCCACCTTTTGTTGCAGACATGGGATTGTTGCATGTCACAACAACTATCAGCCTTCAGGTAGATTTTTCCCAGTCCCGCTGCTGCAAGTAACTTTTTTCTCAAATGGAAATACAAGTGGCTGAACTTGAGACCTTCTTCATGAAGTATATAATCTGTCCCTGAGCTGTGGCCCTCGGTACTGACTCTACATTACGCAGAGTGAATCAGATGCCCAATCTTTGTCAACAAAAGTGCCTGCTATTTAATACATATGTTTTTACAAGAATACTCCTTTTGGATTTTCTGCCTCAGGCACCAAAACATCCCCCAGTAGCCTCTTTCCATTTACAAGCAATCTGCAATTTGCACAGGTCATCATGTGCGACGGCAGAGCATGCATATGCCCCTTTCCCAGCCACTTCCAAGTCACTGTGATGTGTGCATATACATATACATATACATATATATCAGTCGTTGCCTGTACAGCTGTTGCGCTGCTCACCTGCCTTTGTGTGTTCCCTCCGTGCTTCATTGAGCCCTCTCTCCATTTCTGATAGATCCTTGCGCATCTGCGTTTCAATTTCAGTTACCTTCTCCTGCAGGGCTATGTAGAAAGGGCATGAAAATGATAATAGGCAGGGTTTTTGCCCCCCCATCCCACAATCCCTTGCTTATTACAGTACTGTATCAGGAAGTCATGCATCAAATCTCTCAGGTGGCAGTGCTTTCTCTGACTCTTAACTGTATTTACAAGCGTTCTCACGTTTTCAGTATCCAGTGGCTTTTGCCCTTGGTGGACAGCCCTTACCTTTTGCACATTTGATCACTGACAGCTCTCTATGCTTTTCTAAATGCAGGCCCAGACTCACCAAGCCAAAAGCAGCTCCACAGCCACAAATGGTGGCCCACCAGGAGCTAGATGAGCGGTGGGGAACCCTTTTCAGCTCAAGTGCCACATGGTGCTGGGCGGGGCAAGGTGAAAAAATTGGATGTGGTTAGAGGCAAAAGTGGGTGAAAAACATGCAACGGAAGTCAGTTATACCAGAGTCAAGGGTTTCCGTTCACACCCACCTCTCTCCATCCAGGCAAGTGAGAGGCATCATCGTAGTTCAATAATACACTCCACTGAAACTAAAGTACTTGAAGAAGGCAAGTACAGGTGAAACTCGGAAAATTAGAATATCGTGGAAAAGTTCATTTATTTCAGTAATTCAACACCAGCTGATGACATGGCTCCCCAAATCAACACAGACTGTGGAAACTTCACACTGGACTTCAAGCATCTGGCATTATGTGCCTCCCCATTCTTCCTCCAGACTCTGGGTCCTTGGTTTCCAAATGAGATGCAAAAGCTGCTCTCATCAGAAAAGAGATTTGGGGAGCCATGTCATCAGCTGGTGTTGGTTCACTGTGCTTCATTAAGTCCAGGGTCAATGCAGCCATCTACCAGGAGATTTTGGAGCACTTCATGCTTCCTTCCGCAGATGAGCTTTATGGGGATGCTGACTTCATTTCCAGCAGGACTTTGGCACCTGCCCACACTGCCAAAGGTACCAAAACCTGGTTCAATGCCCATGGGATTACTGTGCTTGATTGGCCAGCAAACTCGCCTGACCTGAACCCCATAGAGAATCTATGGGGCATTGCCAAGAGAAAGATGAGGGACATGAGACCAAGCAATGCAGAAGAACTGAAGGCTGCTATTGAAGCTTCCTGGTCTTCCATAACACCTTAGCAGTGCCACAGGCTGATAGCATTCATGCCACGCTGTATTGATGCAGTAATAGATGCAAAAGGGGCCCAAACCAAGTATTGAGTACATATGCATGCTTCTACTTCTCAATTTAAAAGCTCATCATGCCTCACCTCTGAAGTTAATCATTCCTTCCCCAGAAAAAATGCAGCATGTCCCTAAGATACCTCTTTCATACTCCGCTCTTAACTGTCCCAGCTCCTGCCTCAAACTCTCTGTAGCCTCTTCACTCCTCTGTAGGTTGCTGCAGGTTGCCTCCAGCTGCTTTTCTGTGGCCTCCTGTTGCTGCCTCAGTGTCTGTTCCGCCAGTGTCTTTGCCTCCAGTGCCTCCTGCAGGCTCTGCAATGACTCCCTCGTTTTCCTGAGCTCAAACTCCGCTGTAGGACAGAGGGGAGACAGTCAGTTGAGGGCAGTGCCCAACAATCCAATATACCCAAATCACCTCCCCACTGCTTTTCTACACCTAGTTTCTGGGTGCTGTCACTTACAGCAGGGCCTGGTTCTGTGCCCGGACCATCTTATTACAGGTGGTGACTCACTGAAAATAATTCCTCGCACCAATTCCCTGCACATGGTAAACTAGCAGGTCTTGGAGAATAATAGGTTCAACCTGTACTACCTGACATTAGGGCTTTTGAGTGCAGGGAATTTGTTCTGTATGGAGAATTCGTTCAGGTGAACCCTCACCTGTGGTCTTAAACTGTACAGATACAGCTTTGTCACCTTAGTGAGAAGAGGGCCCAGAGTTGGTCACCTTGCTCTTTTGCTTCAGCCACTTTCTTCTCTATGAGTTGAGCCCCACGTTTAAGCTCCAGTGAGAGTTGATCCCGTTCTCTGTGCAGCATCTGTAGTTCAGCTTGAAGGTCTTCATAAGATGGCTGAATCCTGGGGAGGAAGTAGAGAGATCAGAAGTTCAGTCATAACCCTGGACACTCAAGTGTTTCAATTGCACAGGGGTAAAATTTTGGCTGACTGCACTAGTTAACCAAAAAGTTGTTGTTGCCAGAATCCCACTCCTCCACAAGGCTGGGCCAAGTCATTCAACTCTGCCTTTGCTTCAGTTAGATATTTTGCTGTTAGGCTAGACCTTGGCTTCCAGCTCTACCCTACAAAAGCCAAATACTATTCCTAGAAACTCAGGGACTTTAATCCCCAACTTTTGCTATCTCTGCTCTAACACAGAAGATACTAAATTCTCTTAACTGGAGACTGAGCTATTCAAAGGGTAAAGTCATGAATGGACTGGAACTGAAATGGCACAGGCAATGTCTCTTAATTCTGTCTTAGTTTCTGTATACGAAGCAGAAATCTTAAGCACAGCAACTTTGGGGTGAAGACCATTTCGCAAAGCATTCTGTCCTTTCAAGGAAGTAGTATGCACAGTCACCAACTCTTCACAGCCTGCACTGAGATTAGAGTTTTGAACTTACTTCTCATCGTCTGATCTTGTGGTGCAAGATTTCTCCTCTTGCTGAAGTCTGGCTAGTGCTATCTTCTGGCATACCAACCCTGGAAGCCATAGTTATTCAGTTATTCATTGACAGAAGTGTATCAGCTTTTAAAAAAGCAATAAATCTAGGCAAAAAGCTCATTTTGGGACCTTGGCCACTTATATACTAGGAGCAGGGAACCTGTGGCCTTCCAGATGTTGCAAAACTGCAGCTCTCATCATCCCTGACCATTGGTCATGCTGGCTGGGGCTCATGGGAATTGTAATCCATTAATGTCTAGAGGGTCACAGTTTAGCCGCTCCTATTCTAGACTTTAGTGTTAAAGAGAAGCAAACGTATTAGTTGTTATAAAATACAGGAGGAAAAACACAACACAAAAACAGTCCAGGTGGTCATCCCACTGGTAAGTAAAACTGAAGATCCTATGAAAACATGTTGCAAAAAGAAAATATGTATGCTGACCACAATTTCCATTTAGAATGCAGGGGTGGGGGAGAGATGTGCATGTTGACTCCACAAATTGAGAATTCTTTTTTAATAGTGCAGACGATCATAGACCCTTGAGGCTTTACCTGCCAAAACAGATATATGTTTGGGGCCTGCGACAGAAATCCCAAGTACAGTGCTGAAAACAAAGTATGCATATTAAGGTATGGAAATAATTGTTGAGTTTGGGTTCTGAGTTGTTTTTTTGCACATTCATTCAAAACATGCATACTTCATGCTGAACCCCCGTGTCTCTGAAGCCTGGAAAACTATGGCAATGAACAGTTGTTGCAGAAATAACAGGAACAGGTCAAAGAGGTGAAAAGCTACTGGGCAGGGGTGGGGAACTTCAGGCCTCGGGGCCAAAGATGACCCTCTAAGCCTCTATCTGGTCCTTGAGACTCTCTTCACACCTCATCCCTCCCAGGCTCTGCTTCAAACAGCCCTTGAGAGCTTTTGCCTGGCTAGAATGCATCCTTGAGTTTTAATCATGCCTCTTGCTTGCTAGATGCAGGCTAGAGGACTGAGTGAAGAAATCAGCCTACCGTGCAAAGGCGAAATTTACACACATGGCTCCGCTTATTTTTCTTTTTGGTCACACCCACCACAGGCATAGCGCCCCCAGGTGGAAATGCGACCCTTGGTCTGACAAAGGTTCCTCAGTCCTGCTGTAGGGATTTTAAACTCAGAGGGATTTGCAGCACACTGTAGACTTCCCAGTTTTATGCTGCTTTAACTATCATGATTTCCCAAAAATAATTGTGGGAACTGTAGCTTAGCAAAGATGCAGTAACCTCTATTAGAAACCTCTACAATTGCTAACAGAATGATAATTCCTTTGATGGCCTAAGTGTGTGCCTGTTCAGGGACAAATTCAGTGAGGCTTGCGCCAAAGTGTGAACAGAGTTACAGTTAGGGGCTAAAGCTTCAGGCAGTTGTGTCAGTCCCATTCAAAAAAGGGCAGAGAGAGAGAGAGAGAGAGAGAGAGAGAGAGAGAGAGAGAACAGAATCCTAGTCACACTTATATGGAAATTATCTCAATTGAACTCAGTGTGACCTTTCTTCCACTTAAAAGTTAAAATATGCATAGCACAATATTGGGTTGTTAAATCTGTGGATTAAGATAAGGCACCTGAGAGATTTGAGGGGAGGGGAAAAGTTGTCTGTGGAGTCTCTGAAAATAATCTGAAGTATGTCTGGTATGTTGGGAGGGAACATTATGTGAACAGAGCAACATCTAGCGATGACAAAAAGGAAAGCACTTTCTAACTGTTGTGAAATTCATTAACATATAGATAATAAAGAATAAAGGGGTTGTCTGCAACCATCTAAATTAGTGTTTTGACTGTAGTTATAAATGTCAATGAGCTTAAAATAATGTAGCCAGAAGAAAGGTATAGGAAATCCCTTAGACAATATATTTTTCTGCCTCAGGGAAAGAACAAGAGTGAACTCCCACTCCTTTCTGTGTATAGAAGTCAAGCAGACTGGCAGTCATATCTTAACACCACTTAACACCTCTGGTGCTAGGACAATGCCCTCTGCAGCACCTAAGGCAAGTCATACAAAGACTGACAGGGGAACTTTAGCCTACCCCTCCCTCGCAATCCACTACCTGAGGTAGCTGCCTTAAAAAAGTATTTATTTAACAAGATTTATATATCACTTGATTGTTCTAAAAAATTTTAAGCAGTTCACAATGCAAAATAAAGCAATAAAATTATTCAAAATATTCAAACCATTATTAAAATCAGCAGCTGAGAAAAAAGTGAAACTCTTCCATGTCTAGATGGGCTTGTGTAGAAACAAAACACGTTTTAAGCAGGCACTGGAAAAATTACAGCGAAGGCACCTTCCTGGTGTCAATAAGCAGGAAGTTCCAAAATGTAGGTGCCACCCCACTAAAAAAAATGTTTCTTACAAGTGTGGAAAGTGTATTATATAAATAAGGTAAAGGTAAAGGACCCCTGGACGGTTAAGTCCAGTGAAAGGCGACTATGGGGTTGAAGCACGCATCTCACTTTCAGGCTGAGAGAGCCGGTGTTTGTCCGCAGACAGCTTTTCTGGGTCATGTGGCCAGCAGGACTAAACCGCTTCTGGCACAACAGAACACCATGACAGAAACCAGAGAGCATGGATATGCCGTTTACCTTCCTGCCACAGCAGTACCTATTTATCTACTTGCACTAGTGTGCTTTTGAACTGCTAGGCTGGTAGAAGCTGGAACAGAGCAACGGGAGCTCACCCCGTCGCGGGGATTCAAACTGCCAACCTTCCGATCAGCAAGCCCAAGAGGCTCAGTGATTTAGACCACAGCACCACCCACATCCTCAAAGTATTATGTAGCCCCTGTAACAGTGCTAGTTCTGCAGATCGAAGGAGTTGATTGGGCAAATACAGAGTAAGAGAATCCCACAAGTGATCTGGTTCCAAACTGTTAAAGGCAAATCAGCAACCAGCACAGATCTCTGAGCAGAGGTGTTATAATGCTGATAGGGTCTCATGCCTAACAGCACCTGTGCTGAAGTACTCTGCGCCAACTGCAGTTTCCAGATCAAGTGCGAGGGAAGCCCTACACAAGTGCATTGCAGTAATCCAACCTTGAGGCCACTACCCCAGACTTACAAGGCACAGAATGAATAAGGAGGCCTTCAGCACACACTAAATCAAACCAGTTTAGTGCAAATAGGCAGGCTCCTGAACAATCCTTCATTTCAGCCCTGATTCTAATGCCACACGAAGCCAAACCATGATTTGCCTCAGAGCAGCCAAAGGACCAAAGCAACCACAATCTCCTTTCTGACAGCCCATAGATCTATGCTAAGTCATGGTTTGACCTTCTTGTTACATGGAAACTGAGGAAGTGCCCCCATCTGCGTATTTTCAAGTGTATATCCACCACCATGAGGGTAGGATCCTAGCTCATTAATAAAAACAATGCAAACAAAGAGAAGAGATTTAAATATTATGGTTAACGTAGCTTCACTAGTTATATGGAAGTAATTTGAGTCTCATGTGGGTGAAGGTATGCCCAGCAAGAATATCAAGGTTTGGGTTTGGCGATGGAAGATTGTATGTCTAGATTGCAAAATGGCTTTCCACCATTACCTTGGACAGTGTCAACTCTCTTGGCTGCAAAAGCAACTCTGTTTCCCAATCCCATGAGGCGTGACAAGGCTGCTCTCCATGATTCTTCCTGTCCAGTCAGTTGCTGGCTTAGCCTGTGGAGCAGAAGACACAGCATCTTAGCCTGGACTTTAAAAGGAGTAGTAAAAACCATTAAATGAAAGTTAGCCAAGAGCAAGGAAGGAGCAGGGAGACTTCTGTAAATTGGAGGTGTCAAATAAATGGCCTTTGGGTTTTCTCAGGCTCTCTGCGGTCCTCAATACCTGGAGGACTACAGAGCTTGGGGAATCCAACCATTATTGCTTTGTCTTTCTCAGTTACCTACTGACAAAATCCCCCAGGCCCCGAAGGGCATTTTCAGCGGTCTCTGCCCTCCGTTGAAGTTCCTGTGCCAAATCATTCGAGCGCAATGCCTCTGCCTGCAGAGTCTGGAAGGAATGAGAAAGCTCTAAGCAATACTCCCCCCTGAAAGAGAGAGGCCCTAAACTCACTTGTCAAGGACGACTCCACCCTTCAGCATCACCCTTCAGCTCTTAAGCCTGTTTTAATGGGGAAAAGGATGTGCCCCTTTCTAATCTTCCCTTCTTGGGCAAGGGGCGTATGAGAACAACTTACTTTGTTTCTCACTCTTTCCATATCAGCTTCAGCAGATTTGTCTTCTAGGCTGTGGAGCAACAGTGCCACCTTCTGGTCTCTGGACCCCACTTCACCTTCTAGCTCTTTGACCTGTAAGCAGAAAATTAAGACCTGGCTTATTACCACGTAAGCTTTGCATTTAACCGTTTGACTGCTAACAACATTACTTGCAGCAGATTGCTTCACCCATCTTCTGCCAACCTGCTTGCTTTCAAGAGACGCCCTGAGACCCCCAGGTATAGGGTGGTATATAAATTCAAAAAATAATACTTTCATCTCCAACCAAAGTAGAAAGATAGCAGGTATATTCAAGGACTTCTCCCTCTTCTGGTAGTTTGGTTGGTAGCAGGCAACTTTAATTTTTTTTCTAGCCTGGTAACAGTTTCCAGGCTCCTCCATAACTAGCATGAATTCAGATACAGTGGTGCCTCGCAAGACGAAAAGAATCTGTTCCGCGAGTCTCTTCGTCTTGCGGGTTTTTCCGTCTTGCGAAGCAAGCCCATTAGCGGTTTAGCGGATTAGCGCTACAGTATTAGCAGCTTAGCGGATCAGCTGATAAGCGGCTTAGCGATCAGCTGTTAAGCGGCTTAACGATCAGCTGATAAGCGGCTTAGCGATCAGCTGTTAAGCGGCTTAGCCGATCAGCTGATAAGCGGTTTATCGGCTTGGGAAAAAGGGGGGGAAAGGAAAAAAACCCCACAGGAACTCACAAGACATTTTCGTCTTGCGAAGCAAGCACATAGGAAATTCGTTTTGCGAAGCACCTCCAAAACGGAAAACCCTTTCGTCTAGCGGGTTTTCCATCTTGCGAGGCATTTGTCTTGCGGGGCACCACTGTATCTCTGTAATCCTCACAGAAACCTTGAATTCCCTTCCTAGAGAACCCAGGAGTCCTGGCTCACAATTTTCATGCTCTTCCACACTCCATTTTCAAAAAACCTACCTAGGAGCTTGGGCTTTCAGGTTCACCCTGCTCCACTCCAACACAGCCCCCTCCCTCAAATCAAGCACATACCTTCCTTTCTAGCACTTTGGTGGTATCCCTGTGACTGAGCTCCTGAGATTTCAGCTGTACCAGGAGACAAAATACTTTCTCCCGCCACCGAGTCAGCAGGTACTGCCATTTCTGAGATGATTCAGGCCGGAGAGGATCCTCAAGCTGCACCTGAAAAGATCAAACATGAAATAAAACAGCTTTTAAGAAGGGTGTGGGTATGTACCCAATACCCAGTCAATCAAAACAGCTATTTTGAATAGTTTGCAGTACTGCAATCTACTACTTGGGACCCACAAGCCTACTATTCTTCACTATCATACCCACTGTCCTCAAATGTATTTACCTTCTTGCTGAGCTCCATCTCCTGTAGCGTCAGAATATCGCTGAGGGAAGTTAGGCGAACCTGCAGCAGCTCAGCTGTAATTTTCAGGGCATCCTTCTCTTCTTCCAGTTGCTGAAATAGGAGCAAAGTAATGTTGCAGTCATACTGCATACTCATAAATCCATGCAGAAGAAAAGGAGCTCTGCTATTTGAAGTGCCTTGTGTTACCTTTCCTATCCTGGGCTGCTTCCATACTGGGCATTTCATGTGGAACAGCCACACTTTGTTCTCTCACTTTTTATGGGGCATCTGCACGCTGTCATGAACAAAGTATTCCGTTCCTGTTTTCTGTGCTCAATATTCCTTCCTCCACCCCCCTGAACTCTGAAAATCTGACTTTTTAAAAAGCACAGTAGAACAGTTTGCACAATTTCTCCAGGTATTGGTGATTCATCAAGCAACTCTGCAGTAGATTATGGTTACCAGATGTCCTCGTTTCCCGGGGACAGTCCCCGGATTTACAAATCTGTCCCCGGATTTATATTTTAAGTGTTGTAGATTTATTAGTAGAGAATGAAAGCTGCATGGTTGGTTCAACGGCACAAGACACATCATATGGGGACTTCTGGCGAGGCAAAATGGTGGGCACCATGGCAGCAAGCAGCTCCTGAAGCCAGCCAGAGCCAACTGCGCTACCAGGCTGGCTCCGGGCTGCTGAGACTGCAGCTGCTGAGGGGGAACCAGGGACACCTGGCACATTAACTGGGGGAACCACTGACCCCCCCCACGACCCAAATTGAGCCGAGAGTGAGAGCGCCCAGCCACCTGCCCAACAGCGCTCCAGGGCCAGGAAAACCCCAGAGCCGACGCAGGGAGAAGGAGAGGAGAAAGAGAAGGAAGAGAGAGAAAGGGGAAGGAGAAAAAAGAGGGGAGCCCCAACCTTGCTGCACCGCCGCTGCTGAGGAGAAGAGGTAGGAGAGCACCAGGAGAGCAAGGACACGTGGCTGAGCCCAGGCCCTACCCGAGCCTACTCCACGGCAGCTAGCACTCCAAGAGAGCAGGCCAGGGCCCAGAGGAAGGCCACGCGACAGAGCAAGACCACAGAAGAAAAGACATTGCTTCTTTCTTTTTTAAAAAACTTTTTTAAAAATAACTTTTTTTCCTCTTTTCAAAAAAAAGTGTCCCCGGATTCTTTGAAAAAAATCTGGTAACCTTACAGTAGATTGTATGTGCTGCTCCAGCCATTTCTGAGGTTGGGGGTTAAACCTCAGGCATGCAGGTGAAATTAGGCCTGGTAGGGTTACTAACTTTTCATGGGAAGCCCATTTTCCCAAAACCGTGACCATCTGCCCCTCTCCTGATGAGATATGTAATGCCAGGTGTGGGACAGGTAAAGGCATGCCCAGGAACAATCAGAAGTCTTAAAGTGCTCTCTCCATTGGACCACTACAGGTCAAGCCCCACCCACCCCCATCTGAAGCTGGAGAAAGGGCAACAATATGGTTATTTGGATTCCAGAAGGATGGAAGCAAAGTTGGTATTCCACTTGTAGCTTAAAGCACAACAGCAACACTTAAGAGTGGTTGGGACAACCCAGTCAGATAGGTGGGGTATAAATAATAAAATATCATCATCATCTTCATCACTTAGATGCTGCTAACCTTCCATGTCTGAAAAGCCCCCAGGTCTCACCTGCACTCTGCTCATAAGTTGGTCCCGTTCAGCACTAGGCTGCTTTGACTCCTGTTCCCCAACATAGGTCTTCAGCTGCAGGAGCGAAGCATTCTGAGAAGCCAGCTCTGCCTCGGCTGCACTGAAGGAGAGAAATACAAGGGGTTGCCTTTGGCACAGCCTGGAGACAACCCCAGTGGGCCCTTGGAGGAAAAGAACCTGGAGCAGTGATCACACCTGAGTTGGTTCTGGAGAACGTCTCTCTTCTCCCTTAACTGGACAGCCTCCTTCTGCTGAGCCCCCAAATCCTGTTGGAGGGCCCACAGCTGCTGCTTCAGGGACACAACTTCAGCCCCGTGGACTTCAGAAAGTCTGGACAACTGTGGAAAGAGAGGAAGAGGCTAATATCCTGGTGAGCAGCAACCTCCTGCTATTCACACTACTCTCCCAGAAAACCTAGAGCAAGGAATGGAGAACCTGCAGCCCACCAATAGCTGATGCACTGTAATTCCCATTATCTGCGACAACTGGCTATGCTGTCTAAGGCTGGTGGGAACTGGAGTACAAGAGCATCTGGAGGACCGCCATTCTCCACGGCTTGCAGAGACTTATCTAGCAGAGATGCCAATCCAAGTTTTTATTCTGCACCCACTCAAAACAACTTTTTCTCCCAGAATGCTTTCCTTTGAGCACTCACCTCTGCTTGATGCTCCTTGAGCACTGTCTCTAGGCATTCTCGCACCCTTTCCTCTTGCCTCCTCTGCTCAGCTTCTGCTTTTTCAAGGGCGCCCTGCAGCTCTCCTCGCGCCAGCCCAACTTCATGTCTGGATCTTTCCTTGGTCAACTCCAGCTCCTCTTTCAGCGAATCGGCCTCCAAGCGCCTCTGCCTCCTAAGCTCCTCCAGCTCTACCTTGAGAGTCTCAATTTCCAGTCTGCTGCTGCTCCTGACTTCCTCCAATTCTGCCTTCAAGCCAGCAGCCTCTGCCTTGCTCCGGCTTTTTACTATTGCAAGCTCACTCTGAAGGTCAGAGAGGGTGTTTTCTCGACTGGCCGCTGCTGCTTCTTGCTGGGCTGAGGCAACTCGGAAGGCAGCAAGCTCCGGCTCCAGTCGCTGGATCTCGTGGAGCTGGTGGGAGATTATCTCGGCCTGTTGGGACATGGCCAAGGTGTGACATACGCTTGAGGGCTCAGCTCCTCTATCCAATGACCTGTAAGATAAAGAATTTGTCATAAAGTCCTCCCACCTCCAGGAGGCACTATTTTATGTCCTGCTAGTTAGTTCAGGAGACTCTTGAGAGTCCCATGGACTGCAAGAAGATCAAACCTCTCCATTCTGAAGGAAATCAGCCCTGAGTGCTCGCTGGAAGGACAGATCCTGAAGCTGAGGCGCCAATATTTTGGCCACCTCATGAGAAAAGAAGACTCCCTGGAAAAGACCCTGATGTTGGGAAAGATGGAGGGCACAAGGAGAAAGGGATGACAGAGGACGAGATGGTGGATAGTGTTCTCGAAGCTACCAGCATGAGTTTGACCAAACTGCAGGAGGCAGTGGAAGACAGTAGTGCCTGGCATGCTCTGGTCCATGGGGTCACGAAGAGTCGGACACGACTAAACAACTAAACAACAACAAAGTTAGTTCAAAAGTTCAGGGTGTTTCCATTCTAAGGGCTGTTGTTCAAGGAGTGAGCTGGTCACAAGCTGAACTCCAATATATGGAATGATTCCCAGGAAAAGGGGAGAAGAGCACCAGAGAGATACAGCAAATAGAGCAAAGCTGGGGTACAACGTGCCTAGCAGGAGATGCTCTCAGTTCTCATTGTACTCAGTTCTTCAGTGGAGAACCACAAGTTAAGGGAAGTGTCTCATAAAATCTATTTTTATTTCTGCAAACCTACGAAAACATGTACAGTGGTACCTTGGTTCTCAAACACCTTGGTTCCCAAATGCCAAAAACCCAGAAGTGTTCCGGTTTTTGAACGTTTTTCAGAAGCTGAACGTCTGATGCGGCTGTCAGCTATTGTTTCCAGGGCACCTACGCCAATCAGAAGCCGCATCTTAGTTTTTGAATGTTTCAGAAGTCAAACGGACTTCCGGAACGGATTAAGTTTGGTGCTTTTGTTTTTGCTGTTTATTTTGCATTTTTGTTTCTGAGGCTTTTTCGGTTAATTTGTTTTTGTGACTGTGTGGAACCCAGTTCAGCTACTCATTGATTGATTGTGTGACTTCCAAAATGGATAAAAGCCCCCCAATCCAAACAATGACTATCATCAATGCTGGTAAGATTTTTTTTTTAAATAAAAATTTATCATCTACAATACTGTCTTACTTATTTTATAGAACAGTACATTGATTATTGCTTTCATTTTATGGATCAGTGGTCTTGTTAGATAGTAAAATTCATGTTAAATAGCTGTTTCAGGGGCTGTTTTTTAAAGTCTGGAACGGATTAATCCATTTTGCATTACTTTCTATGGGAAAGCATGCCTTGGTTTTGGAACAGACTTCCGGAACAGATTAAGTTTGAGAACCAAGGTACCACTGTATTTTTAATAAGCATGCTTGTTTTTACATTCTGTTTATTTCACCTGTGTTTTGATTAATGTTTTTGCACTATTTTATGTAAACTGCTTAGAGATTTCTGTTTTTTGATTACCTGGTCTATAAATGCCATTAAATAAGTAAAATAATGTTCATAATTGGGTGGTATAGGGTGAAATGGATCAGAGGAAAGGGGGAAATTGTAGGGGTCATTTCACCTGGTTCTGGTTCCTGATTCTTCTGCCTTATCTCCCTTTGTGGCCCATCTGTGGAGTTCATCCTTCAATCTCTGGTTTTCTCGCTTGAGTTCAACTGCCTCATAGTTAGGAAGGCAAGGGACATCCCAGGGCACTGTAGTAGAGACAGCTAGAGGTGGTGCTGACCGGCTCTGGAAATGTGAAGGTGGGATCAACTCCTTTGGCCCTAAGGAAGAAATGACAGCAGATTGCTATGACATTAGATTGCCACCTAGCCCTGTTAGAAAGAGTTTAAGTGCAGGAAATAGGGTGATCTGGAAAACTTTCACTGAAAGGAAACCATTCATAATCGAGATGCAGAAGACAGATCCACATAACTGGTCTTCAAACTAGCAGAAGTTGTGCAAAGCTAACCCAAATTCTCACCAAACATAGTTAGCAACTGCAAAGCAGGTGTGAGAACTAGAGTCCCAAATCACGCTATGAGGCTGTGCAGAAGACATCAAAATCAGAATAGTGGGCTGTGCAAGCTTTGGGCGGACTTTCAAATAGAAAATCAGGGCTACTAGTGAGAAACGGACATACAGGAGGATTGTTTATGTAGACAAGGTAAGAGCCAACACTTTATAAGACAAATCTGCACCATACATGGATAATTCCAAGAACCTTAATATTAATTAATCTATTGTACCGTATACAGTGGCGCCCCGCAAGACGAATGCCTCGCAAGACGGAAAACCCGCTAGACGAAAGGGTTTTCCGTTTTTGAGTTGCTTCGCAGGACGAATTTCCCTATGGGCTTGCTTCGCAAGACGAAAATGTCTTGCGAGTCTTGAGATTTCCCCCCCCCCTTTATCTAAGCCGCTAAGCCTTTAATAGCCTTTTAGCAGCTAATCCGCTAAGCCGATAAGCCTTTAATAGCCGCTAAACCGCTAATAGCGCTAATCCGTTAAGCCGCTAATAGGGTTGCTTCGCAAGACGAAAAAACCGCTAAACGAAGACACTCGCGGAATGGATTAATTTCGTCTTGCGAGGCACCACTGTATATGTTTATCTATGTGCATACAGAAATGTCAATGTTAAACCAACATGCTTGAAGAAGAAGAGTTTGGATTTGATATCCCGCTTTATCACTACCCGAAGGAGTCTCAAAGCGGCTCACATTCTCCTTTCCCTTCCTCCCCCACAACAAACACTCTGTGAGGTGAGTGAGGCTGAGAGACTTCAGAGAAGTGTGACTAGCCCAAGGTCACCCAGCAGCTGCATGTGGAGGAGCGGGGAAGCGAACCCGGGTCACCAGATTACGAGTCTACTGCTTTTAACCACTACACCACACTGGCTCTAGTCCTACAAGATGACATTGGTCCTACAAGATGGCATTGCCTTACGCTAGAATTGACAACTGACTAGAAAAGGAGGAGGAGGGATGGACTGGCTTGCCTTGTGCTTTTAACAATATCTTGATTTGCAAAAACCAACAGGTGAAGCTTTGCACCACCATGTAAACATTATCCCCTGTCAATATTTGCTGCTCTTAAGAGGTGCTGCTTCAGGGGCTAGTTGAAAAACCCTTCCTTATGCTGAAATGTGAATAACTGTGCACAATCTACATTTAAGGCCCAACTATGATTTGCTAGTTTTTTTAAATCACACTTGCTAGACAATAATGCTTCCTAAAGCAGTTTGTATCAGTCCAAATGTTGAAAATAGTGCTGTTCGCAGGTACTGTATATAAATGAATATAATGCATAGGCCCTATGTTTGGCACAAGAAAGATAGAGAGAAAAGATATGGGGGAAGATCAGTTTGACAATGCTGGAACAACCTTCACTTCAGTCATGCATTGCCTAACTTCAAATCATGGCAGAAGCCATTTCAGATGGCAGTTTGGCAAATTCATACAATAAAGGCAGCCTTTCAAATACCCAAGTAACAAGCCATTTGGTCTTTATAAGCAACAGTGGCTGGGCTCTTTGCATCGTAAGCAGGCAGCAAATATTTTAAAAAGTGTGTGGGGAATTGAGATAATAAATTTGCTCTTGCTTTACCAGTGGGCTTTGAACCTCTGAATGCAGCCGGTGGGTTCAGCCGTCTGTCTGGATCATTCCTTCTGTCCATGGTCCCAAGTCTGTCCTTCAAAAGATACAGAAATGTTTACCTAATCTAACTGGATATTTTCAGGCTTGAACCCCAAGCTCTAAAACAGAAGGCCTAACTCAGTGGTGTCCAAACTTTTTTCAAAGAGGGCCAGATTTGATGAAGTGAAGGGCCGTGGGGGCCGACCAAACTTGTTGACCTTTCTTTAGGATTGAAGTTGTTGAGCTTTTTTTAAACTGCCACAGCGACTAGATTAAGTTTAGATATGCCAGGCCTAACTCATATGAAACAACCCCACTATAATAGCACTCAGTGAGGCTATATACTACTAACATTTTACGGAAGTAATATAAAATAATGCAATTTTTATAAATATAATAATATAAAATAACGCACTGTTCTTCAAGAAATCACAGGAGCCTCTCTCTAGAACCCATTCAGACCTTATTGCCATCAAGGTAGCATATTTTGGCATAAAGTAGTATATAAATAAAAAGACAGATAAGATGACTTGGTCACTCTCTAGACTCATTCTGGTCCCATAAAGCAGACAAAAACCTGGGAAGCTTTTTTTTACTTTTATGCAGGCAGTTTGCAAACCCTTGGAGGAAATAATGGGATTCACACACTTCCTTGTCAAGATTTGGTCGAGTCTCCCATCGCTGACTAAGCTTTCTATTTCGAGTTGAGCATAAAAACCACCGCTTCACTTCATCTAGAACAGTCCCAAACTGGGGGTCTCCATCTGCTTTTTTTGGACTACAACTCCCATCATCCCTAGCTAGCAGGAACAGTGGTCAGGGATGATGGGAATTGTTGTCCTAAAACAGCTGGAGACCCCCAGTTTGAGAGACCCTGGTCTGGAACCCCATTTCTCCCCTTCGTCAGCTGCTTCCCACATCCCCACTCATGGGCTACGCTGCTTCTGGCAGCCGCTGCGCCCTAACTCGCCACCACTGAGGGGCGGCGGCCCTTTTCCTCTCAAACCTCCGCCGACGCCGACTAACGCTCCACCAACCGACCCGGAGCCCGGACTGCTCATGCGCGCGCCGCGAGCCCGCTCCGAGGAAACGAACGCAAAGGCACGTCCCACCCTTCAGCGCAAAGCCAATCGGAACGGAGCGAGGCGTGATGGGCAGGCGGGCGAGACCGTGAATGAAGTCAGCGCCGAATCGGCGGGGCGAGGGCCTGAAGGGAAAGCGAGCCGCCGCCGCCCGCCCCTCGTGAAATCAGCCAATCAGAGGACGGCGTGGCGTAAGTGACAGATCGCCTTGCTGAGCGTTGGAGATGCTGCTAACGGTATCTCGGCAACCGCTGCTCATACCCTGGATAGGAGAAAACGGCCAGCCCAATAGCGAGGAAGGAGGGGCTGAAGGGTGTGGACACGCCCCATTTCTGAACTACCCAATCAGGAAGCTCCGCGACCGGACGTCAATGGCTCTGACCGTTCCACAGCTTGTTATCTGTTTCTCAAATTTTATTTTATTTTTTAAAAATGGGATTCATTCTCTCTTTCTCCCCGGCCCTTTCATTGACCTTTGGCTGCAGGATTTGCCCATCTTGCAAATACGTCTAACCTGCTCCCTTTTTTGGGGGTAAAGTTTTTTATTATTATTTGGTTTAATAATGCATATAAAACAGGTTTTGTACACAGCACCTTGAATTTCTACTCAAGCAGATGGAAGTTTCTCTTGACCATCCACACCAAACACCATCCGGGATTTGTTGATTTGAGTCTTTATGCACACCTTTTCTATCAATTTACAATTGCAGAGGTTATCTGACCGGCTGCCTATTTCCTGCTCCTTTGTATGAAGTATATAGCCTGCCCCAGCACCACCTTATGGAGGGCAAGAATTTTGAACCATTAACAAAAAGTAAAATGCATTTCAGCAAAACCATAATCATTGGAGACATCAAAATAAGGACAAAATGGCATTTCTAATCTAACCGCTCCTCTGACTTCTAGAAATTGTATATGTGAGTCAGATTTCTTATCTTAAAGATTACAGAATCATAGTTATGTGAGGCTACAATATAAACACTTATATTAGGGAGTAAGGTAAAGGTACCCCTGACTGTAAGGTCCAGTCGCAAACGACTCTGGGGTTGCGGCACTCATCTCACTTTACTGGCCGAGGGAGCCAACTAAGCCGCTTCTGGCGAACCAGAGCATCGCACGGAAACGCCGTTTACCCTCCCGCCGGAGCGGTAACTATTTATCTACTTGCACTTTGACGTGCTTTCAAACTGTTAGGTTGGCAGGAGCTGGGACTCCGTCTCGGGGCTTCGAACCGCTGACCTTCCGATCGGTAAGCCCTAGGCTCAGTGGTTTTCACCACAGCGCCACCCGCGTCCCTGTATTCGGGAGTAAGCCCCAATAAATACAGTGGGACATACTGCACTGTTGTCACCATATACAGAGCTAAAGAAGGCCTCTCAAAGTGTATTGCATCCAATATTCTCTCCATAGCAAGCAGGGAGGAATGGCATCACTTTTGTGGAGAAAGCTTATTTTGAGAGGGGGTTGGATCCACACTAAATCAGGTCTCATTGAAAACCAGTGCAAAAAAGATAGTCACCTATGACTGACTAAACTCCCACTGATTTCAATACAAAGGGCAGCAAACATAGCATGAAACACAACAGGTTGATTTCATAGGTCTTCATAGGCAGGAGGGAAAGGCTGGCTCTTGTTTTTGGTGCCGGCTGACAAAAGCACTGCAAATAGCCACCCCAACCTTGCTCCCTACATCCAAGCCAGACAAAAAGTCATCACCCTCACAAAAGGGCAATAAAATACTTGTCCTGAAAACAGTAGTGAGCCGAAATATATAGGATCAATACACAAAAGACAGTTGCTTTTCACACTCAATATAGCATCCAGAATTTTTTCAGGACATCAGCATTTGCATACTTTTAAAATACAGCATGACCTAGTAAAGTTATTGGACTTGGTTTACTCCAATACAAAATCCTGCTACCAAAACCCTTACAAATTGTGTAGGTAAGCAGCATTTAGGTACGCATCCTAGTACACATCAGAAATGGAGAAATGGAATGGGAAAACAGGTACAGTGCAGTACTGTTTAAAATCATTTTGACTGGAGAGACCACGGAGAGGTTAATCATCAGTGGACACATTCTTTCCTGCTCTGGCTCTCAGAGAATTCACAGCTTTGTTGATTTCCAGAAGGGAGGCCTGGAGTTCCTTATCAGCCTGGAATGCTGCTCCATCCTTCCCTCCCACCACGACTGCCATTTCCTCCAAGACATCCACCAGCAACTCAGGGACGCAGGCGTAGCTGGACATGACTTCGGCTGCGTGAATCTTGCCTGCCAATAGATCCAACAGGGAAAGGCAGTTTCTGATCCAGGACTGCTGCACTGTCACTTCCCTCTGGAGAGCAAGCAGCTCACCACACTGGGCTTCAATCTGGGGGATCCTTTGATTTGCGGAGTTGATTCCAGTTTGCACCTTCTGCTCCTTTTGGGAGAGGCGTGCGATCTTGTCACTGTAGCCAGCCACTTCTGCTGTGCAGAGGTCCACAGCCTGTTGTGCCTCAATGAGTAGTTTCTCTGCTGAGTCCAAGGCCGCCTGATAACCAATAGCCATGCCAGCTCCTAAAAGAAAAGATAAATCAGTGATAATTTCATCTGGGGTGTTATGTACTGAGTTGAATAGGATCCAAAATGCAGCAGTCTGATTGGTCCTAGAACAATAGGATTCAGAATGCAGCAGTCTGATTGGTCCTAGAACAATAGGATTCAGAATGCAGCAGTCTGATTGGCCCTAGAACAATGCAGCAGTATGATTGGTCCGCAGGAGCCACCCAATCCAGCTCCAGGTGGAAGTGAATTCGCAACCTGATTGGCCTACAGGAGAACCCCAGAATTAGCCAATCCCGTGCGACCCATTGTGTATATAATGTATATATAGCAGATATTTTGGGGGAACTTTCATTCCTCACTACTATGAGCTGAATAAAGAGCATGAAATCCACACTCGACTCCGAGTATATTTCATGGGGGTATTGAGGGAATGGGTTGGGGTGGGATGTTCTGGTATCTTGAAGGTACCACTTCTGGTTCAAGACTTGCTGGCTCAGGGGATAACCTACCAATGAACGACCCAAGCCCTGGCAGGGCCATCATCCGTAGGCCGATTTCCCGGCCCACACGGTTCCTTGCCACTCCCTCACGAGCCAGTCTCAGCTGCTCCTCTGTATGTTCCAGAAGCACCTCCGCAGTTTCCAGCATTTCCCGGGACTTCTTCTCAGCTTCCTTGAGGGCAACGATCTGGGTTCCGAGGTCCGCCAAGTCCCCCTTCTGCTCCTGCAGGTCATCTTGCATGAGTTTCTTCATGGCTATCAGGGCCTCTGACTGGGAATCGAGTAGCTGCAGGCGAGACTCGAGACTCTGTTCGGCCTCGGAAAAACACTGCGATGCTTTGGTGACCTGGCCACGGGTTTTAGCACACATCTCCTCCTTATTTGACCACGGGAGGAGCAGAAGCCCGGTGAGGAGCACAAGCTCTTGCATTCCTGCCTCCAGATGTTCCTTGATGGAGGAGTTATAAGTCGTATCGTGCACAAGAGCCATGCTGGATGGGAGCTAGAAGGGAAAACAGAAATGGAGAGCGTATTAAGGTCACTCGTGTAGCAAGCTTCATGCAGAAAGCCAGATTCAGAACTTAGTGAAAGGAGGCCAATTTGGGACACCGTTGTGAATTTATGAAAATGTCGCTCAGCAAATGTCCTGACGGAATTGTCCTCGCTTTACTCCACACGTAAGGCAGCATCTATTCTAGATCAATGGGATGTGGGTGGCGCTGTGGGTTAAACCACAGAGCCTAGGACTTGCCGGTCAGAAGGTCGGCGGTTTGAATCCCCGCGATGGGGTGAACTCCTGTTGCTCGGTCCCTGCTCCTGCCAACCTAGCAGTTCAAAAGCACATCAAAGTGCAAGTAGATAAATGGGTACCGCTCCGGCGGGAAGGTAATCGGCGTTTCTGTGCGCTGCTCTGGTTCGCCAAAAGCAGCTTAGTCATGCTGGCCACATGACCCAGAAGCTGTACGCTGGCTCCCTCAGCTAATAAAGGGAGATGAGCACCGCAACCCCAGAGTCGGTTACGACTGGACGTAATAGTCAGGGGTCCCTTTACCTTTACATATTCTAGATCAAGGGTAGGCAAACTAAGGCCCGGGGGCCAGATCCAGCCCAATCACCTTCTAAATCCGGCCCACAGACAGTCCGGGAATCAGCGTGTTTTTACATGAGTAGAATGTATCCTTTTATTTAAAATGCATCTCTGGGTTATTTGTGGGGCATAGGAATTTGTTCTCCCCCCAAAAAAAATATAGTCCAGCTCCCCACAAGGTCTGAGGGACAGTGGACCAGCCCCCTGCTGAAAAAGTTTGCTGACCCCTTATTCTAGATCCCACCGGTTCTTTGCATTAACTGTGAAAGAAAAATCCACATCCCTAATCCCGAAATGACCACCACCCAGAGAGATGCAGCTCCCCTAGCTTGTCTCCCAAAAGTTTTATTACAGTACTTGCATTTTTATTCCCCCAGGAACAAACATAGGAAGCTGCTGCTTTCTGGTCAGAGTTAGGATTTCTCTGTTATAGGACAATAATGTGATTTTTGCTGTTGTTGGATATTTAGTCATTCCTTGAGTATAGTTATAGGGACGCGGGTGGCGCTGTGGGTAAAACCTCAGCGCCTAGGACTTGCCGATCACATGGTTGGCGGTTCGAATCCCCGCGGCGGGGTGCGCTCCCGTCCTTCGGTCCCAGCGCCTGCCAACCTAGCAGTTCGAAAGCACCCCCGGGTGCAAGTAGATAAATAGGGACCGCTTACCAGCGGGAAGGTAAACGGCGTTCCGTGTGCTGCGCTGGCTTGCCAGATGCAGCTTGTCACGCTGGCCACGTGAACCGGAAGTGTCTACGGACAGCGCTGGCTCCTGGCCTATAGAGTGAGATGAGCGCACAACCCTAGAGTCTGGCAAGACTGGTCCGTATGGGCAGGGGTACCTTTACCTTTACCTGAGTATAGTTATAAGTTATAAAGAAAGGCAATACACTCGTACCTGGGATCCTGAATGCCTTGTGAGTCGAACGTTTTGGCTCCCGAATGCCGCAGACCTGGAAGTGGGTGTTCCGGTTTGCGAATGTTCTTTGGAACCCAAACATCCGACGAGGCTTCCGCGGCTTCCGATTGGCTGCAAGAACTTCCTGCAGCCAATCGGAAGCCGTGCCTTGGTTTCCGAACGTTTTGGAAGTCGAACGGACTTCTGGAACGGATTCCGTTCGACTTCCGAGGTATGACTGTATACAAATTGAATTGAAATTAAAATAAACATGCATAAGATCAAGTTATTGGTGCATTATGTTGTACGTCCTTGAGCATCACTGATCAAAGCAGAAACCACCCAGTGTGGATTCAGCAACAGGACATTGCTCATTCACTAGTTTTTTTCTTGGCTTGGGTCAGTGAAACCCATTGGCCCAAACGCAATAACTTGGAACGTGCTTGGAGGCGCCCACCGTAAGCCTCAGTTCATCCTGAATTGCAACATGGGCCTGTAAAAAACAACCCTAAGATAATATCAACTCTCATAGCCAAAGAATCCTCTTCCTCTCTCGTGAACCGCCTTAATTCTCACCCTTGTCAGGGGGAATTCCCTCCTCAGTGTGTTGGAAGGAGGGCTTGGTTTCTGTACATAAGACAATTTCTCCTGAGATCAGCAAAGATGTGCCAACTGCCCTGAGGCAGTGGCCTCCACATTCCTTTTAGTCAAGTAATAGAGACAAATTGCCATCCAACCGATAAGGAATAAACGAAAAAAGGCCCTGAGGGGCAATAAAAGGTAGAGGTGTAGAACCAGGCAGGTGGGTCAACTTGGTGGGTTAAAATAAAAGTTGCATCATATGCCTGGACTGTGGGGGGGTTCATTGGGAGGGAGATGTCAAATGCAAGAGAAAGCCAGTGTGGTTCCTTCCCAAAATTGGACTATGATTCCCATCAGCACGAAGAAGAAGAAGAAGAAGAAGAAGTAGAAGAAGAAGAAGAAGAAGAAGAAAAAGAAGAAGAAGAAGAAGAAGAAGAAGAAGAAGAAAAAGAAGAAGAAGAAGAAGAAGAAGAAGAAGAAGAAGAAGAAGAAGAAGCCACCTATCTGCTTGGGTTGCCCCAGCCACTCTGGGCGGCTTCCAACAAATAAAAACATTAAGCACAGTAAGACATCAAACATTAAAAACTTCCCTGACACGCCTTCAGGTGTCTTCTAAAATCAGATATGCCCTTTTAAAATGTGTTTTGGGGGGGGCATTATTGGGCTGTTGTTTTTATTTTGATTATATATTTTGTAACCTATCTATTCTTAAGGAAATCAGCCCTGAGTGCTCACTGGAAGGACAGATCCTGAAGTTGAGGCACCAATACTTTGGCCACCTCATGAGAAGAGAAGACTCCCTGCAAAAGACCCTGATGTTGGGAAAGATGGAGGGCACAAGGAGAAGGGGACGACAGAGGACGAGATGGTTGGACAGTGTTCTCGAAGCTACCACTATGAGTTTGACCAAACTGCGGGAGGCAGTGGAAGACAGGAGTGCCTGGCGTGCTCTGGTCCATGGGGTCACGAAGAGTCGGACACGACTAAACGACTAAACAACAACAACATATATTTTGTGGTTTTATATTTTGATTTTGTTCTGTGATATAAATAAATATATAAATTCAAATAATAATAATAATAATAATAATAATAATAATAGAAAGGTAAAGGGACCCCTGACCATTAGGTCCAGTCGTGACCAACTCTGGGGTTGTGCACTCATATCGCTCTGTAGGTCGAGGGAGCCGGCGTTTGTCCACAGACAGCTTCCGGGTCATGTGGCCAGCATGACTAAGCCACTTCTGGCGAACCAGAGCAACACACGGAAACGCCGTTTACCTTCCCGCCGGAGCAGTCCATATTTATCTACTTGCACTTTGATGTGGTTTCGAACTGCTAGGTTGGCAGGAGCTGGGACTGAGCAACAGGAGCTCACCCCGTCGCGGGGATTCGAACCGCCGACCTTCTGATCGGTAAATCCTAGGCTCTGTGGTTTAACCCACAGCGCCACCCGCGTCCCTGTAATAATAATAATAGCTGTTGTTTATTTCCTTGACATCTGACGGGAGGGTGTTCCACATGGCAGGCACCACTACCAAGAAGGCCATTTACCCTCAAACATAAACAATGGCCAGGAATTATGGGGATAATGTAGTCCAACAGCTATGGAGGAACCCTGACTAGAATTGAGACGAGACCATTTATATGGCACACAGGCTTGTGTTTGATCAGATTATGGGAGAGGGTCCTCTCTTACCACCCCACTCAGGAATGCAAGCCCATTGTCCAAGGATATCAGGTCAGAAGTCAAGACAAGACCCACCTGAGGACCATAGCTGTCTTTATGAAATGTGGTCCGAAAGGGGAACTGGAGTGGCAAGTTAATCATCTGTTTGTAACCGGCCGAAGTAGCTCTTTGGTGTCCTGAACCCCAGCACTGGCATGCTTCACACACTCACATTTTACTGGGCGTCTACATGATGCCATCAATCAGGGGTCAGCAACCTAAGGCCCATGGGCCATAAGCAGCCTGTGGGGGTTGTTTAACCGGCCTATGGACCCCTGCCGCCTGCTCAGGGACCCCTGCCACCTGCATAGTCGGCTCCCGTGCGCCGCGCTAAACCGGTGCAGAGCAGAGCGGGGACCGCCTTTCACGATGCTGGCCGGCTTCCCATTGGTTGCAGGAAACTCCAGCAGCCAATGGGAAGCTGCGCACCTCTCCACGCCGGAAGGAGCGCCGGAAATAGTGTTTGCGCATGCGTGCGCACGCACTCTGGCCCGCCATGGCGTCTGCGAGACCGTGAACCGGCCCAAGCCACAAAAACTTTGCCGACCCCTGTGATCAAATCATGGACTTACTGTGGTTCCCCATCCTTCTCAGTCTGCAGAAAACCTGGCCTTTTTTGTGTTGAAAGAACAGACAACATTGCACTACCTTTCTATGGTGTGGTTTTGACGAGTAAAGTGATATATCAGGCAGCGGAACCTATCCTCTTCTACACGTTTTACTATACAGTGGTACCTCGGGTTGCATGCGCTTCAGGTTACAAACACTTCAGGTTACAGACTCTGCTAACTCAGAAATAGTACCTCAGGTTAAAAACTTAGCTTCAGGATGAGAATAGAAATCGCGCAGCGACAGTGGGAGGCCCCATTAGCTAAAGTGGTGCTTCAGGTTAAGAACAGACCTCCAGAACGAATTAAGTACTTAACCCAAGGTACCACTGTAATTGTTTTTTCTTCTTTCACCATGCTTTCTAAAATCAGTCTTTTATTTAGCACTGAAATGCCTTAGTTACTGCATTTGTTTGCATTTTTTTAAAAAAACAGTGCATTAAAATTTGTTCACCTCCTCATGCACATTTCACCTAATTTATGTACACCAATGTACATAATTTTGTGCATTTCTGTGCAGAATAACATTGCCTGATGTAACACCTTACAAGGAATTCCCTCTAAAACAATGCATTTTTGTACATTACATTGAGCAATATATTCATTTTCATGCGCACTTTCCCCTAACACATGCTTTTTTGTTTGTTTTTGGTACCCATTTTTGGGTCAAGGAACTGCATGGCGGTATTTGGAGAAATATGAATTTAAAAGGCTAGCTAGCTCTGTTTTGGTTTGTGTACATATTAGGCGGAACTGAACAAATTACGCCCTCTTCGCTACCAGTCACCAGTTTAGCCATGAGCTTGTTTATCTCTCCCCTTTCCCAGTTTGCTCTAAAATACATTCTGACTTCATGTACAGTGGTACCTCGGGTTACAGACACTTCGGGTTACAGACACTTCAGGTTACAGATGCTTCAGGTTACAGACTCTGCTAACCCAGAAATAATATCTCAGGTTAAGAACTTTACCTCAGGATGAGAACAGAAATTGTGTGGCAGCAGCACAGTGGCAGCGGGAGGCCCCATTAGCTAAAGTGGTACCTCAGGTTAAGAACAGTTTCAGGTTAAGAATGGACCTCCAGAACGAATTAAGTTCTTAACCCGAGGTACCACTGTAACATTATTGGCAAGTCTTGTAAGGCTGAACATACCCATTATTTTTTTGTTAGATCTGTCCTGCCTGAAAAAAACATTCTGCATTATTTGGAAACTTGCATATACCAGCTCAGACTATTTGTTCATTCACTTCAGTATTGTCTACTCTGATTGGTAGCCAGCGGCCGTCCTGATCAATTCCACTCCCTTTCATCTTCAAGCAAAGATGCCAAGGATTGAATCTTGGAATTTCTGCATTCAAACTCAATTCCTCCTTTCAAAATCAGTGACCTGTGGTTCCTGCCCCATTATATTTGCTACCGACAAATTGCGGGGGAGGGGGGATAGAAGTCATCTGTCATAAAACATACAGTGGTACCTCGGGTTACATATGCTTCAGGTTACAGACTCCGCTAACCCAGAAATATTACCTCGGGTTAAGAACTTTGCCTCAGAATGAGAACAGAAATCGTGCTCCAGCGGCGCGGCAGCAGCAGGAGGCCCCATTAGCTAAAGTGGTGCTTCAGGTTAAGAACAGTTTCAGGTTAAGAACGGACCTCCAGAACGAATTAAGTACTTAACCCGAGGTACCACTGTACAGTCATACCTCATGTTACATTTGCTTCATGTTACATTTTTTCAGGTTGCGTCCCGCGGCGACCCGGAAGTACCGGAAAGGGTTACTTCCGGGTTTCACCTTTCGTGCATGCGCAGAAGCACAAAATGGTGTCACGTGCATGCGCAGAAGCGGCGAATCACAACCCGCGTGTGCGCAGATGCGCCGCTGCGGGTTGCGTACCTTTCATGTTGCGAATGGGCCTCCGGAACGGATCCCGTTCGCAACCAGAGGTACCACTGTCTATGCTTTTCATTTGGTGCCAGAAACTCAATGTTACTGCCCACACTGGCGGAGGAATGGGGGGGGCGCGCATCGCCCCTGGCACCATCAGGGAGGGGGGTGCTATCGTGGCCACTCCCACCCTCCCGGATTCACGCCACGCAACCCCCCACGCTGGGCGCATGCCCCCAGGACGCGCGCAAGCCACGTCCCCAGTGCCGGAGCATGCAGCTTCGCCACTGACAGCCCATCCAACTTTTCCTTTGCTGTAGAGACTTACCCTGTTGGAAGCTGCCACTTGTGTAATCTTCGTTTGCTCTGGATCTCGTCCGTGCTTCCAAATCTACACTTTGCTTTCCAGGACCACCTGCAAATAACAGGGATGGTAAGCCAATCGGAATGTAGAATGCAGACGTGGCAGCTCTTCCCATTTCTCAGCACCCATCCCAAGGGTTTAAACATCAACTTGGGAGGAACTAGGATTTATGTCCATGTGAAGCCAGGTCTTTCGAAATACTTGGGGTATGTGGCTTAACATACCCACAGCCTATTTATGGGGCCCTAAGTTGAGACCTGAGCACACCGCACCCTTGTCTTTTGGCTCGACGAAAGGTGAGTGAGCTTTGATGCAATAGGGGATCCCTGGAGATTTTAGCACTGGCGGCTCATTTTACTGTAAAAATTAGTGAGAAAGGAACAGGGTGGCGAGGAGGACTATTGAGGCGCTACAAATTTGTGGGCCTTGGGATTTTAATGGAGCAGCGTGGGGGCTGGATGGAGAACATTACTAAAAAGCAGAAAACTTCAATAGAGATTGGGAGAAATGTAGATTATGTCTAAAAGAACACTGTAAAAACTTGGACTTTTTGGCAGGCTTTTAATAACTCTTGCAATGTAACAGACTTTGGACATAATGGAGGACTGTAATTTGGATGAACTTATAATACAGTGGTACCTCTGGTTACGTACTTAATTCATTCAGGAGGTCCGTTCTTAACCTGAAACTGTTCTTAACCTGAAGCACCACTTTAGCTAATGGGGCCTCCCGCTGCTGCCGCGCCGCCGCTGCGCAATTTCTGTTCTCATCCTGAAGCAAAGTAACCCGAAGCGTCTGTAACCCGAGGTACCACTGTATGCAGTTGACAAAGGTATTTTAAGAACCCACTGAGGGGAGGAGGGAAGTCCCGAGATTCAGAAGAATCTTGTTTTAATTTTGATATTTGCAACAATTTTATTTATAAGAACGAATTTGTAAAACCAATAAAAATTATTATTATTATTATTATTATTATTATTATTATTATTATTATTTTAAAAAAGAGAACAACACTAATAAGTAAGCTTACGAAAGGGAGGGCAAGAAAAGGGATAACATATGGGGAAGATAATGGAAAAACATTAGCCATCATAAGACACCCTCCAGTAGCAGACTAGGGGGTCAACAAAGTAGTGGCTGATGTCTATCGGCAGAAGACAAAAGGAGGAAAACAACAGTAGGTGGAGCCAGAGTAATGACAGGCAGTTTTGCTCACATCCTTCTCTCTGCTGAGTTCCACAAGGGCAGCACTGAGAGCATTGGCTGCCTTAACAGAACAACAGATTCTTAGTTTTATTGGGGGAAGGGAAGTAGATTCTAGTGAATCAGGGTAAGGGGCTGAATGCTGGGAATCAGGGGCTGCATCCACACCAGACCTTTAAGGCACGTTCAGGGCACATTTGCCCCTCCCAAGAATCCGGCAAACTGTAGTTTGTTAATGGCGTTGGGAGTTATAGTTCTGTGAGGGGTAAGCTACAATTCTCGGAATGTGGGGGGAAATGGGCTTTGAATGTCTGGTGTATACACAGAGTGGGAATTCTGTAAACAGCAGAGCTGGGGAGGCGACAAGAAGCTTGCCCCCACCCGCACTCGGTGGGGTGTATCTTATTTTTTTTGAAGTAGACAGTTTGAAAGTTCACACATTTGTGCAACATATTTTGTAACAGGGAAAAATGAAAAGGACAAACAACCCACCGACTGCTCTGCTTGTCCTTTGCTTGTCCTTTGTCCCTGCAAAGCACAGGTCTGGGAAGTTTCCCACTTGACTTGCTGTTTAGCTTTTAAACAGAACAAACCTCAATCTGCGGAAAAACCCATTGCCGTTTGCTCCAATTCAGTGTAAAAAAAGCAGTTTTCCCCAGGGAAAAGCAGCGGGACGAGAAGAAAAGTGTGTAAACCCTGAGAGATATATGCACAAGAATGTACTCAGGGCAAATGGTGATCAGCTGGTGTTTGCATCGTATGAAGGGACTGATATTGACCTATATTAAAGTGCCAATGCAATTTTATTTTTTATTTTTGTAGTTTTAAACTGTGTTATGTGAACTTGCGAATTTTGTAGTTCTTTCTTCTTCTTCAATATTATGAATCCAAACTAATTGTTTGATTGTGGACACATCACTCTTAACTAATAGGCTACATGTTTGGAACTATTCCTATCTGCAAGATAATGTTTTATAGCCTCAAAAGAGAGGAAGGCTTTCCGAGCCTTTTACGAGGGAATGTTAAGCAAGGGCTAATAAACCCATCCACTTTTATGGCTATCTGCTTTTTCCATCCGTTCCCCCTGCCCTTCCCCAACTCAGACCCAGTTTGTTGTTACCAGGAGTGATTGATTGATTAACAGCTTGTGTGTTTTTGTAAACCCAAAGGCAATCCAAGGCTGTCAATCCTTGAAGAAGGATAACAAAAAGAGAGGGCGGCAAATTATGTTGCAACAGAGTTGTTTGAGCCCATAAACCAGTCAGTCAAATGGCAAATTGACTCAGTAAGCTAAAAGTAGGCGCATTTCAGATTCCTTGCACAAAGCTGTCAAATCCATTCATTTCCATGAATTGCTACATCTTCTTGCCATTTCAGAGAACACGGAAACCCTGACTTTCAGTATCATTTCTTCCATCTAGCTAACCCATTAGACCACCCCAATACTTCCCTGCCTGGTTTCTTTCCTATAACTCTCTCTTCTAGAATCCTCCTGATTCTAAGTTATTTGGCTGTAGCTTCAACATCTGCTACCTTCCAAGAGAATCCAGACTGGGGCCAGTGGCCTCTTCCACCCCCAGCTGTAACTCACAGACGGCCACTAAGTTTTAAGAAAATCCTGACATTCTGGCCCCCTATACTGCCTTTAGATAGCAAGCACCATCCATAGCAAGGGAGGGCAGGCATCAGCTTTGCAGGACCTTGCTTGTTTTTTACTGGAACTCAAAGAGCCACAAAACAGACCAAGATGCAAAACAACATATGCTTAGAACTAAAGAACGTGTTTCCCTGTGATTGGGGATGTGGGAGATTACATTGGCTTTTGAAGGCAAACCTACCAAATTGGCACTTTCCAAAACACGCCACCATTCAAAATACAGTGATACCTCAGGTTAAGTACTTAATTCGTTGCAGAGGCCATTCTTAACCTGAAACTGTTCTTAACCTGAAGCACCACTTTAGCTAATGGGGCTTCCTGCTGCTGCTGTGCCACCGGAGTCCGATTTCTGTTCTTATCCTGAAGCAAAGTTCTTAACCTGAAGCACTATTTCTGGGTTAGCGGAGTCTGTAACCTGAAGCGTATGTAATCCGAGGTACCACTGTATGCACTTCTCTGAATTTTGCAGTGCCCTTCTCCACCCAAGCAATGTGTACAGGAATTTATGTTTTAAGATCAAGTGGACATGAAAATGCATATATTTGTGAAGATTACATTTGTGATCGCATTATAGCGTACAGTGGTACCTCAGGTTACAGACACTTCAGGTTACAGACTCCGCTAACCCAGAAATAGTACCTCAGGTTAAGAACTTTACCTCAGGATGAGAATAGAAATTGTGTGCTGGTGGCGCAGCGGCAGTGGGAGGCCCCATTAGCTAAAGTGGTGTCTCAGGTTAAGAACAGTTTCAGTTTAAGTACGGACCTCCAGAACGAATTAAGCTCTTAACCCAACGTACCACTGTATTAGGAGAAATTGCCACTAAAATGCTGTGGATTTTCAGGAGACTTTTCCAAAGTTGCAAATTTGCTGCAGAAATTGGAGGACCAAATCTAAGGTTGGGCAAATGAGAGAATTGCAATTGGCAAATCCATCCATCCCTAGCTGTGAGCTGCTGCTGCTGCTGCTGCTGAGCACATTGACTTGTTTTGAGTGCCAGAACTGAGCTATGCTCACAGACTTTCCACATAAAAATCCACACCTAAGTTTTCTTCCTTTCAGCAGTCTAATTGTGGTGGCAAGGAGAAGAATCATTTTGATGCTGCTCTTGTTAAACAGGAGTTGCTTACCCACTGGAAATCACCCAGAGATCTACTAGTAGATACCAATCTACTTTCTCCCCACCTCTGTTCTAAAGAACCCAACTCTCACTATGCTCTGATCTGACTTGGGAGTCTCCAAGGCTCAAGTATGTGTAGCCTATGACAAACTGGTACCCTCCAGATGTTGTTGGATTCCAGCTCCTGTCAGCCCCAGACAGCATGGCCAATGATGAGGCATGATGGGATTCCAAAATACGTGAAGGACACCAAGTTGGGGGAGGATGGTTTATATATAATCTGTATTGCCCATGGATGCAGATGGTATCAGATGACCTACCACAAATCAGATCTGTAGAATTACGGCTGTTGGGAGTCTAGGCAAAAGAAGCCACCTGCTGGCTGTCTCTCAAGGGGAAGGGAAGTGGCCTACCAATCTTAGAATCATGGCCCCTTGTGTTTGTTCAGGAAACCAATTCATGGTATCAGCTTTCTGGTTCATACAACCCCTAAGCATTATTTCTGGTAAATGGATAGAGTTATAATCTTGCAGCTTCAGGTACACGTTGACAAGAATATGCTCAGAGACTTACAACTTCTGGTTCCCTATAGTATCAAGATTTTGCTACAACCTACACTTGGTGAAGGGACGCAGGTGGCGCTGTGGGTTAAACCACAGAGCCTAGGACTTACCGATCAGAATGTCGCAGTTCAAATCCCCGCGACGGGGTGAGCTCCCGTTGCTCAGTCCCTGCTCCTGCCAACCTAGCAGTTCGAAAGCACGTCAAAGTGCAAGTAGATAAATAGGTACCGCTCCAGCGGGAAGGTAAACAGCGTTTCTGTGTGCTGCTCTGGTTCTCCAGAAGCGGCTTAGTCATGCTGGCCACATGATGTGGAAGCTGTACACCGGCTCCCTTGGCCAATAAAGCGAGATGAGCACTGCAACCCCAGAGTCGGCCACGACTGGACCTAATGGTCAGGGGTCCCCTTACCTTTACACTTGGTGAGGAATTTGTTGGTTTTATGAGACCTATCACTAGTCAGGTGACTGCCCCTTGTGACTCAGGCTCCTGTTTTCAGGTGCTCTGGCCTTTGGATCTGTTTGGTTAAAAGAGTAGCGTAATGTTTGTGAGTGAGTGAGTGAGTGAATGAACGAAAAAATTAAATGTGATGGGCTTATTCTCAAGGTCCTCTTTCCCGAATGACATGTCACTTTTGTCCCCCAGGCTCCGCACAATGGCATCACCAGAAGGAAAACCACATGGTTTGGTCAAGGCTGTGGAGACCCTCAGCAAAGGACATGACGTACACAAAGAAACCGAGCTTCTCATGAAACCGTACGCCAACTGGGAAGAGTTTCTCATGCCAGCGCCCATCTCCATTGCTATCTTGGGGGAGCTGATCTTCATCTCCACAGGGCAGGGAGACTTCTCCATCAACCTGCTTCCACCAGAGGGAGGCTTCCAGCACCTCAAGTACCCAGAATCCTTCAAGGCTTCTTTGTGCCAAGTCAGCAACCGAGGCTGGACCGCCTTCAACGAGGCTCACGTCAACATGGACCAAATCAGGCTGCTGGCAAACGGCATTCCGGAACAGATGAAAACGATTGTGCGGACTCTGATCCAAGAGGCCGAGGTGGTCTCCGCCTTGCTTCCTAACCAGCTGAGGAACCTCCAGGCGGCGACAGAGCAGTGTGGTGGGCTGGCCAAGGCGGTGAGGGCCAAGTTCACTGACGTGATCAACCTCATCCAGGAACTCCTCGAGGCTTGTCTCAACGCCAAGCAGGGCTACGAGAAGGAGCTGGAGGAAGTGCAGACAGCTCTGGAACAAGCCAAGATCAGAGAAAAGTCAGCCAAGGAGGCCAAGGAGATGGCTGAAAGGTACCACCACCAGATGAGGGAGCATGTGGAAGAGTCCTTCCAACAGTACAAGAAAGCCATGGAATCCATCCCCACAGGCTGGGATGCAGTGGGAATGGAGCTGGTCACCACCCTCACTCAGACCCTTAGTGCTTTTTCGGTTGAGTTTACACGGATGGCAGCAGGGAGGCAGGGGAGTCTGGGAGAAGTAGCTGGCATGGGCAGTGGGGAGGGACTGGCCAGGATGTTTCCATTTATATCAGCTAGTGTCATCTGCTCCAAGTCTGCTGAGCTGTTAACGTTTGCTACCAGCTTGAAGAACGTCTTGGATGAACATGGAGGCCTTAAGGCATCTATGATTGTTGATGAGAAGAGTGGGGAGGTCAAAACGGAGTGGGTGAAGAAGAACCTACAGAGGCTGAGAGACTCCATTGAGAAAGAGGAAGGGTGCGACCCCAAAGTCAAAGCCCAGGAGATTTGCCAAGGTGGGTTGGATATTTGCCAACAGTTGGAGAAGGTGGCTTTGGCAGTGGGTGGCATTGGTTCTGTGGGGAAGAGCTTGCTGGATGGGATACACCAACTCCACAAGAAGGCCTTGGAGTTCGACTCTTATAGCAAGGCCTACACTCGGTCTCCGGCCTTTTCCCCCAAACCACCCAACATGTCCAAGATGGGGGGAGCAGCAAGCTCAGGGGTGGAAAATGCCCGTCTGAAAGTACAGCAGAGCCGAGAGACTCTGAAGGCCACGAGGGAGGAGTATCAGAGGAGCTTTGAAAACTTCAAGAAGCAGAACGAGGAATTGGCGGAGATTCTCTGCACCATGAGAGGCTATCAAGTTAAGGAGGTGGACTTTGACACGGCCAGAAAAATGCTCATCAAGGGCCTGGAAGCCCTGGGGAGGGTGAAGGAGCAATGGGAGAAGATGGTGAGGTTTTTCCAAATGATCTCCAACTTAATTGATTCCTGCTTGGTCTGGAGCGTGAAAGAATTTTCTGACACTGTGGATGGAGCCCAGAAGATCTCCAGCTACTCATCCAAAGCCTTCACCGCTGACCTGGTTTACGGGCATGTTTTTAATGCCTCCAGCATGGCCCAGCTGGTAGCCATGATTTCCGAGACTTACACCCTGGTGTCGGAGAAGTACCTCATGGAGCGTGTGAGCAGCTTAGGCCGCCTCCTGGCCATGGAAGCTGACCAACCAAGCCTGGCTGCCGAGCGAGCCGCGTTAGCTGAAGGCTGCGACGCGGCACGGAAAGCGGTGAAGGAGCTGGTGCTGGAGAAGAAGGCAGAGTTCGAGAGAGGGCTGGAGGCCAGAGCGCAGGCCATTGAAAGGGAGATCAGAGCCGTGCTGCCTGCAAATGGGGATACTGAGCCGCACCTGAGAGAGCTCAGTCTGGAGGAGGAAAGCAAGTTTCTGTAAGTCCCGAAGAAAGGTCTCCAAAGCGTGGGTGGGTGTTGACCGAGAAGGCTTTAGGAGGCAAGGAAGGAACCAAGAGAATGCTGGTGATAAACTCACAGGTCAAAGGTCCCACTTCACCACTGCTGCAAACACGAAACAGAAGTACCTTCGTTCTGAGTGTTCCCTAAAGCAACAATAAACATGAAAAGAGACTTGTGTGCGGCAGCAAGAAAATTATTGGCACAAAATTGGAAACAAGAAGAATTACCGACAAAAGAAGAATGGAGGATGGAACTGATGGACTATGCAGAATTAGATAAATTAACAGGAAGATTTCGAAAGCTGCGGGACCAGAGATTCACAGAAGACTGGCATAAATTCATGGACTATTTGGAGAGTAATTGTGATGATCATATTACGCTTGTAGGTTTGCGAGAAGTTTTGTAAGGTAGACTATTTGAAATATTGCAAAAAATAAAAAGGTAACGAGGGGGTCAGTTAAGATAATTAAAGGCAATAGGAATTTAAGAAATGCAGAATAAGTGATAAGAACGGAAGACCATCAGAGGGGCTGATGGAAGACCAAAGATTGTATGATGTGAAGTTCTGTTGTATGAATATTAACTAATATGTAAAAATTAATAAAAATAATATTAAAAAAGAAAAAAAGAAAAGAGACATGTGTGTGTGTATATGTGGCAACCTGCTGCCATCTGGTGGAAGAAGTGCTTGGTGTTTATTTGATATTTGTTGAGGGACAACCATTTCCCCAGAACTTTTCTATTTTATTTTCTAATAATAATGATGATAATATTGGGGCATGGAAGTGTACTGATGCTGTGGGTGCCACTGGCGGGAAGGGTGGGGCTGTCCCCCCACTCCTCCATCAGTCCCTGCCTCTAGCTCAGGCATAGGCAAACTCCGGCCGTCCAGATGTTTTGAGACTACAATTCCCATCATCCCTGACCACTGGTCCTGCTAGCTAGGGATGATGGGAGTTGTAGTTCCAAAACATCTGGCAGGCCGGAGTTTTCCTATGCCTGCTCTAGCTTGTTTTGAGATGCAGATCAGTCCAAACCACTCTGGATCAATCTGACCCACTTCAAACTGGTCCAGAGTTGCTTTGCCTCTCTTTGGAATAAGCCTGATTCAGTTCGGAATTTGATGTCCATCCAAAGTCATGACGCAGCACTGCTTTCTTCAAAAGAGCAAGTGTACACAGATGGAGGCCATTTCCTATGCTCTCCTGCAATACCAAAGTCTCACAAACAATCTCGTAATGTCAGCCGGCAACTCACCAACAGCATATGAATCAATCTGGCTAACACACACACACACACACCACTCACACACGAAAACAAATTTCACTACAGCCAATCAAAGACAACCACCCAGCCCCAGGCCACCCCCAACCTCTCTCACCACCAAAGGAATACAAGTAAATAGTAAAGAGAACTCACACAAGTGATGCTGACACAAAATCTCACACATACACTAAGTAGAAGAATAGGAGCGTTGCCACCCAACCCCACCCCACTCACCATTCCCCCCTCCACCTCTTTCCCCCTTTTCTTCCTAATGTAACACTAATATCTCAACAAATGAAACTGATCTGTAGAAAATGTAAATTGAAAGAAGAGCCATTGCACATACTTTTGTAAACCAAGGAAATATATATATATATATATATATATATATATATATATATATGTGTGTGTGTGTGTGTGTGTGTGTGTGTGTCAGCCAGCAGCGTCAGAAAAGGCAATAGAACAAATTCAGCAGAACCGTATGCAAATCCTAAACAATAAGTTCGCAAAAGTTCGTCAACGTGTCTGATTATGATCATGTTTAGAATTAAGTCACTTTAACCCCTTTAAAAATAGCTTGCCTCATTTCCTTGTAGACCAGAGTTCCCCAAATTTGGGTCTTCAGCTGATTTTGGACTACAATTCCCATCATCCCTGATTGCCAGTCCTGCTAGCTAGGGATGATGGGAGTTGTAGTCCAAAAACAGCTGGAGGCCCAAGTTTGGGGAACTCTGGTCTACAGTGGTACCTCAAGTTACATACGCTTCAGGTTACAGAGGCTTTAGGTTACAGATGCTTCAGGTTACACACTTCGCTAACCCAGAAATAGTGCTTCAGGTTGAGAACTTTACCTCAGGATGAGAACAGAAATTGTGCTCTGGCGGCGCAGCAGCAGCAGGAGGCCCCATTAGCTAAAGTGGTGCTTCAGATTAAGAACAGTTTCAGGTTAAGAACGGACCTCCAGAACGAATTAAGTACTTAACCTGAGGTACCACTGTATAAGGAAATGAGGCAAGCTATTTCTAAAGGGGTTAAAGTGACTTAATTCTAACACCCAGAGCATGCTTGAGCAACTCCCTGCTCAGGAAAACCCTTTCGTGGTTGAAGGGAGTGTCATTGGTGCACTGCCTTATGTGGCTACATTGAACATCTGGAGACATCCTTTTAGAGCTCCTCTCAGTCCCTTTTCGGTTTTAACACTCTTTCTTTCCTCCTCTCCACCACCCTTAACTACAGGTCATTCATGAAGACGTTAAAAAGCACCAACCGCACACACATCCTTGGGGAAGCCCCTTCCCATGTCTTTCCACTGTGATAACTTGCGAATGCACCAGTATAATACAGCACAATGCAGAGGAATGTTGGAAGAGCCAGTGTGGTGTAGTGGTTAAGAGCGGTGGGCTCGTAATCTGGTGAACTGGGTTCGCATCTCCGCTCCTCCACATGCAGCTGCTGGATGACCTTGGGCCAGTCACACTTCTCTGAAGTCTCTCAGCCTCACTCACCTCACAGAGTGTTTGTTGGGGGGGAGGAAGGGAAAGGAGAATGTTAGCCGCTTTGAGACTCCTTCGGGTAATGATAAAGCGGGATATCAAATCCAAACTCCTCTTCTTCTTCAAGAGGAAATTTGTGAGTGGAAATGGAGAAATCCCTCACTGCTAAGCGGAGGTTGGACGGCCATCTGTCATGGATGCTTTAGCTGAGCTTCCTTCATTTCAGGGTGTTGGACTGGATCAACCTTGGGGTCCCTTCCAGCTCTAAAACTCAATAATAATAATAATAATAATAATAATAATAATAATAATGGTGGAAGGCGGCTTAAGGGGGGGACGGACAAGAACGAAGAGGAGACGAAATGGCATAGAGGAGGATGTCCACATCCCACAAACAAAACGCAGTAGCCAAAATGCAGTTTTTCATGACTCCTGGGATACAGAGTCCTCCAGCAGGAGCACCAGTAGTTGCAGCAGTAGCAGCATCAGCAGCCCTGACAGAGCTAGTAGGCCGGAAAGCAGCCTAGACCACATAATGCCAGGATCAAGTCCTGTGACCCCTCCTCAGTCTATCCATGAGCAGTCTGCACTATGCCAAGGTCCTTACTTCCACATCAACCAGATCCTGAAATAGGCACACTTCCATAGCTTACAGAGCAGGGGCCGTCCTCCCACATGATGAGCCTAGCAGTTCCCTGCCTTCTGGGAAGGGGGACAGCACTGTGTGATGGGGATATGTCAACTTAAAAGTTTGTTAAAATGGCACAAAATGCCTGTTGCCTTTTCATTCTGTATATGGAATAACGGGTTAAGAGGCAATTGTTTACTTGTGGTTTGCTGCACTATTGCAATGCAAAAGGGGCTTTGGAGCAATTTTTATAGGATTCTTTTTGGGGAGGGATGGAGGGTGGATATCTTTTGACATGTCATGATGGGTCTGAGAATCCACTTCTGTATAATAGGAGTGCATAATAAATCCAGTCTGACCTCTTAATCTGTTCATTAGTAACTGCTTTATGCTTTATGTAAAATCCTTTCAAACATTTGTGTTCAGTTTTATAAGTCTTTTTTTATTTCAATAAATAGTAAAGAATAATAATAATAATAATAATAATAATAATAATAATTTATTCATACCCTGCCCATCTTGCTGGATTTCCCCAGCTACTCTAGACGGCTTCCAACAGAATATTAAAAACATGATAAAACATCAAACATAAAAAACTTCCCTAAACTGGGCTGCCTTCAGATGTCTTCTATGATTCTACAAAGTAACAGTAACCTACCTGTTAAAGTTCCAACAGAGTGCAGATGCATTTTGTAGGCATTTCTGGCTGAAAAGAGCCAACTCCCTTATTACGAGGTAACACTACCCTCATTATGAAACTGCAAGTATGGCGCAGGACTGCAAACACACACTCCTCACTTTAACCTCAAATACTCTGCACATGTAAAAAGATGCTTAAGAAACAGCAGTTTCAGGAAATGGTTTCAGGACTTGTCTGTGGGTTTCAGATATGTGGTTTACATATCTGTATGTGTTTGCTTGGTACATTTATGAACATTTATTATATATATATAAGACCTTAAAATTCTTATAACAATCTGGACTCTCTCTGTGCAGAATAAAGGTGCAAATATGTGTAATTAAACCATATTTCTAAAAGCTTAAGGAACTTCCTAGGTGAGATCCCATGGTCAGAAATACTTGAAAGAGGTGCCTTCAGTTAAGTTCAAGCAAGTACAGTAGTATGTCCCTTGCACGAAGAAGACAGAGAAATGCTGTTGGAGGATAGAGAAAAGGTGGAACTGCTCATTGTTAAAATCGTTACACACATGGTTCTTAATTGTAAACTATATGCTGATCTCCGTCAGCAATTTCTAGATCAACTCTGCATCCCCAAATGGAAACCAGAGTTGGAGGTCATACATTTTCTGTTACTGGGGAATGATCAGGAGCTCACCAAGTTAGTGGCTAAATATCTCTATTTGGTTTTTTGTCGTCGAAATACACTGCAGACGTCTGATCTCCCTGGAGACCAAGAGATGTGACGATAGACTGCTCTGCCTCCTTTCTTTTAGCAAATGTTTTGTGCCACTGGGGAAGTGGTAATTCTGTATTGATTTGTTTTGGATGTTTGTATGTGCTGCCAATAAAAGGTTTGTTGATGATCGTGTTTATGGAAGACAATCTTACTCAGCTGCGAGTGATCGCCAAAGAAGAAGAAGAAGATAGAAAAAATAGGGGTGGGTGGCTTTTGCTGCCCAACTCCCCAAGGGACTGAGTCCCCTAAGTCCATGATCGGTCAGAGATGAATGGATGGAGGCAGGAGGCATTGAAAGCAAGGCAGATCTTTATTTTTCTGTCGCAAGAGAGTTCCCTCCCCTGCTGGCAAGTAGGCAAGAGAAACCCCTGAACCAAAAAGAAAGATCTCTTTTAAGGGTTTGCATTTTGGCTGGAGAAGAATGACATCCCCTCTACAAACAGTCCAAAATTATATCACACGTAAGGTTGGGGTTGCTGTGGCTCAGGTTGGCCAAGGTGTGATATTCCTGAGGATTTAGCAAGTTTTACATAGTTCCAGCAAGTTTTTACATACTTTTAATGAGGGTGAAAGAGGAGATGGGGACAGAGACCAGGCTAACAGCAAAAACCTTTTAATAAAGGAGATATTTATTTAACTGCTACCAGGACCAATATTACAGGAAAAGAAAGGCGTTACAGGCACACAAATACAGTCATTTCACCCCGTCTCTTAATTACAGGTAAATGTCTTAAAACAATTAATTTACATCTACTTGCAAAGGAACACAGCTAAGAATATTTCTGGGATTAATTCAAAAACAGGACCGATCATCTAGTCAGTACTTGGATATACTTCTGTTCACAAAAATAATGTTTTTAGAAGCATTTGAATTTCCCGGTATTTTAAAAGGGTGGGTGGAGTGGCTTTTTGGCTGATTGATTCAATCTCTTGTCAATTTAACACAATCATTTCTTCCATTCTGGAATGTCAGTGTTTGCTATGATTTCTACGTCATCCATCTTGTTGTTCTCCATTTACAAAATAAGGATTCGAAATACACTTTGAGTTTCCTGATACCCTAAAGGTGGGAGCCGTCAGGGAGATCTTGGGCGGTTCTTCTGAATGATAATCTTCATGAAATGCTAGCATTCTGATTCTGATTCTGTCTATGCCTTTTCCCCTTGAAGATAGATCTTCCTGACTGCTTACTAAACCCTTTCCACTGCTCTGAGGTGGAGATGTTTTGCATAGCTATTGTTTCTGTTTGACTAAGTGAGCCTCTTAGTTTTGTTTCAATAAAATGGAAAATAAAACCATCTATCTTGAGTAGCGATTCTTTTGATACTTTTGTCTGTGGTGAATCTGCCTGTCTGAGATTCATCGGAATGCCTGAGGGAAAATGGGTTTTAGATGAGGAAGCCTAAATAGTAAATGGAAGATACGCTCTTTAGGAAAACAGGAAAGTATGTAAATGTTGGGAAACATCTTAACACAGAGAAATTTGTTTCTACATTTCTGGTCGTCCAAGGTGTCAAGATTAATCTCCTAAATTTTAACTCTTATGCAGGGTTTCACATTTTCTCATTTAATCTTTTTATTGAAAACGTTTCAATTATAAAGTGATACAAAGATAGAGAGGAAAATAAAAGAAACATAAAAAGGTACAGAAATGTGTAGAAAGAAGCAATATACAAATATATACAATCAGTGCTTTTTTCCTAAAAAAATGTTTAGGGGTACAGTCATTTTCCTACTCATATTGAAATACTGCCCCTCAATGAGGCCAGAATTAGATTTACAAAATGTTTAGGGTATGCGAACCCCTGCGTCCCCCCAGAAAAAGAGCACTGTATACAATACAGGAAAAAGAAAACGTAGCATAATAACATCAAATTTAATATACGAATGTATGAGAGCATATTAAATTGCATGCTTTCATATTTTCATGTCAGAAAGAACAACGTACACCACTTTGAGCACCTTGGAGGAGAAAAGTTGGATATAAATGCAATAAGTATTTTTTTAAGGTTTGCTCAGACATACGAGCCAGATATTTTCCTATGTTCGATGTAAACAGCGCAGTTGAGGATAACGCATGTTATGTAACCATATACAGTGGTACCTCGGGTTAAGTACTTAATTCGTTCCGGAGGTTCATTCTTAAACTGAAACTGTTCTTAACCTGAAGCACCACTTTAGCTAATGGGGTCTCCTGCTGCTGCCGCGCCGCCGGAACACGATTTCTGTTCTTATCTTGAAGTAAAGTTCTTAACCAGAGGTAATATTTCTGGGTTAGCGGAGTCTGTAACCAGAAGCGTATGTAACCTGAAGCGTATGTAACCCGAGGTACCACTGTAGCTGATATTGGAATTTCAACAACTGCTTGAATGTATCTTCCCAAATAATTAATGACTTTGACTTGGGCAGCTTCTGCAGTTTGGCAAACTTAAAAACGAATTTAAAAGTGTGTTAAACCATGTATTATAGTTCTTAATAAAACTGAAGTAGTTCCCTGTGTAAATATGGCCGGAGTCAGACTTGTGCCCACCAAAAGAGGTGTGTCTCTCTCTTTTTTTGGAGTGGGCGGGTTGCAAGTCATCACAATACAGAATCTCAGTACAAGAACTGACACTCCCCTCTTCTCCTCCTTCTCACTCTTTGAAGCGGGAAACTGATGGCAACTTCTTCTTTTCTCTTTCGCTCCTCAAGCAAAGCCATGGCTTCTGCAAACCCAGTCCAGTCCCTTCTCCATGAGCTCACTTGCTCCCTCTGCCTGAAGGAGTTCATGGACCCAGTGATGCTCATCGGATGCGGGCATAACTTCTGCAACGCTTGCATCACCAAGCACTGGAAAGGCTCCCTTAAGAACGTCTGCTGCCCTCAGTGCAAGAAGGGTTTCTTGAAGGCCAAGCTGCAGCAAAACGGGCCGCTGAAGAACATGGTGGAGGCAAGTCGGCAGATCACCTGGGGAAGCCTGAAAGAGTCAGCCACGTCCGAGAGCACCTGCCCTTCGCACAAGGAGCCTCTGACACTTTTCTGCCAAAAGGACAGCATCCTGATCTGTGCAAAGTGTGAGGTTCAGCATCAGGACCACACCATCCTGCCCATACAGAAGGCTATTGACGAGCAAAAGGTAATAATAGACGGAGCTTTCAGATAGAGGGGGGGTGGCAAAACTATGTACAGTGGTACCTCAGGTTATAGTCACTTCAGGTTACATACACTTCAGGTTACAGACTCCACTAACCCAGAAATAGTACCTCGGGTTAAGAACTTTACCTCAGGATGAGAACAGAAATCGTGTGGCGGCAGCAGGAAGCCCCATTAGCTAAAGTGGTACCTCAGGTTAAGAACGGTTTCAGGTTAAGAACGGACCTCCAGAACGAATTAAGTTCTTAACCCGAGGTACCACTGTAATTGTTATTAATGTTTCTTTAGAATAGGTTGCGTCTTGCCCAAAGTCAAATTTCAGCTAGGACTCTGCCTCAGTGCCCTTTAAGATGTCCAGAGAGACCCATTCAACTTTTGAGGCCACTAGCCATAAAAAAGAAAAATGACAACACGCAAAATTAAATTAAGGCACCAAAAAAAAGGGGGGGTGAGTGGGTTTTTTTATATAATCAGCAGACCTGAAAGGATGTGTTCGTGATGGTCTAACCTTATGCCTTCAGAACATATATTATTTTATTTATCAATGTTTTAAACTTTTTAATGTGGCAGAATCTGTATCAGTTAACAAAAAGAAATACTGTATGTCTTTTGCAAATCACATCTCTCATTTGTTTAAATCTGTAGCCCTAAATTAAAAAAACAAGTCGCCAGACTTATTAAATGCCAAAAAACCCCACAAAACCACTCCACAAGTGTCTAATGGCGGTGTAAGGGCAGAGCCAGACACAAAATGGAGGCCGAGGTTGGCATAATCAGCTGGCAATTACTAACATCACTTTTTACTGCTCTCTGATCCATCTTTGGAAATAGCTGAAATCTTTCCCACAATATCTTCCTTGTGGCAAGCAGTTCCATAGCTCAGTTTTCCTCCATCTGCTCTGGAGGTATTGTGACTCAGCCTCCCCATGCTAGGGAGAATTTAGTGATCCCTTCCCTTTCCCACCTTTCTCTCAAATTATTTTTACCCATCTCCTGTAATTTCTTCTCCCAATCCCCTTTTGCATTCAACTTGTACCTTATTCCTCATCCCCAAACTGTTAGTTTTCTTTCATCCCTCCCCCTGCCCTGGTCATTTCACATTCACTTCTGCCTGCTATAAGAGCTTTCCACTCCTATTCCCTTCCTTTCTATCCCTGTTTCATTTATTTATTTAATCAATATGTTGTTGGGGGAAAGCTGCCTGGGCCTCATCACTTCTCAAGTTCTAACAAAAGTCTGGGTGAGGTTAGGAGGACATGTAAGTCATGAGTTTTCAGAAAACGAAACTGAAAAAAGCAGCCCTTATGCTGTCTTCACAGCAAGAGTCTTTCTGCGCCCTTCAACCTACTCTGTACTTTTCTGCCTGCTGTTAGCGAAACTTTGAAAAGCCTTTATATAAGGCGTCTGATATGCTTGGAACTTCCTGGGGAAAACCTCCTGATGCTTTGAGTGACCCAACTTGCATGTATACTGTAATTAAATTGCTTCTGGCAGATTTTTACACTAAACGCAAAGTGCAATATTCCAGAATATTAATTTTTAATCTCTCTCTTTCCCGCCCCCCCCCTTCTAATTTCCTTTCTAATTTCCTCTGGTCCAACTAAAAGGCTATCTGCATGAGTTGTAAGCCTCAATATCCACCTTGGAGCAGGCAAGCCAGAACACAGATGTGTGTGAACCTTCTTTCATTTTTATTTTTTATTTCAGCCCCTTCATGCCTGCCTTCTACTCAGAACCTTGGGTGTTATCAGTCAAGCATCCAAGTATTCTGACTAGGTCGAGCTGTGCTGAAAGTTTTGAAACCAGATAACACCAGCTGCACACATTCCTATGAGATTTACTCGTGGGTCCTTTGTTCTGGGTTTCTTCTTCCTTGTTTTTTTGCTTGGGAGTTGGAACCTTGTTGCAACAATAAAAGATCAGGCTTCCAAGCCGCTGTTTTGCTTCAATTGGCCTGGCTGTGGTCTTGCTGGAACTTGACTAATTCTGAACTAGCAGAGCTAGCGAAGTTGAGAAATTTAAGTATCCTACCCCAAGTTTTGTCCTTGTCACTTGTGAATGTGTATTTCCCTCAGCACTTTCTGCTGCAGCCCCTGTCCTCTTTTTAGAATGTGTGGGGATTAGGTGTGCCATGGCAAAGCAAGAAGTGCTTGGGTGCACTGTGGCCAAAGTTTCCTGTTTAGGGAAGTTTTTAATGTTTAATGTTTTATCATATTTTTAATATTCTGTTGGGAGCCACCCAGAGTGGCAGGAGAAAATATTATTATTATTATTATTATTATTATTATTCCCTTACGTGGTGCCTGTGTGGTAAACCAGTTGCATGAGAAGCGAACTAAGCTGGGAAAGTACAGTGGTACCTCGGGTTACATACGCTTCAGGTTACAGACTCCGCTAACCCAGAAATAGTACCTCGGGTTAAGAACTTTGCTTCAGGATAAGAACAGAAATTGCATGGCAGCGGCGTGGCAGCAGCGAGAGGCCCCATTAACTAAAGTGGTCTTCAGGTTAAGAACAGTTTCAGGTTAAGAATGGACCTCCGGAACGAATTAAGTATGTAACCAGAGGTACCACTGTATAAGGGTTCCTCCCTCTCCCTTTTTAGATTATGTGGTTGTTTTGAAGTCAAACCACTGCATTAGCAACATCAAAGTGACCTCCCTGGCGTGCCAGTCTGGGCAGTGTCTATGGAGGTCTTGGGCTGCCCAGGCTACAAGACCCCCTATAGTGAAGTTGGGAAATCTCAGTATGCCAAACGCTGGTTCACGCAGGAGTGAGGCATTGTGGGAGAGATAAAATTGTGGCCTTCTGGGGAATGGTTGTGTTAACGGAGAAATCTGAGGGCTCCCTTGGACAAAAAAACAAGGACACCAGCCAGGAATACCAGAGCAAAACAGCAGCCAGTAGGCTTGGTCTTTATTGAAGACCATCGTGACAGGACTCCCACCTGCCACAAGGTGGAACAAGATGGAAGCCACGAACAAAAGAGCCCCCAAACTTTTATTAGCTGCTAATCCCCATGTTGGGTAAAGTAAAGGGACCCCTGACCATTAGGTCCAGTCGTGGCCGACTCTGGGGTTGCGGCGCTCATCTCACTTTATTGGCCGAGGGAGCCGGCGTACAGCTTCCGGGTCATGTGGCCAGCATGACTAAGCCGCTTCTGGCGAACCAGAGTAGCACACAGAAACGCCGTTTACCTTCCTGCCGGAGTGGTATCTATTTATCTACTTGCACTTTGACGTGCTTTTGAAATGCTAGGTTGGCAGGAGCAGGGACCGAGCAACAGGAACCCACCCCGTCACGGGGATTTGAACCGCCGACCTTCTGATCGGCAAGTCCTAGGCTCTGTGGTTTAACCCACAGCGCCACCCGCGTCCCCATGTTACACCCCCCAAACTACATCACTCATACATCACGGTTACATCATGAAAGGGGAGGTCTGGTGGCAGTAATCTGAGCATCCTGGACCCTGCCCCATGGTTCTCCTTGCCCTCCACCAAACACCCATCAAGTGTAACAAAAAAGATATTTACATTTCCCTGTTTCCCAGCCAAGTTAATCACACCCTTTTGTCTTCATCTGGGTTTGTTATTTCTGGAATGGCTACCTGTCTGGCATCAGGTATCAGGATGCCAGGGATTATCACTCAGGCAGAGGGGCTGAGGAGTAGCTGAGCTCACATGTCTATATGAATTTCTGAAGTTTTCCCAGTGAGCCAGTACATAGATACATTTACCAGTGAATTGTTACGTTTGGTATCGTGCAGCAAAGGCCCTTTGAATAGACAGGAAGAAACTGTGATGAAGTGTTTTGTGGGGACAAATCACAAAAGTCACAAAAGCGATTGTGCTGATTTTGGTAGTGGGCTGCATGTGCAGGATATCTGCTGGAGGGGCAACCCCCCCACCTATACATAAATTCCTGCAACAGTTGTTTGGTCTCTTTAAACATAAAACTCCCTGTTTCTAGAAGTGTGAGTCAATTACATCTTGACTCTAGGCAGGATGAGAGCTTATCTGATTTGCAGACCCTGGCACAGCTAGGTGTAGATTGGGTTGTAAATAAGGCACAGGAGGCTATAAAGTAATTTACAGTTTCGGAGCCTGGTACTTGTAAGAGAAGCCTGGGAACGAAGGAAGAGCCTTTTGAACTATTGTTGCTGTGTGAGTATGGTTTTAGCTAGGTATATTTTACAATGTTTTTATTTTTTGTTTGTAACCTTCTAAGAAACGTGCAACTTTTTGAGTGGCTTGTTCAATAAACTGGAAAAAGGACTTTTTGTCTTTTGTACTCTGCGCCTTTGCTGGGAGAAGCTAAACTGGTGCCTGACCGTTTGGACACCTACCTGTTGAATTTCTGTCTGCGTCTCGGTAAAGTGACTCAGGGCTGGGCCAACCCGGTAAATATCGAAGGGGGGTTCTCCTCCTTGAACCGCATACAAGGGTGGTCCAGGAAAGGAGGTGGTTGGCAGCTTTACTGTTTGGCTTGTGATTTGCAACAACTAGCGATAGCTCCCCCTTCCTGGCCAAGTCTAGGAGGAATGGTCAGGGGGGAGTGGATAGTCCCGCTCACTACAAGCCCCCCCCCCCCCGGCCTCACTGATGTGGTCCAAAGGAAAGTGTTATGGAAATTACGGGGGGGGGGCACATATTTAAAGTTGTTAACAGTCACAAATATTATGCCTGAATGTATCCTTTCGACTTGACAGCTCAGGGAATACACCTAGCTTTATGATTTATATAGGGATGCAGGTGGCGCTGTGGTCTAAACCACTGAGCCTCTTGGGCTTGCCGATCAGAAGGTCAGCGGTTCGAATCCCCGCGACGGGGTGAGCTCCCGTTGTTCGTTCCCTGCTCCTGCCAACCTAGCAGTTTGAAAGCACGTAAAAGTGCAAGTAGATCATTAGGTACTGCTCCGGCGGGAAGGTAAACAGCGTTTCCGTGCGCTGCTCTGGTTCACCAGAAGCAGCTTAGTCATGCTGGCCACATGACCCAGAAGCTGTCTGCGGACAAACGTCGGCTCCCTCGGCCAATAAAGCAAGATGAACGCCGCAACCCCAGAGTTGTCCGCGACTGGACCTAACGGTCAGGTACTTTACCTATGAATTGTATAAAATCAACACCTTTGCCAAGTTCCTCCATTCCAACACCATTTTGCCCTTGGAAAAAGGACTCTTTCCGCTGCCACCTCCCCAAACTTGAAGACATGTATACACTCCAGGAAATGCCTAGAGGTGATAATTGCTGGGATCATTGTTCTCCAAGGGAAGCCAGAGCTCATCACCAGACTTGCCTCAGGCTCCAGACATGCAAAGGAAGTTCTATTGTACTTTGGGTTGTGGGACTTCAGAGGTGTTTGCCTATGCTAATCTTATACAGTGGTACCGCAGGTTACATACGCTTCAGGTTACAGACTCACTAACCCAGAAATATTACCTCAGGTTAAGAACTTTGCTTCAGGATGAGAACAGAAATTGTGCTCCGGCGGCGCGGCAGCAGCAGGAGGCCCCGTTAGCTAAAGTGGTGCTTCAGGTTAAGAACAGTTTCAGGTTAAGAACGGACCTCTGGAACGAATTAAGTACTTAACCTGAAGTACCACTGTACCTGGGTCTTGCCCTGCCATGTCTGCTTATGGTAATCTTGTACCAAGGACTTGTCCGGACATGTTTGCCAAGGTTAAACTAGTGTAATCCCTGTCTACCCCTCCTCTTTTGTGACATGTCAGTGATGTAGCAATGATGCTGTACGAACTGTATTCTGGGATATGGTGGGGAAGTTTTAAAAGTCTTTGTCACCCCATCCTCAGGGTTCAAATTTGCTCTTTGAACCTATTGCGCAATAAACTTTGGTCTACAGCTATTTGCTCCGGTTGGTGGCTGGACTCCCTCCTTTATTCCGCAGGGACCCGCGGGCTCTGGGTGACTGAGCAGCCTCACACCTAGATTTTTCCGTAACAGAAAGCAGAGCAATACATGTGGCACCAGTTTGGCTGCAGGAGTTGCCGAAAGGAGGCGTACAAGGCACCAACCAACCACTTCTAGTAGCATTGCAGAATATAGCCAATTTTCCCTGTTATTTGCATCCAGGGGAAAAAATATGCTTGCCAATAAAATTTGCACTATATTCTGCTACATGTCTGGAAGTGGCCTTTATTCAATGTAGAAGCTCAGATATATTGCAGAACTCAACTGTCAGAGAAACAGAACCAACTGTCCTATGAATGCAGCCTGAATGTGGGCAGGGGGACTGAGTTGTATTCTGGGGCAGGAAACTGCAAATAAACTGCAACTACCTTTGACTCCTGAATGCTAGGACCTTTTCTCCAAGTTCTTACACCTGAGAAGTCTAACTGTAATGTGTCTGAAGGCAGGAACAAACTAAAATCCAATTCTGTCTTCCCCTTCACAAATTCATCTTAGGAGCAAATTCTGAGCAAGCTGAAGCAACAACAAGCTTTGGTTGAAAAGTTAAAAGAAGCTGTTGCATGTGGTGCCAAGGAACTGCTGGTAAGTCTTGCATAAACGCTCAGCACCTACAGATGGATGCTTGATTTACACCAGACAGCATATGAGGCCTGCTGCGGACTGGGAGATGTCCCTGCCCCACTGCTATGCCTTATCTCATTCCCCAGGAGGAGAGAGAGAGAATTAAGAAGCTATTTGATAGTCATTTTCAAGTAACTGAATGTCAGGCACTTACTCAAGAGACCAAATTTTATTTTCTGTTGCTCTGGATGGTAAGACCCAAACCAATGGGTTCAAGTTACACTCTCTCTCTCTCTCTCTCTCTCTGTGTGTGTGTGTGTGTGTGTGTTTTCATTATGCAGTAAAACAGCATAATAAAACCATCAGAACAACCAAGCTGTGAGTACTCAGGGCAGAAGTCCTGTCCAAACCACCACACTCTGACCATCTTATGAGAGGGCTACCTAAGCTACCACGTTGCTTGCACACTTTCCAGTCCATTAAAAAGTGCATCATCGTTTTTTATTTCAGCCCTCACGTAAGAACAAAAAGTTCTTGCCTGAACATTAGAAAGAGCTTCCTGACAGTATGAACTGCCCACTAGTTTGAGGCTTGTTTATACGTTGCACTGAATGAAAGTACAAGCTGTTGTATCTCTCTACTCATGTTGTTGGCACTCGCCTGTCACAAGAGACATTGGAGTGCGCCTCTGAGGGTGAAGTCAAACATTAGCAGCAATGAAGTAACCTCCCCAGGGTGCAAGCCCGGGTGGTATGTATGGAGGTCCTGGGCTGCCCAGACAACAAGACACCTCCCCCCCGGCCTCACTGGTGTGGTCCGAAGGAAAACAGAGCAATACTCACGTATGTGTGAAATAAATCAAAGAAAGGCTGCGGACATACCATACATTTATTTTATTTTATTTTAAAATATATTTTATTAGATTTTTTTCCAACTATACAAAAGTAAAAAATCACCATAACAGAAACAATAGTCACACACACACACACACACACACACACACACACACACAACTGTATGTCAAAACAATTTCAAATCCAAAAACAGGGATTCTCCAAATCCCGGGACTTCCCTTCACCCCCCCCTCTGGTTCCTTAATTTTTCTTTTCAACTGCCTATCATTACTACTCCAAAAAAATTCCAACCAGTTTTTCCTATTATATTTCTAAAATTACAAGGGTTCTTAAAATCCTGCCAGTGTGTTAACTTGTTTACAGTACCTTTGCGTATATACATTTCCCATTCTTTTCTGAATTTCTTGTCGTCTTGGCTTCTGAGCTTTCCAGTTAATTTCGCCATTTTGGCATATTCCATCAACTTGATTTGCCGGGGACATACCATACATTTAAAACATACAGCTTCATTCAAAGAATCCTGAGAACTGTAGCCCTCAGTGCTACGCTTCTCAACACCCTTAACAAACTACACTTCCCAGGATTCTATGGGGCTAAGTCATGTGTTTTAAATGCATTGTGTGTAGGCAGCCAAATAATAACATGAAATCTGTTGGGAAAGGCAGTGGGTAAGATGCTTGCAGGCCTATCATCCTGTCATCATAGGTTTAGCATATATAGTTTGAACCTACAGTTCTGCTGCGAGGAATAATTTTCTTGTTTGGCTTGTTCTTTGTTTCTGTCCCACCACAGGATCAGGCGAGCCTTGCACACCAGGTGTTCGTGACTGAGGTCGAAAACTTCTGCCAGTCTTTGAAGGATCAGGCGCAGTTCCTGGTGCTCTACCTGGAAGAGCTGAAAAGCGCAATCTTAAAGAAGAAGGAGGAAGACGACAGCAAATATAGCAGGGATGTGACTCAGCTCGATGTCTTAACCAGTGCTGCAGAGAAGATGTGTGCTCAGCTAGGGGCTGAGCTCCTGAAAGGACCGTCCCAAGTCAGTGTCTTGATCAGTGAGGCAGAGAAGATACATCGTCACCGATGGGCTGAATTTTGCAAGGTGAGAACATTGTAAAAAAATGCAAGCTCCTGCAGTGAGGATTGCGAAGCCCAGGTTTCAGAAATCAACAGGGGATTTTGCACTGCTCATGCAGCGGCACGAGCAGTTTTCAAAGTGCAAATTGCAGACATGGTTCATTTGCAGTCGTAATCCCTGTCCTGTTGTGGGGAACTGAACCCTGTGCAGCACAATCCATTACAGCTCCTGATGGATTAAATCTGCTCACTGTGTGGCAACTGCAGTTCCTAGCTGCACCAATCTCTGTGCTACAATTCAACATGAGGCTGGCGGAATAATTCCTTAAAAACAGCGGCACCGGTGCACTTGTGGGGTGGAAATTCTCTCACATTACCATAGAGCCCTGCAAAAGGGTAAGACACACCACACCAAACTGGGATCCCGATGGATTTTAATGGGAGTTGACTTTTTACAACTTCGTAGATACCCCTTTTTTTCATATCCGTAGAAACTTAACTACTCGTTTTCTCTCTTTCTCCTTCTTCTAGGAAGATGAAACGTTCACCAACTGGTATGTATCTTATATGTATTATTTTTATTGGTTTTCCAAATTATTACAAACCAGTCCAAATTATTTAAATTTAATACAAAATGTTTTCCCACTCCTGTTGCAAACATATGTTCATTACTTCCTGATGTAGCCACTTCATTCTTGTTTAAACACCTCTTCATCCTTCTCTTGATGTTAGTCCATTCTCACAGCCGACTTTGCTAGTTTCCTCACATTCAGCACCTCTGTTACTTTTCATAAATATAAAATCCATTTCATGTTTGTGGTCCTGCATAAACGTTGTTCCCAGACCTGGTGTGTTGAGATAGTTAATTCCCATCCTCCTTTGTTCGGTCACATTCCATTCCTTGGAAATCATTCCTTCCTCTGTTCACCAACAGGCTGCGGCTATAAATAACTCTCCATCATGATGACCAATCTCTGCCATTAAAATTTCACTCTGAAGTTCTTCCTCAGCAAGCAGTTAAAAAACCCAGCCTTTTCACAAACGCAGGCTCTTGCCAGATTTAGTTAGCAGCCATTCATCTTCTTTTAATTGCTCCCTTAAACTCCTGTTCCAGTCCAAAGATAATTTAAATAAAGTCCATTCAACCTTGGTCGAGGGGGGAGGACATAATAAAACGTTAAATCCTTTGCTGAGCATAATAATAATAATAATTTTTATTTATATCCTGCCCTTCCCAGCCGAAGCCAGGCTCAGAGTGGCTAACAACAGTAAAATGATAAAACATTCTAAAATCATTTCATTATAAAATAATTCCAATCAGATTAATGGCAACCATTGGGCTAGAGTTCTGTGAGGATTGCCAAAGGAGGGAGTCAGGCTGTGCCCTGGCCAAAGGCCTGGTGGAACAGCTCTGTCTTGCAGGCCCTGCAGAAAGATGTCAAGTCCCGCAGGCCCTAGTCTCTTGTGACAGAGCGTTCCACCAGATCGGAGCCACAGCCGAAAAAGCCCTGGTTCTGGTTGAGGCCAGCCTAACCTCTCTGTGGCCTGGGACCTTCAAGATGTTTTTGTTTGAAGACCGTAAGTTCCTCTGTGGGACATAACAGGAGAGGCGGTCCCGTAGGTACAAAGGTCCTAGGCCGTATAGGGCTTTGAAGGTTAAAACCAGCATCTTAAATCTGATCCTGTACTCCACCGGGAGCCAGTGCAGCTGGTATAGCACCGGGTGAATGTGATCTCGCAGCGAGGACCCCGTAAGGAGTCTCGCCGCAGCATTCTGCACCCGCTGGAGTTTCTGGGTCAGTCTCAAGGGCAGCCCCACGTAGAGCGAGTTACAATAATCCAGTCTGGAGGTGACCGTCATGTGGATCACAGTGGCTAGGTCAGGGCGAGAGAGGTAAGGAGCCAACTGCTTAGCTTGGCGGAGATGAAAAAATGCTGTCTTTGTTATAGCTGCAATCTGCGCCTCCATGGAAAGGGAGGTGTCGAAGATTACACCCAAACTCTTTACGGATGGTGCTGGCACTAATTGCGCACCCGCAAGAGATGGGAGTTGCCCCCCCAATCCCATATCGTCCCGACCCAGCCAAAGGACCTCTGTCTTCAAAGGATTTAACTTCAACCGGCTCCCACGTAACCATCCAGCCACAGCTTCCAAACATCTGATAAATCAAATGCCTCCTCTTGTGGGAGTCATAAAGCCACGGTAAAGGCTTGTAATATTGCAGGGTGCCCCCTGACCTCGGCTGACCAGCACTCTGAGCTTTACAATGTATTGGAATGTGTTGACCTTAAAGGGAGTTGTGTTTCCTCTGGGCAGTGATGACCCTATATGGTGATGGGGGCAATAAAAGCCTTGACCGGATGAGGTAACGTGAGACATTGGCAAACGGCCATGCGGCTGGAGAGAGACAAAGGATAATAAAGAAGCTGCAGGAGGAGAGGGAAGTTCGAAAGGAGCTGCTCATACCATCCTGAAAATATTGCTGGCTCTCTGTGTCTTTATTTTATGCTAAACTGCGCCATTTGTAACGGCTGGCTCCGACATCCTCTTATCTTTTCCTCGGTGTCAGACAAAATAACATAGCTATGACTACACACGGCTCATTCATTTTGCAGGGGAGGTCAAGAATCAACTGGTATGTATCTCATCCTTTTGCCTCCTCCCTCCACCTTCCACATGTAGAATTTTTTACATCTCTCTCCAGAGGAACTTCTGCACTAATCATGGCCTCCTTCCTTTTGATCTGTCCGTTATCACCATCTTAACATAAGTGTGGTGGGAGATACACTTGGGCTGTTTTCCTGATGGTTCAATACCTTCAGTGACACGTGTGTGTGTGTGTAATTTTGTGTTCCTCAAAAGTTCGTTTTTGCAGAAGCAAATCAACAGAAGACAAATGAACAGCATGCTATTGTTTCCCCCTCTCCAGGTTTGGTGAAGAACATTATAAGGAAAACAGTTCCAGGGATCTGGAAAACAAATGCTACGAAATCACTGAGCTAAATAAAACTTTGAAGAAGACGTTTCAGAAATTCAAAGGTATCAGTAAGCAGGAGAGAAGTGGATGCGTCACTTCCTGTGATAGAGTGGAACAAGGCTATCGGCTTCAATCCTGGCTCACAGTCCTGGGGCGCCTTTGGGCATGATGCCCTTGGTGGACCCCTACTCTTGAGAAGGCCCCTTCCTCCTCACAGCTCTCTTCAGTGCCCATTCACTTGCAGCAGAGCAGAATTTAAATTGCGATACGGCACACTAAATTACAACCACAAACATGCAATTAAAAATCAGTTGGAATATTTGGTGTGATGGTTGTGCAGTCCCTCATCTTCAGTCACAAATCCTCAGACAAGCTACAGAAAACATCACTGAAGTTCATCCACAAAAGGGTTTAGGGACCCCTATTCTAATGCTTTCTGTTATCCTCCCTGCCCTTTCTAGATCAGATGGCAACTGAGCTGTGGAAAGCCAGAAACGAAGTCCTGAAGAAATATGAACAAGGTGAGTTCACAGGGGGATACCTGAGAGTCAGACTGGACTTGGTGTGGCAGATACATGAACAGGATCCCTTGTGATGGCAGTTGTACACCATGGCCCTTATTGGGATGCTGTTACGATTACTATGGATGGAGCCCAGAAATGGTCACGGTACTCAAAGGATGTGGGCAACCTTTCCCCTCCAGATGCCGCTGAACCCAGTATCCCTTGCAATCATGGCTAAAGGTGAAGGAAATTTTTCTTCCTCTTATGTATTTATTTATATTCTGCCTTTTCCCCTGACAGCCTCAAGTGTCAGGGACGTGGCTGAATCGGAGGGGGAAGAGTCGGACTTGGGAGATGAAAGATTGCTTGTACAAGGAGAGACCGAGTCTGACTCTGGAGATGAAAGATGGCAGACAGAGCAGGAGGAAGTGGGCTCGACTCTCCCCCTTCACCAATAGTTCTCTGACTCAGCTAGAGCAGACATGGACAGCTCACAAGAAGGGGGAGAAATAGATGGCAGCAGGGAAGTTGCTAGGCAACCAGCAGAGAGCCAGCGGTCAGAGCTCCTCCTTTGAGAGAGGGGTGTGGGAATTCCCCCCTCCTCCTCCTCATTCCAGGAGAGCTGTAAAGGTCAGAATGCAATGGAAGTGCAACAGGGGAAAGGCTGGACGTTGGCATATTTTCTGTTGTGACCAAGGCGGAGTTTCAGAATGAGTAACTCCTTTCAAGAGTGGCAGGCTGGGAGCCACTCTCTGAGTGTAACTTGTAAATGAACGCACCATAAAACTGCCAGGGAGTCATTAATTCTTATCGAGGCTTGCTTGCCTGCCTGAGATTGTTACATCAAGGCAGCTTACTGATAAAAATAAGAAACACTAAAAACATAGGAAAACCAATAATTGTTGTTGTTGTTTAGTCGTTTAGTCGTGTCCGACTCTTCGTGACCCCATGGACCAGAGCACGCCAGGCACTTCTGTCTTCAAAAACCAATAATTAAAAAACAACTTAACATTGATAGTATTTTATCTCCATTTATCATCTATTATACATCATACAAATAATTACAATAAAAACAGTACATTTTTATTACAATTTTGAAAAAGTAAACGGCATAGGATATTTTTTATTATATCAAGTAGTATATTTTTAAAATAAATACAGTAATTCTTTTTTCAGCAGAGCAGCTTAGCCATCCTATAACCTCCCCTTCCTCTTGCAGAAAGTGTGTACTTGGATCGTGACACAGCGCACACCTCGCTGGTCCTTTCTGAGGACCAGGGAAGCGCCTGGGAGTCGCACGAGTCGCCTGAGGAGATGCCTTATCACCCTGAGAGATTTGAGAACCGTCAGTGTGTGCTGGGCTTAAACGGATACACCTCGGGGAGAGTCTACTGGGAAGTTGATGTGGGAAAGGCGAAAGAATGGGGTGCTGGGGTGGCCAGAAAATCTGTGGAGAGGAAGGGCCCTCTGGACTTTAACCCTGATGCCGGAATCTGGGGAGTAGGCCTAGACAGAGTTGGGTTAAACAAGGGATACTGGGCTTTCACCCTTCAAGGTCCTATTCCCTTGACCGTGCCAAAACCCCTCAAGAAGATCCAGGTGTATCTAGATTACGACAAAGGGGAGGTGTCATTTTGCAATGCCACCGATGCTGAAACCTTAATCTTTACCTTCCCTCCGGCCGCATTCAACGGAAAACAAATCTATCCCTGGTTTTGGGTTGGGAAGGGGGCTATCAAAATATGCCAGTTAGAACCAGAAGATATCGAGCTCAAACTGGTAGAGGCTGGGCTTATTAAACCTTGGGATTACAGTGGTATCTCTGGTTTTTGATAAAAGATACAGTGGTACCTCGGGTTAAGTACTTAATTCGTTCCAGAGGTCCATTCTTAACCTGAAACCGTTCTTAACCTGAAGCACCACTTTAGCTAATGGGGCCTCCCGCTGCCGCTGCATGATTTCTGTTCTCAACCTGAAGCAAAGTTCTTAACCCGAGGTACTATTTCTGGGTTAGCAGATTCTGTAACCTGAAGCGTATGTAACCTGAGGTACCACTGTACTATGATTTCTGAGGAATCTCCTCTTTGTAGGCATTCCCTGGATTTGCAATTCCTAAGCACTCTTACTTCCTATTGCAATACATTCCCCTTTGTAAATTGGGGTCTGTGGCCAGCTCCCTCCTTGCTTCCTCTACTTAAATCACTTGGGTGGGAACGGCCTCAGGGCATCTTCCTGTATGGAAATCTTAAGTACCGTCAGGTGGTTAAGCATGTGACCCTGTTTCTTTTTAGGGAAAGGCGCACAAACGATTGCAGCAGTTGTATGTATGGGGCTGTAGCCAACCTAGTGACGCACTGGGATTTCTCCTTGCATGATGGAATATTCTCTCCCTCTGCTCCCCTGCTCCCCCCAACCTATTTTTGAGGTCCTTCCAACGCTCTATGGCAGTTTGGGGGAGAGGGGAAGTCTCATTGTGCAAGTAGAAATCCTGGTGCTGGCGGGACGCATTAGTTGAACACTTCCCTCAGCTTCCATGCCTATCGATGCAATGCTGAGTGTGGAATTAATCAGGACATATTTTCGGTGTATGCATTGTTTTTTTTGGGGGGGTGGAGTGGTGTGGATTGCAACGTGCATTGCTTTGTTGGGATGTCTCTATCAATACTGTTGGCAACCTGGTACCATCCAGATGTTTTAGACTCCAACTCTCATCGGCCTCAGGCAGCATGGCCATATGGAGTTTAGAACATCTGGAGGGCGTCAGGTTGGCAATGGCACATGCGCATGCACACACACAAACACACACACACTCCATTGGTGGCACAGCAGTTTGGCACTGAAGTGGAGGGAAGGCACCAACATCAAAATAAATAAATTCAGCCCCACACGAATCTCCCTTGAGGCACTGTCAAAGAACACAATACTCTCTGGTTTTCTATGTGCTGTGTTCTATGCAAAACCCCTTTGTGACAGAGCATGCAAAAATACTGTGTTGCTTTGTTTTGCAGCGCCCCTGACAAAATTAGAAAACAAAGTGCATTGGGCTGACTAAGCAGTGGAGGTTCTCTGTTCTATTTCCCACTTTTGGTGTTAATGTAACTTTCTCACTGTGCCAGCTGAACATACATTTAAACTGCCTGTTATCACTGATTGTAATTTTCACACCTCATTGCCATCCAGCTCCCACCTAATCATTTTCTCATATATACTTGCCAACTATGATTTCCTTGTCTGCATCTAACAAAGTAGGCTGTAGTCCACAAAAGCTTATGCCATAATAAATTTGTTATTTAGGGTGCCATAATACTCTTTTTGTTGCCTTTTCTTAGGTTGTTCTTTTTACATATTGTACCCAGGGATTTGCATAGTTCTTTTTTTTAAACTGATGTTGTTGGTACCTTTTTTGCTGTTCGGAAAGTTCCTGTATCTATTTGGCTGTTTCTTCATGCTCTTTGGCTGTATTCTAATAAAAGTGAGATGCTCACACTGAAAGTTTTGTGTGTGTTTAACTTGGTTTCACTCCCCACTCCAATGAAAATCCAGTGTCCTGCCACTAAAATAAACCATAGAAATGAAGCAAATATAGTTAAGATAAAACTTATAAAACTCCTAAAAGGCAGGTCCTGCTTTCAGACTCTTAGAAAAATCAGTAGGGCCTCGAATTTTGATTAACACAAATGAGCTTTGCTCTGATCAACTGTTAAAATGTGTAGGTACCAAAGGTTGGGGGATGAAGGTGCTGTTTGCTTGGTTCATATCCTGTTCTAACCACATGAGCAATCACCACAGATGCTAAGATAGCCGCTAAACAAGCTGATTTTAAAAGGATTTTATAGCCGGTTTTAGTAACTTGTTGAAATCCTCTTGCAATTTTCCAGTATATTTGATAAAGTGATTTGCAAGCTTGTTATGTGTCAGCTACTGTATAAATATTGTATAATGTTCAGAGCACCAGTGGCAAGGCGACTCCCCTGAGAAGCATATCAGAAAATAAAGGATAATGGAATCAGAGAATGGTAGAGTTAGAAGGGACCCCAAACTCTCTGCAATAAACCATCCGTGACTGATGGTCACTTAAAGGTAAAGGTAAAGGGACCCCTGACCATTAGGTCCAGTCGTGACCGACTCTGGGGTTGTGGCGCTCATCTCGCTTTATTGGCCGAGGGAGCCAGCGTACAGCTTCTGGGTAATGTGGCCAGCATGACTAAGCCGCCTCTGGCGAACCAGAGCAGCGCACGGAAACGCCATTTACCTTCCCGCCAGAGCGGTACCTATTTATCTACTTGCACTTTGACGTGCTTTCGAACTGCTAGGTTGGCAGGAGCAGGGACCGAGCAACGGGAGCTCACCCCGTCGCGGGGATTCAAACCACCGACCTTCTGATCGGCAAGCCCTAGGCTCTGTGGTTTAACCCACAGCACCACCCGCGTCCCTGATGGTCACTTAACTTCTGCTTAAAAAACTTCTAGTGAAGGAGAGTCCACAACCTCCCAAGGGAATCCGTTCCACCATCGAACAGCTCTTGCTGTCAGAAAGCTCTACTACCTGATATTTAGTCCGAATGGATTTACAAACCTTAAATTGTTTTAGAATTAAAGTGGTATAAGTGAATGAGGCTAGATCAGGGTAGATGTTTGCATACAGGATCTGAAGCCAGAACCTAATTTCTCAGCTGTTGGGAACAGATAAGCACACCGCTGGTGAGGTCACGCCGTCCACCCTTGGGTGGAGCAAAATCACCCAGCTTCCCATGCACACAACCCCACCAGGCGAACTTCTGGGACGCTGGAACTAGATTGCTTCGGTTTGGTCTAGTTCCACTCGGCATCCGAAGTGATAAACATCACATGACCCATCCATGTTTCTGTTATCTTGGACTGAAAGGGTCTATGCCCCGTGGTAAGAACCCGAACACTACGAAGGAAGGCTTTTCAAATACCTCCCAAGACGAGGCAACTCGGACCTCCTGCCACTGAACATCTGCCTCCTCTCTTAGGTCTGATTATCCCAACAGTTTTGACAGTGAGAGCCTGGTGAGACAACCTTATATTTGTTTATGTTTTGCTTAGACTGGTACCTTTAGGAATATAGGAAGCGTAGTGCTGATAAGGGTGGTGCTGTGGGTTAAACCACAGAGGCTAGGACTTGCCGATCAGAAGGTTGGCAGTTTGAATCCCCACGACGGGGTGAGCTCCCGTTGCTCGGTCCCTGCTCCTGCCCACCTAGCAGTTCACAAGCACGTCAAAGTGCAAGTAGATAAATCGGTACCACTCCAGCGGGAAGGTAAACGGCGTTTCCGTGCACTGCTCTGGTTCACCAGAAGCGGCTTAGTCATGCTGGCCACATGACCCGGAAGCTGTACGCTGGCTCCCTTGGCCAGTAAAGCGAGATGAGCGTCGCAACCCCAGAGTCAGCCATGACTGGACCTAATGGTCAGGGGTCCCTTTACCTTTACCTAGTGCTGATAATGCCAAGGTTGCAGGTTTGATCCCCGTATGGGACAGCTGCAAATTCCTGCACTGCAGAGGGGTTGGACTAGATGATCCTCAGGGTTCCTTCAAACTCTGCAATTCTATGATTCTATGATCTAGCCCAGAATTTCCAACACTGACTGGCAGCAGGTCCCCAGGGTCTCTGCCCATCTTCTGTTGTCTGATACTTCTTAGCATTGACGGAAAACACGTTACTCATGTGTGCAGTGTAGTGTGTAAATGCTTTTTGTTTGTTTTTTTGTTTTGCAAATTTTTAAATTTAGTTTTACATGATGATTATACCCAACAAACAACAATTCCAAAGGAAAACGAAATAAAAAAACAAAAGCTTCTCTCAAAACTTCGGACATCCCTCCCTCAGTTCCATTTCTAAATTTTATTCCTGCATCTCTTACTGTACTATATCTATTATATATCCATAGTGTCCAAAGTTCATGTTACTTTACAAGTGTTATTGTACCTCGGGTTACAGCCGCTTCAGGTTGCGTTTTTTCGGGTTGCGGACTGCCAACACCAGGAAGTACCAGAACGGGCTACATCCAGGTTTTTGTGGTCGCGCATGTGCAGAAGTGCTAAATTGCGCTTTGCACATGCGCAGAAGCACCGAATTGCAACCTGCGCATGCGCAGACGTGGGTTGTGAACGCTGCGGGTTGCGAACGTGCATCCCGCACGGATCACGTTCACAACCCGAGCGCCCACTGTATTCCTGTTTACATTGGTCTCTAAGATATGTTATAAAATTATTCCAGTCCTTAATAAAAATTTGGTCTTCCTGTTTTTTGATCGTCCCTGTCATTTTGCCATTTCCGCATAGTTCATCAACTTGGTCTGCCATTCTTCTCTGGTCGGGACTTTGTCTTCTTTCCATCTCTGGGCTAAAAGTATCCTTGCTGCTGTCGTTGCGTGCATAAACAGTGTTTTCTTCTCTTTTGGTAATTCCCTACCTATAATTCCTAATAAAAAAAGCTGCTGGTTTTTTAACAAAAGTCATCTTAAACATTTTTTTCAGTTCATTATATATCATTTCCCAGAACGCTTTTACCACCCCACATGTCCACCACATATGATAAAAGGTAGCTTCTTTCTTTTTACATTTCCAACACGTATTTGAAGCACTTCTATACATTTTTGCTGATTTACTAGGTGTAACAGATACCAGCGGTACATCATTTTCATATAATTTTCTTTCAACGTATAGCAAGCTGTAAATTTTAAATCTTCTTTCAATAACTTTTCCCATGATAAAGACTGTACAGTGGTACCTCAGGTTACGAACACTTCAAGTTACATTTTTTGGGGTTATGAACGATTGTAACCCGGAAGTAAGTTTTCTGAGCTCTCAGAGGCCTCGCCGCTGCCTGGAGCCAAGCCCGGACATCCGTGGGGCCTATGGAGCTCTTGGAGGCCTCTGCGAATGCCGGGAGCCAAGCCCCAACATCAATCCACTGTCCATTACAGTGGCACCTTGGGTTACATACGCTTCAGGTTACAGACTCCGCTAACCCAGAAATAGTACCTTAGGTTAAGAACTTTGCTTCAGGATCAGAACAGAAATCATGCGACGGCAGCGGGAGGCCCCATTACCTAAAGTGGTACCTCAGGTTAAGAACAGTTTCAGGTTAAGAACGGACCTCCGGAACGAATTAAGTTCTTAACCTGAGGTAACACTGTACTTTCAATGGGAAAGTCCGCTTCAGGTTAAGAATGGACTTCTGGAACCAATTAAGTACTTAACCTGAGGTACCACTGTATATAAATACTTTTTGAGTCCACGTTCCTTTGAGGCCATTTGGTCTATCCCTATATTTGGGCTTTGAAAAATAACTTTCAAGGGTGCAAGTTCCTGGGTGCTTCGAAACACAAGTTTACTGCAGAGTCAGTGCTGCTCATGGCTGAAACCCTTTTGCACCGTCCACATGACATCACCATCAAAATGCCAGAGCGTACTTGGAATCTTAGAGTTGGAAGGGACCCCAAGGGTCATCTAGTCCAACCCCCTGCAATGCAGGAATCTCAACTAAAGCATCAATGACAGATGGCCATGCAAGCTCTGCTTTAAGAAGGAGAACCCACAACCCCCGGACAGATACTGTTGAACAGCTCTTACAGTCAGAAATTTCTTCATCCTTTAAACTGGATTCCCCTGACACACCCATCCTTTGGTACATACACATTTTAGCTGTTGCCCAGTTAAACTAGGACATGCTTCGGGAAGCTTTTGCCCAGTTAAACTAGGACATGTTTCGGGAAGCTTTTAATGTTTGATGTATTATAGTATTTTAATATTCTTTTGGAAGCCACCCAGAGTGGCCGGGGAAGCCCAGCCAGATGGGCGGGGTATAAATAATAAATTATTATTATTATTATTATTATGCGTGGAATACACGTTTTTCAACTTATTTTCCAACCTGTCAATCATGATGCTTTGTGAATTACTGACTCTGCCATTCATATTCAGGCGCCTTTATTACGCACGGCTACTCGGACCTGTCTCCTCTCCCAAGCTGCTCCATGGGCTTGTACTTGCACAATTCTCCTCTATTGCTATATTAAAAAAACCACAAAACCCTTTTCCTTGGGCATTGAGACACAGAGCCTGATCACCGACAGCTCTTGGGGAGGAGACATAGCTGTCAATTTACAGATTTGAAAATAAGAGACCAGCAGCCTCAAAAATAAGGGATCAGCAGCCAAAATAGGGGATTTGGGCTTAGTTTATACAGAAATCCAGCACTGATGGAGCCATGCTGCTTTGGCTGCCACTGACTCTGTTTTGCAGGGGGTTGGACTACATGATCCTAAGGGTCTACAACTCCCACCAAAGAAGAGGGGCAGACAAAACTGATGAACGACGTCGAGATGGCAAAGCTTATAGGCAGAATTAGAAACCAGGAAGAGGACCTCTTTAATAAAGAATGGGGAAAGTTTATAATTTATTCGAAAAGCTATTGTAAAGAGTTACATACATTGGTAGGATTGACAGAAAACTTGCAGTAAAAATTTGAACTACGCATGGACAAATGATTTATAAAAATAGAGTTATGAAAGGGATGCAGAGGGGGAAATCACTACATTAAGATGCTGCACTGGTTGGAGGGGATGCTAAGCAGAACGTCGGGGCTGCCATCGTCCTGGCGCGAGGAGTTCCATCGGCCCTTCCCCGCCCGAGAGAGAGAGACTCACGACACCTGTAAGCCCAGCATGAGGCGGTTGCGGCGCCGCGGCGGTCACTAAAGCGCCACCCTTCTGCGTCCCTCCCCAGCCCCTCCTCTCCCTCCTCCCTCAGGCTGCCTCCTCAGCCGCCGCCGCCGCCGCTGCCTCTGGCTTCCCCTGGCAGCGCGGTGGAAATCTTGCAAGAGAGGGGCTGCCTGCCCGCCTGCCGCCACCCGTCTCCTCACGACGCGCCCCTGAGGGGGAAAAGAGAGAGACAGAGATGCGGCAGCTCGTGCGCGCACGCTCTCTCACTCTCTCGAGGCGGAGGACCCCGAGCCGCTGCTTCCCTCCCGAGCCGGGCGAGCATGAAACCTGGGAAATTTAAGGGACATCATCAATAAGGGACAGCAGCGGGAAACGGCACTGGGATAAGGGAGTTTCCCGCCAAATAAGTAACGGTTGGCAGCTATGGGAAGAGACCCTGTTTACCAAGGATCTCTTGTCTACGTGACCGCAGTAGCCCGACCATCGGTCAGGCATTGCTTTCTGGTTTTACTTGAAGTTCAACTTTGTGTTTTTTTCACTTGCAAATACGAAGCGAGAGCCCTAAAATGAAATGTTTCCGGTTTGGCAGATGCCTCCTGGCCTTTTGCTGACTCCTGCAGGGGGCGCTGTTGCGCAGGTTGAAACGCTGAGTTGCCCATTTCCGAAAGTCCTTTTATTTTTTTTACATGCAAAAAAGGAGCTTAGTAGAATCAGAATCAGAAGAATCTTTATTTGCATCAACCACTAGCCATAGCAATGAAATGAAAGGTACTGAAGATAGAGGTAAAAACCTAACTATAGAAAATACATTTTGGGGGTTTACATCAATAATCAAATACTGTAACAGATCTTATTTTAATTGCCCCTGCTTAGTAGTGATCATCTATGACGAACCCCTATTTTCTTGCGACAGACCCATGATTCCTAGGCATGCGACAAGCGGAAGCATGGATGAGCAAGTTGTGCTCTGCGCCAATTCTTCCTGCCCCAGGGATCTTGACCGAGAAGGCGGATTCCTGGGCTAAGGGCTAGGAAGCTTCCTCTGTTGCAGCAATGGTGAGCTGTTTGTTTTCGGTTTCTTCCCTGCACAGAAGTCTCCCCCTCCCTCTAAAAAAGGGAGCATGTCACCAGTTTGCACCCTTCTGTTGCTCACACCCCGCTGGGACTGAGCGCACCTCAAAAGCAGGGCACACCCAACTCTCGCCATCACCCTCTTGGCAGGGGTGAAGGGTGCCCTCTTTTGAAAACATGGATGAAGAAGAAGAAGCAGCGAAATTGTGCCCAGGCTGGGGGCGAGGAGCAGGCTAGAAGAAGCAAAGATCACCAGTGCCGAAGCAATGATTCTTCAACATCAACTTCGTTGGACTTGTCATGTTGTGTGGATGCCTGATGATCGTCTTCCAAAGCAACTACTCTATTCCAAACTTAAAAATCGAAAACATAATGCTGGTGGCCAACAAAAGAGATTTAAAGACTCTCTCAAGGCAAATCTAAAAAAATGTAGTATAAACACTGACACCTGGGAAACACTGGCCTGCGAGCGCTCCAGTTGGAGAACAGCCTTTACCAAAGGTGTCATGGGCTTTGAAGACACTTGAACTCAGGACGCAAGGGAGAAACTTGCTAGGAGGAAGGCACGCTTGGCAAATCCACATCGTGATCAATTCCCACCTGGAAACCTATGTCCCCACTGTGGAAGGATGTGTGGATCCAGAATTGGCCTCCACAGTCACTTACGGACTCATTGTTAAAACCATGTTTATGGAAGACAATCTTACTCGGCTACGAGTGATCGCCAAAGAAGAAGAAGGCAGGCAGGCAGGGTGGATAATGTTTGTGTGTGGGGGGATTTTAATTATTTCATTTCTATAACGATTGATAGTTTTAAAAAAAATCCTCATAGTGATTACTTCTCAGAGAATAACAATACATACCTCAGGATATTTAAAGAGAGAGAGAGAGAGAGAGAGAGAGAGAGAGAGAGAGAGAGGTCTTTCACAAGATCTCTTCACTCCTTGGCAACTATAAAAAATCTTGTGCAAAACTTCAGTTTTTAAAATATTTGTTAAAAATGGAAATTAATATTTCTCCCTTTTTTTAACAACAACAAAAGCTAAAGCCTCATTTTGCCCATTGAGAAATAAGGCATGCTTACAGGGACTCTGTTGTAATTTATCACCATGCCAGAAAAATAATTTGCCTGCTTACCTTCTTTCCTGGGAGTACATGAGCCAGGGCATGAAAAAAAAAGAAAAAAGAGGTTGCATCCCATATTGCCTCAGGAATTTTTGTGGTAAACAGAAGCTGTTGGAAATAATGAGAGCTCATATTTTAAAGTAAGTGTAGATAATAATCAAGCTGTGATCTGCGAGCCTGTGTTGTGTGAGATAAGCCAACCCTGTTAGCAGTGGTCTTTCTAGAACCTTCCACACTAACCCAGTGCTGACTAAACCAGCCTTTCTCTATCTTGAGTCCTCGGATATTGTTGAACTACAACGCCCATCACCCCTGACCGCTGTTCACACCAGCTAGGGATGATGGAAGTTGTAGTCTAACAACATCTGGAGACCCAAGTTTGGGAAAGCCTGGACTAACTTGACAGCAGTCTTTCCATCAGGCCAAAGCAAGGCTCCTCTCTTGGCTGTTCTGAGAGAGTGGCTCCATTTAGTTCCTCCTCTTGCCGAATTCTCCATCCCATCATTATTAAGAATGTGATTACTTGTAAGAACCGGTGCCAGAGCTTGCTTACTTTCCTCTTCCCTCCCTGCTTCTTTTTCCTTTTGTGCTGCAGCTTTTCAACTGGCCCTCTTATGCTAGCTGCTCTTGGAACCTCTTCGACCAGTGAGCAGGGCGAAAACACCTTTAAATAAACACATAACCTTTAACTGCAGTGGTTAGATTCTTCCTCTGAAGCCCCCAAGTTTTAATGTATGAAACCGTTGTAAGTCTTGCCTTTATTAGTTCATAACTGTTGCAACAGTGGCCATGAATAAAACTGGCTACAGCTCGTGGCTGGTGAGGAGAGATTAACCATGATCCCATCTTTGGTCAACACATTAAGCCGAGCTCAGCACAGTGCAGGAGTAAAATAGACCAGGGAAGTACAAGCTATAGGCCTGTTATGTTTGTGTAGTGCCAATAAGCTACAGTTTAGTTTACCGTGACATACGAGCCAGGTCACTGAGCGAATACTGGCAGCAGCAAAATGATTTTGTGGACCTTCGAAATCCAGAGTGTGTGTGTCAAATACCAGCAAACAACTTTGGATAGTTCTGCAAATCGGCCAAATTCTGCAAGAAACTTAAGCTCTCTTCTGCAAGGGAGATTATTCTGCAATTCAGCATTCCCTCTTCTTCGGCAGAGGGAATTACGCTTGCAGCTTCATGAAACGCAAGGCATAAGCGCTCGAATGCCAAATATCTGTCACAGTCTGGAGGCCCCAACTGCCCAGAAGGGAACTGGAACACGCATACCTGCCAAAAGACCCAAGTCCTCGTTTGACCCAGGAACCAGAATGGCGGTGAATAAAAATGCATTCCGGTTTTCATACTACCGTTATTTCGAGGAGCCCTCTTGCGTACTGACTCAGGGGATTCAGGTTTGTAATTTCAGAACCTTTGGAGCTGGCGGACATGACCTGTTTACTGCCCAGGGTTTGAAATGGTTCCCTTAAAATGTTCCCTCCTTCCACATGGGTCACTGTGGGTCGCACTTGCGCCTGTCGCTCCAAAAAACCCCTCGGCCTCCTTCGTGTTGACATCCCTCTGTTATTTAATGTCTGCTGGCCTTGGCAAAACCAAGCTGGGCCCGATTTAGCCTGCTCAGCTAGGCAGGATGACCCATCTTACGCCCCAAGCTCCCTCCCAGGTCCAGTGCCAAGCTGAGCTCCCCTTTCAGTTAGTTGCAGGTTTCCTTGGGAGCTGTCAGAACTGACCAAATCTCCTTGCCCCTGAGAAAGAGCCAAGAGAAGGCCTGAGGTTAGGGTGGAAAACTAGGATTCAGCCAGGAGCTCAACTTTCCCCCCCTAAACTGGTTTGAGAGGAACTCGAGGCGGTGACATTCCAGGTACGTCACCAAGAATTTGTAAAGGCTTGGTGTGTGAAGGACAGCTAAAAGTAACAGTGGAGCGGTCTCCCTTAGGAGGTTGTGGGTTCTCCTTCCTTGGAGGTTTTTAAGCAGAGGTTGGATGACCGTCTGTGAGGGATGCTTTAGCTGAGATTCCTGCATTGCAGGGGGTTGGACTAGTATAGTCTAACTGGGTCATTTCTGCTCTCTATGTGAGTATCTGTGATGGGGACGCTTTGGGGTGTTTATGTAAATGGGTTGGGACTTAAGAACCCAGCCTGCCGTATACCAGGCCAGAGATTTCTCCATCTAGCCTAGTGTTGTGGGTCTCTAGTAGAAATCTTTCACTTCACTTGCTCTCAGATCCCTTTTAACGTAAGGCAAAGATTGAATTTGCAAAGCAAGTGATCTACCCCAGAGCTGTGGTTCCCACACCTGAAAACTGCAGGTTCTCTCCCCTGAACTCCTCTTCCACCAAAGCTTGAACTGACCAGTTTCTGTTCCTACTGCTCACCCTCGACTGAAAAGGCTCTTGACGCAGGAGCAGCCAGAGTGGTACCTTCCAGATTCCTTGTCCATTGGCCATTCTGGCTGCGGCTAATGCAAGCTGGACGCGGCAGGCGCTGTGGTCTAAACCACCGAGCCTCTTGGGCTTGCCGATCAGAAAGTCGGTGGTTCGAATCTGCATTATTGAGTGAGGTCCCGTTGCTCTGTCCCAGCTTCTGCCAACCTAGCAGTTCGAAAGCACACCAGTGCAGGTAGATTAATAGGTACCACTGTGGCGGGAAGGTAAATGGCATTTCCGGGTGCTCTGGTTTCCGTCACGGTGTTCTGTTGTGCCAGAAGTTTAGGCATGCTGGCCACATGATCCGGAAAGCTGCCTGTGAACAAACGCCGGCTCCCTCAGCCTGAAAGCGAGATGAGCGCCACAACCCCATAGTTGCCTTTGACTGGACTTAACTGTCCAGGGGCCCTTGACCTTAATGCAAGCTGTAGTCCAAAAACATCTTGGCTACTCATGCTGCAACACAACCAGTTTACAGTTATGCTCCTTACTAGACATGTAAGAATTTTCTTCTTCTCTTCTTTCTAGCCAGAGTGATGGATGCGCACTCTCTGATATGTCCCAGTGGGGAAAGGGTTTGTTCGATCTGCTTGAAGCCTTGCCAAGGCCCAGCCATGCAACCCTGCGGGCACAGCTTTTGCCAGTCGTGCTCCAACCGATCCTGGGTGGATGAACTAAAGGAGAAAGTCACCTGCCCCGGGTGCAGGGAAACCTTTCTGAGAAATAAGGCAGGCACTCTTGGGAAAACGGAAGAGGCCACCCGGCTGACCACAGTGGATGAAACAAAACAGTCAGCTCAGAGTATCTGTGAGATACACAAGGAAATATTAAATCTTTTCTGTGTTGAGGATCAAGCCCCACTCTGTTCAGTCTGCAGAAAATCCTGGGATCATTCATCACACACTGTGATTCCCAGATGGGAGGACAGTTTTCCAAGATCAAAGCCTTCCGATTCTGGCATTATAGGATACTCAAACACAGCAACTTGCATCAAGGGAAACGGTAAAGAAATGTAGCATTTTGTGATGATAAGTGCATGGCTTGTGATATCCTGAAGCAAACGTTATGGGAATTATTAGATAAATGTCTGGAAGTAAAACCACAGGTTTATCCTCACGCCGTTTAATGGTTCCATGTCCTGTCAAGGGGAGGGAGATATACCAGGGCAGCTTTGCAGAACTGGTATCTTTTGAGGTGGAGGTGGGGATTCAACTCTGCATGCATAGCTCTTCAAAGGCTTGCAGCACAAAAATGGGAAAAATAAGTCGACAGTGAAAGAATAGCTCACAAAAATCTGGAAGGTAGCAACAATGTACAGGCTTCCGGAATTGATTAGAGCAAGTGAAGGCAGACAAGAAAGAGAACATTTTAAAGATAAACGGAAACCATGCACAGGATTTAGAACAGGCATAGGGAAACTCGCCCCTCCAGATGTTTTGAGACTGCAATTCCCATCATCCCTGACCACTGGTCCTGTTAGCTAGGGATCATGGGAGTTGTAGTCCCAAAACATCTGGAGGGCCGAGTTTGCCTATGCCTGATTTAGAACATAAATATGCATGAATGTGGTAGTTTTTCCTATGTAGTAAAATGCTAAGTATAGTATAATTATGGTGGTGCTCTCCCCCCCAAAAAAAAATAAGAAAGAAAAATTGCACTAATCCAGGGATTCCCAAACTATGGCCCACGGACCACTGAGTTTAATTCAGGGGGTTTTGTGGCATGTCTGTGAAGAACAGTGGGGTACAGTAGCTCCATCGTTCTTAGGACCTGGCAGACAACCCAGAAGGTGAGCAGGACAGACCAGAAGCAACAGGGGAGAAGTCACTTAAAAGGGGTGGAGAGGATTAGCAGTGAAGCTGATGGGAGGCTAGAATTAAGATAATAATGATTATTATTATTATTATTATTATTATTATTATTATTATTATTTTATTATTTATTATTTATACCCGCCCATCTGGTTGGGCTTCCCCAGCCACTCTGGGTGGCTTCCCAAAAAATATTAAAATACTGTAATACATCAAACATGAAAAGCTTCTCTAAACAGGGCTGCCTTCAGATGTCTTCTAAAAGTCTGGTAGTTGTTGTTCTCTTTGACATCTGGTGGGAGGGCGTTCCACAGGGAGGGTGCCACTACACTATTAAGAAGCTTAATCTCGATGCAATTAAATAGTGAATCTAGTACCTAGCACAGTGCATTGCAATTGCTGCAACAGGTTGATGGGAGCCACTAAGACCCTCAGCAATTTTCAAGTGGCCGATGGGGGGAAACACTGGGAGCCATTGCACTAATCAACTTATTGGGGGTGGAGAGGGAGGAAAGGATACTGAATACATCCCCCTATGATTTCATGCCTTTTGAAAGTGAACTATACTTGTGTATCCCTGAGTGTTGGATCCAGTGGTATAGCATGGGTTGCCGGTGCCCGGGGCCGTGTAGAAGGGTGTGAGGAAGGGAAGCAGACAGAGTACGCATGCACATTCAACTGCCTAGCGGCAGGACCGCTGCTGCAGATATAAGAAAATAAGAGTAGTTCCAATGTCTGGAGAGGTCACTTCCTGGTTCGCATGGAGAAGCTGTTTTCAACAGAGCCCAGCGATGGAAGCAAGCAGCTGTACTGAGGCAGTACTGGGTGTTGAAATTTCGCACCCCTAATAATTTTGTGCCTGGGTCAACCGCCCCTGTGGCCTCCAATGCTACACCTCTGGTTGGATCAGAATAGGAAATCTTGCATGTGACATCTGTTTGGGCATGGAGTCCGATAGCCAGTTTAGGTTCCATGCACAGAAAAAACCTCCTTTCTGGCATATGGTCCCTAGCCGGATCAGTGTGAGCATTTTTTTGTTCCCCAACAGGCAGGGTGAGCAGATACAAAAGCAGTATTAGTTGCAAAGCACAGTCTCCAAGCTCTCTCAGTCACCACCAAAAGTTTAAACATTGCCCCGTACCTGATCTCACTGCTTACCAGTGAAACCTGGATACATAAGAAAATACGTATCCAGATAAAATGTTTCTGGATATGAATACCGTGGTACCTCGGGTTAAGAACTTAATTCATTCTGGAAGTCTGTTCTTAACCTGAAACTGTTCTTAACCTGAAGCACCACTTTAGCTAATGGGGCCTCCTGCTGCTGCTGTGCCGCCGGAGCACATTTTCTGTTCTCATCCTGAAGCAAAGTTCTTAACCCGAGGTAATATTTCTGGATTAGCGGAGTCTGTAACCTGAAGCGTATGTAACCCGAGGTACCACTGTACATATCTGGAGAAAATGTTTCCAACGGCTGTGGAAGATATGGTCAGAAATCATTGTTGGTTTGTGTTTACCCTTCAAAGGAGAGGTCCTTGGTGGGAATGAGAAGGACAGTGCAGATAAGCTCATGCTGATCGAGCCGCAGGTTGACTTCAACTTGGAGGAAAACAAGGAAGAAGGTAAAAAGGCTTTGCTAAGAACGTAAGAGCCACATATCTCAACAATGAGCAATCCTGATTTGCTTGCGGGATATTTACACATCTTCGTTCGTTCCACACTTTTCATTGCATTGTCCCATTGCTTTCCTAACAACAAAAACTCTGTGTTGTTGTTGTTGTTGTTTTGTATAATTCCCCCCACCCAAAAAAAGAGAGAAATCAGTGAAATAAGATTATTCTCCCTGGGCCTCTTAAGCAATATAATATTGTGATAGTTTTAACCATCAATCATGGCATTGAACAGCTTGATATTTTATTATTGACTCTGCTGCTATGGCAGTTGGATATGGGGCTCACAAGATTGTTTTAGCGCTTATTACGATTGGATTTATGTGGCATGGCTGTCTTATACTCTGCCTGGTGGTGGGGTTCCCGGGGTTTTGGTATTATATTGATTTTATTGTATTTTTAAAGTCGTATTGGTTTAGAATCTGTGTTTGTTGTTGCTTTAGTCATACATCACCTTGGGAGCATATACGGAGCAGAAATTCAGGCACGCAGCAAAAGCAAGCAAACAAACAAACAAACCCAAACCCCTAAATAAATAAGCAGAGTGTGTTCCCTTTCTTCACAGACACTCCATCAAACTCCAGGGTCCAAAATTCCATAACATGGATCCTCCTGATACTGTTCATCATCCAGATTGTGGGCTTGGTGACAACCATCTTCGTTTTCACAAGTGAGTAGGAATCAGCTGGGTACCGTCAAAAGACTGGTAGTCATAAATGATTATATTCGCTTGGTTCACTATAAGCTAGTTGGCTTGCTTTGATGTTACCCTTATCTGCGGGACTGGGGTGCTGGGCTCCGAAAAGCCCAGAAAAGGGGAGCTATCTGTAAGATTTGGGTATTTGCCACCTATGACCTCACCTGGGCAGATGTCAGAGACCAGGCTGAGGAGTCCTGCTCTGATGAGGAATGGTGGGAGCCTCCCCCTCTTCCTTTTCCTGACCAGGATCCTGAAGCTGCCCAGGAGCAGTGGAGCAGTATAGATTTGGAGCAGTGGTTTGCAGAGGGGCATAGTTCGGAAGACAACAGCTGGGCAGAACTGAGTGGGGAAGAGCTAGGAGGAGAAGAACAGGGAGAGAGAGAATTAACAGACTCCCTTTTGCTGGAAAGTGTCCCAGCACTCAGTCTAAGGTCAAGGAGAGCAGATAAGGTAGCTATGCAGAAGGCCAAATGGTTGCAAGATCAGGTTGCCAGATGAGGAAGTGATGGGGGTGGCTAAGAAGGAAGTGGGTGAAAACCTTAATTGGGGGCATCTTTCCTCCGAGAATGGAATCTTTGTTTTTCTCTATGAACATTAAACATCTCTTTAACTGGTAAGAGACTATTTTCGCTTTGTTCTGCTTATCCACGGCCAAAGGGAGGGAGGAAGCCATTTCCCCGAAGCCTGACAGCAGGTGAAATGAAGGGAAGCCCTGGCCAGAGTGACGTGTGCTGCTTTGTGTATACAGAATGTATGAATGTTTGCTTGGGTGCAGACATGCCATCTCCTTGCTGCGGTGCCCATCCTGCGTCTGTAAAGCAGGCTGATTTGCTGTAATTATGCACCTTTCTTTTCTTTTTTAAAAAATTATTTAATCATTTTTTCAATACAGACAGCAACCACAAAAACCACATACAACAAAAACCACAATAACACAATAACACAATTTAACAATTCAGATTTGAGTACTGATATACTATAACTACACCTTTTTAACAATATTTCCCCACCTCTCCTCCCCCTACTTCCCACCACTTTCCGCCTTATCTCTTAAATAATCCTTCCAGATTTCTTCATATTTATCCATTCTTAATTTGCGTCGATATGCAATTCATTCGTATGTAACTAGTCTGTCCATATTGTCGATCCATGTGCTCAATGGGATCTTTTTGCAGCTCTTCCCATTCATCAGAACAAGTTTTTTTGCTTCTAATATAGCACGGTACATCCATTTTTTTTGACCCCTTGTAATCTCCCACGTTTCTGGTATATAATTTAGAATTAAATTCAGATCTCCTAAATAACATTTTTTTTTTATTACTCTTGCTATATATATCCTCACCTTGCACCAGTGTGAGGTAATTATGTGCCTTTCTTTAATAAAACACTAGAGCTGATCACTCTGGTGTTGTGGACATCCTTCTTTGGTATCCCTGCACCCTACTGCTGCCAGGATCCCACCTTTCGGACTGCGGTTCAGGACAGTCATATAATGCATTTATATAATGATCAGGTAGAATAGCAACAGGTGGGAGCGAGTACTGTGAGAGGTGGAGTTACATGACAACTGGCCAGTTGCATTGCGGGAGGTGGGGAATCTTTGTGTGCCCTGCCATGCCCCCTGAGTCCCTCGGGAAGCGGACGGGTTTCTATAACTGTTATGTACTGAGTTGAATAGGATCCAAACTGCAGCAGTCTGATTGGTCCTAGAACAATAGGATCCAAATTGCAGCAGTCTGATTGGTCCTAGAACAATAGGATCCAAATTGCAGCAGTCTGATTGGTCCTAGAACAATAGGATTCAGAATGCAGCAGTCTGATTGGTCCTAGAACAATGCAGCAGTATGATTGGTTGGCAGGAACCACCCAATCATGCTCCAGATATAAGTGAATCCACAACCTGATTGGCTTACAGTAGAATTCCAGAATTAGCCAATCATGTGCAGCCCATTGTGTAAATAATGTATATAAAGCAGATACTTTGAGGGGACTTTCATTCATTCCTCCTCACCACTATGAGCTGAATAAAGAGCATGAAATCACTTTGCGACTCTGAGTATATTTCAATAACAAACAAAACAATGCTGGTTCTCGTCCTCAGAGGCTAAAGCTGAGCTACCAGCCCCTTGTTGCCCATCTGGCTGGATTGTGAACCAAGGGAGCTGCTATCACGTCTTGCAACTGGAAGGGTCCTGGGATGCCGGCCAGCGCCACTGTTCCTCGCTCGGTGCCTCCCTGGCTGTGGTTGGGGACTTGGAGAGACTGGTAAGAGAAGGGGCCTGCTGAGATCGCATGCTTTATACTTTTTTTAAGGCTTCTTTTCAGAGCATGCGTCCTGTTAATATGCAGCGGTAGCCAATGTGGTTCGCTCCAGGGGTTGTCTGATTACAACTCCCACTGGCTGGAACTGATGGGAGTTGAAGTCCAGCAATGTTTGGAAGGCATCATGACAGCAGTTCCTGCATTGCTGTATCCAAACTGGAAGATGTGTCTTCAGTTTTAATGTTTCAACAAGTGGGATGTGATACATAAGTAGCAGTCAAGTGCAACATTCCTTGTTTTCCTAGAGTGGACATGCGAGGGAATGTTTGGTCCAGCCAGTCGGAACTTCCTGTTTCCTCCTGGGCTGGGACATACTTCCTTTGCATGTGACTAGAGGTGGGCGTGACCTTACCTGTCCAGGGAACAAAAGGACAGGGCACGCAGCACCCTCTCTCTCTCCGACTCTCTTTTTTACTTCCTCCATCATTGGAGCAGCTTTCTAGCTAAGGATGCTCTGTTGACTTCCAGCCAACAGAAGACGCTGGGACTATCCCCATATGAGATAGTTCCACATGTATATACTTTGTAGCTAAGTCTGCCTTCAGGGATCCAACTGTGAACTGATGATGATGTGAGTAAACTTCTTTTAGTACTTCACACAAGATTGTGACATGTTTATTCGTTTAGGAGGGATACAAAGGGGACTTACCAGGAATATACAATTCAATACTGAATTGTATGATATTGAGAGACTTAAACAAGCCTGCAACCAGCTAGCTGCTGTGCGTTAAAAGGGGAATGTGAAACTCTGCTAAGTATATTATATAAACAATATTAATAAGGATAATATTAATATAAGGATATTAATAAACAATATATCCTCTCCTGCCTCTCTGAACATTCCCACGCATCATTGGCTGAAAACTTCTCTATGTCACCAAACGCAGTAATCTATTATTTTTATCTTTATGAGGTTTTTTTTTATCATGTGTGTGTAGGCACACATGCACAGACACTCCTATACCACTTTGATAGTATGAAATCATGGCACTGAAGTATTTTTATCAGTCCAACAAACAAACAAATATGTGAGCTTGGTACCCAGTGCTCCTGAGATGAAACCTAGCTATTAATCTCTCAACTCTGCTCTGGTTTTCATATAAACGCATAATATGCATAAATTTGGTAGCTGGCCCAGCACTTAGAAACAAACAAGTTATTTTAAAGTCAGGTCCCTTGGCTATCCTAAATGTACAAAATCCAGCCCTGAAACATACTGAACCCCACATTCTCTCTCTTTCGGAACCAGAAAGTCGCCATGCAAGACAAAGGCCCCTTTGACCACTGGGTTGGCCTCTTCAGAGAATCAGGAGGAAGCTGGAAATGGACTGATGGGACGGATTTCAACAACCTGTGAGTTCTTCATGCCTGAGCACCCGCAACTGGGCAACTGCTGACATTCCTGCATTTCAGCGGGTTGGACTAGATGGCCCTTGGGGTCCCTTCCGACTCTACAATTCTGTAATTCTATGAAATGACACCCTTGGGGAGCTTAGCTTAGTCCCCACTGTATATCCATTGCACCATCTGCTAAAGACTCTTGTTCTCAACAACCGTTTTCTAGACATCATTGGGAATTGTGCTTGGTGGCGTTCTTGTGTTGTTTCGGTGTCATTTGCTCTGGTGTTGAAATACTTGGACAGTTTACAGGCTCCTTCACAAAATCTGTCCAGTCAGCATACATCCTGATTTGCTTGCTCAAAGCTTACTTAGTGGTTAGACTATGGTTAGTCTTGATTGATCAGCTGTTCTGGTTTGTTTACGGTCCAGTTGTACCACAGAGAGCGTTCATCCTGATCTCCTTGCAGGGTGTTTACATGTCTTCCCTTTCATCGTTTGTTCGCCCCACGCTTTTCAGCGCATTTCCTAACCGCAGAAAGCGAGGGGTGTTTTTTCCCCGTAATGGATTTGCTGTGCTAGGTTGACATTCAATGCACATGAACTCCAGAAACCTAATATCTGGTGAGTGCTTGAATCCTTCCTGCAAAGTAGTAACAGGCTGGAGGCATTCATAGTGGGTTGTGTAGTTGTTGTTTAGTATCATCATCATCATCATCATCATCATCATCATAATACCCCATCATCTAGCTTGTTGTGCTCGCCCCAGTCTCTGAATGGCAAGAGGCACCAGTGGTTCCAGGACTTACCCAGGGTTTTGTTTTCTTAGAACAGAGGTCAGTGGGAGCTGTGATGTCAGTCTAGGATATATGTGGTCTAAACCACTGAGCCTCTTGGGCTTGCCGATCAGAACGTCGGCGGTTCGAATCCCGACTCCCGTTGCTCTGTCCCAGCTCCTGTCAACCTAGCAGTTCAAAAGCACGCCAGTGCAAGTAGATAAATAGGTACCGCTGAGGCGGGAAGGGAAACAGCGTTTCCGTGCGCTCTGGTTTCCGTCACAGTGTTCTGGTGCACCAGAAGCAATTTAGTCATGCCGGCCACATGACCTGGAAAGCTGTGTGTGGACAAATGCCGGCTCCCTCGGCCTGAAAAGTGAGATGAGTGTCGCAACCCCATAGTCGCCTTTGACTGGATTTAACAATCCAGGGGTCCTTTACCTTTTTACCTAATATGGTTTTATTGACACATACACACACCCTGAGCATATGCTGGAGGGGTTCACAGCATTAACACTCTTAGCCAGGGGTAGGCAACCTAAGGCCCAGGGGCCAGATGCGGCCCAAACACCTTTTCAATCCGGCCCCAAGGACAGTCCAGGAATCAGTGTGTTTTTACATGAGCAGAATGTGTCCTTTTATTTAAAATGCATCTCTGGGTTATTTGTGGGGCATAGGAATTCGTTCATTTCCCCCAAAAAAATATTGTCCGTCCCCCCACATGGTCTGAGGGACGGTGGACCAGCCCACGGCTGAAAAAGGTTGCTGACCCCTGCTCTTAACAGATCTTACTTCTCCATCGGGTCTCCAGGGAAGCCGCAAGCGACAGCTTTGAGTGCAGCACAAAGCAAAGCAAGGCAGGGATGTTTTGCCCAACATGGGTCTCAAACACACAACCTTGAGATTCAGAGTCTCACGCGCTACCAACTGAGCTATATATAAGTAAACTAATAGTGCATGTTGCTTTGGGCCTATCGGTTGGGAAAGCACGTCTGAAATTTTGCAGGCAAACTGCTGTATTGTTTACGTGTCTGTTTCCTCTCCCTTTGCAGTTTTGAAGTGGAAGGAGACGGAGACTGCGCTTTCCTAAGCAAGGGGGTCCTGAACAGTGGAGATTGCTCAGCTGAGAAGAAGTGGCTGTGCAGCTGGAAAGCACAGACCAGAGGCGGATTCCACAGCCCGGCTGGGGGACGTGAAACTTTAAGAGCTGACCCCGTGCCAAGGGACCTTTCCACGCTTTTACCGTGTTCCTAGCTGCCACTCCCTCTGCGTGCGTGTGCAGTGATAAATCAGTCACCAACCCAAGTGACCAAGCTCGCATCCTAGAGGGTAGCTTCCCTTTCGGGATTTGAGCACTCGATAAACGCTTTCTCGTGGCGTTGCTGCTACGAGAGCCCGTAGGCTGAAAAACCAGGTGATGCAAGAAAACATCCTAACGTGTTCTGTTTTTAGAAATCTTCTTGTTTCGTTCTTGCAGTTGCAATCTCAAGCATAACTTTCTTGAGAGTCGGTCGCGTTGAACTCAGTGGGGTTTACTTCTGGGTAACTAGGCAGAGGATTGTGTCTCTGTTTTAGTGCAGGCATTCTCTAGTCAGTTTTAAGAATGGCCTGTGATGAAGATGACCGCCTCAGCTTTCCTTTTAGATGAAAACATGGGCAGGTTTGTGGTCCCCAGGACAGGTGAAATTCTTCAGCAGAGTGCAACCCAAATCTCAGCCACTGAAAGGCTTCAACAGTGAAACAAGCATCAAGCTCCACCAGTTCTAAAACCATGCGATTCTGAGATCTGTCCGGATGTATTTTGGACCTGACACTCCGTTGCTGAATGCCCAGGTTAGAATTAACCGTTTTACGGTTCTGTCATGAGACAGAACGTTGCGCAGTCAAAGTTTTCCAAGCAGGGAATGTTTCTGCCCTCGCTCGTACAGAAACGCTGGTTAGGAAACTACTATTTAGCGCTGCAAGTAAGATATTTATATCACTGTTGGAAGGGAAATCAGTGTGACCTATATAGTAGGAGCATAGAAGAAGACACAATCTGCTGTTCGTTGGTGTGGGACGACCAGTGACATATTTCTGCGACAGCTTTATTGCTTCGTAACCTTTGCTCTGAAAGACGGAGCGTTTCCGAGAAGCAATCCCTGCATGGGCCATGCTGGCGGCCCATGTTCGCTATCATATTTACGCATGTGGCGCATAGCTGGAATACTGCACGTAGATCCAGTATCCATTACGGAGGCTAGCATGACAACACAGCCCTCTGCGAAGCTGTTTGCAGACTCAGCCCGGGAGGGCGGAGCTAATAAACGCAGCACTACCAAATATCAGCACCAATCTTTCTCCCTCTGTGCATGCACGTACGTGTGTGTGTGTGTGTGTGCATTTGTGGTCTGTGTTGACAAGGAAATTATGCTGTTCTTTGGGGCCTCGGTTCTTGAAATTCCTCCTTTTATATCACTGTGAAAGGAGGCCTCTGGGCCCCCTTATGTCGTTGCAGGGCCGGCCCTACCATTTGACAATGTGAGTCAGTCAATTCAGGAGGCAGGTGCTGGAGGCCAGGGAAACAGAGCGGCGTATATGCCGCTCAACCTGCTGTGCACCCACCCCCCAAGAAGCATGTTTGCTGCCCTCAGGTTGGGGCAGCACACTGTCTTATCCCCAACCTGGTCAATTTCTTTACATGGAATGGGAGGAAGATGCAATCTTGTCCTTTGCCTCAGGCGGCAAAACATATTGAGCTGATTGTGTTTGGGTGCCTCAGCTCAGTTCTGGACCATGCAGGGTGTGTGTGTGCGCGTGCGCCCGCGAGCGCCACCTATGTGTTGTTTTCATAGATGGGTCACTTCCTAGTGAATGTGGCTGTTAACGGTGGCTGAGAGCTAGCGCCACCTCCTGGACTGGATGTATGCAAGCAGGCAGGCAGGTGGAAGCTGGATGAGGGCAGAACCAGGTTGGTTGGGCAGTGCCCTTATAATGGACCAGCCTCTACTGGTGACATGTTTGCTCATCTTGTGCATGTTACTGTCAAGGGGGCACAGGGCACTTGGAGAGGGTGTGTGAGAAGTTTTAGGGGAGTGTTCCTGAGGCCGATGGAGGCTTTCTCTTACCAGCCAGCAACTGGCTACGCTAAATGCCCTCTAGGAGAGGATCCTCATAGATCCACACTATGTTTGTGGAGGAAAAGATGCTTCCCCCCCCCCACTGCTCCATCAGTCCATACTGATTTGGGAAGAAGGAGCCCCACTGTCAGGAGGGAGCAGTCAGTAAATCACACTGTTCAAGTTGGAGTTAACTCTTTATTAGCAATAAAGAGTTACGACCTGCACAGACTTGGCGGAGTGTCAGGCCTAATGAACGCAGCAGCTCATCTCCGGTAGGTCTTGCCCCATGGATCAGTTGCCAAGACTGAAAGTCCCCATCTCCCCACAGCTGCCTTAAGTTCCCTCCTCTCCAGGGTTTTCTCCCCCAAGTAATCGGAGACTGCGCCTGTGTGAAGCCAACCGCTCCTCCATTCTTATCATGCCTCTCCTGGTTCTGGGAGGCCAGCGGGGAGGGGAGCTGGTCGCAGCAGGAGGGGGAGACACTTGTGGCTCTTCACCAGCCGGACTCTTCTCTGCCTCTTGGCCTCCGTCCTACTTCAGCTTCTGCCTCTGATTCTGAACTTCTCTCTGCCATAGACTCTCCCAGCTCACTAAGACCTGTTACCTCTTCAGCTTCTGACACCTGCCCTCTGACCAGTAATCTTCGTCCCACTCCCTGTACTCTGAGCCTTCCTTCCTTGCTGGTTCCCCAGCTGGTTCTTCCCACCGTTCCTCTGCACCAAACCAGTCCATGACACCCACAAAGAGACTGCTTTGTTCTAATAAAGTCTGAATGTGCATGGGCTGAGGAGGTGGCGAGGTTGCCTTGCGTCTTTTCTACTGCTGGATTAGTGCCCCAGTCCACACACATGATTCTGCGCTAGGTAAAGGTAAAGGGACCCCTGACCATTAGGTCCAGTCGTGACCGACTCTGGGGTTGCGGCGCTCATCTCACTTTACTGGTCAAGGGAGCCGGTGTACAGCTTCCGGGTCATGTGGCCAGCATGACTAAGCCGCTTCTGGTGAACCAGAGCAGCGCACGGAAATGCCATTTACCTTCCCGCCGGAGCGGTACCTATTTATCTACTTGCACTTTGGCGTGCTTTCGAACTGCTAGGTTGGCAGGAGCAGGGACCGAGCAACGGGAGCTCACCCCCTCGTGGGGATTCGAAGCGCCAACCTTCCGATTGGCAAGCCCAAGCAGCACAGTGGTTTAACCCACAGTGCAAACGCAAACCCTCATGCAAGAGTGATGGTGAGTTCAGAGCTTGAGGGACATACAGGGAAGTAAGAATCTCTCCAGACTTGAGGTGTGTGTTTGTTGGTGAGTGTGTTTGTGGTTGGCAACATATCATAGATGCAATAATAGTGCTTTTTTGGGGGGAGGGGGGTGTTTCCACTCCACACTGGATTCTCCACAAACCATGCCACTTTATTTGTTGTCCTGCAACGCTCCACCAATGTTGCTGCATTATATGGCGCTGTGGTCTAAACCACTTAGGCTCTTGGTCTTGCCGATCAGAAGGTTGGCGGTTTGAATCCCCGTGACGGGGTGAGCTCCCGTTGCTCTGTCCCAGCTCCTGCCAACCTAGCAGTTCGAAAGCACACCAGTGCAAGTAGATAAATAGGTACCACTCCGGTGGGAAGGTAAATGGTGTTTCTGTGCGCTCTGGTTTCCGTCACGGTCTTCCATGCGTCAGAAGCAGTTTAGTCATGCTGGCCGCACGACCTGGAAAGCTGTCTGTGGACAAACGCCGGCTCCCTTGACCTAAAAGCAAGATGAGTGCCGCAACCCCATAGTCACCTTTGACTGGACTTAACCGCCTAGGATTACCATGGAGGGTACTCTTGCACTGTGATGGAACAAAAGCAGAACCAAAAACAAACCCTGGAACATTTGTTTGTAGAAACATTACAGGATTTCAGCGGGAAGCTATGGGACATGCCCTGTCCCAACCACCCTGCCTGGAAGCTTTTGCAGGCACACACTTTATTGAAAGTGAGATCACGCACATCTGCCCCAGTGCCATCATGAATGCCTCAAACATTTGAGAGCCGCATCTAATTGTATTAAGCCCAAAGGGTACTGTGCAATAACCACGTTTGGTCACCAGGTGGCAGCACCTACTCACACTGTAGATCACTGGGTTGTTTCAGCTTGGGCTAATTTACTTTTAAGAAAACCAGTACTAGGAGCAGCAACAGCAAGGTTTAAAAAAGACTGAATAGAAAGCAGGCCTGCCACAGTTTTTTGTGTCATTTGCTCCCAATGCAAATATAAATAAGACATGTACACAGACCTTCACAAACACACAGCATGAAGATGCAACAAAGAGGAAGCTTTGCCTGTTGAATTTCTGCCTGCCGTTCTCGCCGTTAAAGTCACAGGAGCCCAGCTAAGGAGAGAAGGATACCAATTCTAATGCAGATAATGTTTCTGTGGATCATTCGATGCAAAGAAGGGCCATGCTCAAGTACATACAGTGCTTTTTTCTGGGGGGGACGCAGGGGTACGCATACCCCTAAACAGTTTGTGAATCTAAGTTTGGCCTCATTGAGGGGCAGTATTTCAATAAGAGTAGGAAAATGACTGTACCCCTAAACATTTTTTTAGGGGAAAAAGCACTGAGTACATATAATACCTGAATGAGTGGGAAATGAATTTTCAGTCATTTTCAGCTAGGGAAAAATGTTTCCCCTGTCTTTGCATGTCAAAACCTATACCTGCCAAAATCCCTCCTCCTAAAAAAACAAACAAAAAAAAACCCTGTTACAATTCTGTTTGCAGTCTTCCCTGAAGAAGTTGGCTACTGTGAGAAAAGGGGTCTTTGGCCTGATCCTGAAGAGCTCTTGTTACACTTTTGAAAAGGACAGGAAGTCTCCCTGGAAGTTGGCGTTGTATACATGCTTCTAGGAGTTCTTGGAAATAATCTGTGGAGGATTAAACCTACATTACCCAGTAGAGAAATGTGAGGCAATGACTCCATCCAGCTTCACAGCCTGTGGGGAAGTGCCGAAAGAGTGCTATACCTAGAAAACCGCCCTGGTAAGAAAATATTAGAGTATAACACACAGTCTGTGCTGCTGGTATAGAATTAAAAGCTGCCGTTGGCCGTGGTTCTCTGTGGGCTAATAGAACAGCACCTCTCAATTTCTGCACCACTGTGGTGATAGTCCTCTTCACTGGGCATATCAGTTAGAAACCAGTTCTATTTAAGATCAGAAGGAGTAATAAGGACAGAAGCAGAGGCCTTCTGTTAAAAACCGTCCACATTCCTAGAGAGAATCCGATTATTCCGAGAGATGCATACAGATTTATTCCACCAGGGGGAGATCTCTTGCAAACACAGTACAGCGGTACCTTGGTTCTCAAACTTAATCCATTCCAGAAGTCTGTTCCAAAACCAAGGTGCGTTTTCCCATAGAAAGTAATGCAAAATGGATTAATCCGTTCCAGACTTTTAAAAACAACCCTTAAAACAGCAATTTAACATGAATTTTACTATCTAAATCCATAAAATGAAAGCAATAATATACTGCAGTCATACAATCAATCAGTCGGTAGCTGAACTGGGTTCCACACAGTCACAAAAGCAAAACAAAAAGAGCCACAAAAACAAAAACGCAAAATAAATAGCAAAAACAGACAGATCTTAGCGTAACACTCAAATCGGAAGCGTAACACTCCAAACGGAGCATGTTCGGCTTCCGAAAAAAGTTCACAAACTGGAACAGTTACTTCCGGGTTTGCTGTGTTTGGGTTCCAAGTTAAACAATGCGTTTGAGAACCAAGGTACCTGTCAGGGAACTGCCATCGGAAGGAAGGGAGGTGAAAGGGCTCACACAGGTTGGGAGAGACTCAGCAGCTGAAGAGGGAACCAGTAGGGGGAGAGGAGCTGAGCTGAGGGAAAGTGAGCTGGAGGGATGGCTCAGAGACACTTCCAGCGAAAACAGTGGGGAGGTTTCAGGACCTCCTGTAGGAACACCCACTCCTCGCCGGAAACTGTCAAGCAGAGAGTCCAGAAGACGTGTTTCCGTTAAGGAGCTTTTATGTTGGAAGCGATTCCGAAAGCAACCACTGTCGGAATCTGCTAGTGACTAGAGGAGCCATGTCTGAAGGGCTCCGTCACAGACAGAGGTTTGTGGACTTGAACAAACTCTGAGGGGATACTATTTTACGCACAAGCAGCTCATCATCCCATCACAGCATTCCGACAGTCTTTGAAAGCAGCTTGTGCAGGAGAAGGCATCATGAGCAACCCAGCCGGAACCGGAGAAGCAGGAGCTGGAGCGGGTCCAAGCCTGGAAGAAAGGTACCGGGTGTTGGAGGTCCAGCTAGCGCTGCAGACGGCGAGGCTTGAGGAGAGGAGGGCTCAGGATGCA